CCGACCATCATCATCGCGAACACGTCCAAGAGCTGCCCCAAAACCCCCTTCCTCGCGTGGCGCCAAACCGGACACGGTGCCCTCCAGCGCGCCTCGGTTTCCTTCCACCGGACCCGAACCGCCCGGACGCGTAAGTCTTGTCGCGGGCGCCTTCGCGGGGGAGCGAATACCGCTGCGGTCCGTCTGGGGCCGCGTCGACGACGGCGGCGTCGAAAAGTCCCCGGCCAAAAGTCGTCAACATTGCCCCAAAACGATGGGTTGCAGTACGAGGAGCTCGCGCAACATAATCTCGTTGAGCTGCCACCCCATACTATTTATTACCCCTTGCTTTCGACGAGGTGGTGTGGGCAGCCGAAGCGGTGAAGGCAGCCCCAGCATGGAGCGGCGCAAGTCGTCGTCCATGTTCCGGAGCGTGCGCAAGTCCGCGTCGGCGGCGACCGGCCTGCGCCACATCTTCACGAAGAAGCCCGGCGGCGACGGGTACCAGTCCGGCGACGAGGAGACGAAGCAGCCCCCGGCGGACGAGGAGGCCTGCCCGAGCTCCGACGCGCTCTTCGCGGCCTTCGCCGGGCGGCCCGTGCCCGACGAGCTCGCGGGCCTGACCTTCGCCTTCGAGGTCGGCGGCGGCGGCGACGGCTGGCTCCTCGACTGCGCGGGAGACGCCGCGGCGACGAGCCGGTTCCCCGCGGGCGCGGCGCCCGAGGGCCTCACGGGCCACCTGCGGTATCGCGACGAGGCGACGTTCCAGCGCATCGAGACCAAGGAGCTGGGCGTCGCGACGGCGATGATGACGGGCAAGCTCCGGGCTTCGGGCGACCTGAAGAAGATGGAGCGGCTCGACGCGTTCTGGGACGACGCCAAGGCGTCGGTGCAGAAGGTCGCCGCGCTCACGGCCGCCGCCGGCGGGAAGCGGCCGCCGACGCCCGAGGAGGAGGAGGCGGAAATTTTGAAGGCGCTCGCGCCGCGCGTCGAGCCCCGGAACCCGTGCACGGCCGTCTTCTGGAAGCGCCACTTCGGCACGGACGCGCTCGTCGGGTCCTACCTCTTCCTCCTGTCCTCGGTCATCTACCTCGCCTACGCCATCTACCTGTGCATGTACGACACGGCGACGACGCTCGACGCCATCATGAGCTACGGCAACCTGGTTTCCGCGGCGGGCTTCACGCTCGGGAGCGTCTACTTCATCAAGCTGAGCTACCCGGAGGTCGCCATCCTCATGGTCATGCGCGCCATGCGCGAGGACGTGTCGAAGATGTCCTACACGACCAAGTACTTCACGCACAACGAGATGCTCCTCGCGATCTGGGGCTTCCAGCTCGGCTTCGCCCCCTACGTCGTCATCGGCTGCGCGTACCTCTACTACGGCTACGTCGGCTACGGCGTCGGCTACCTCGGGTTCACGGTCGTCTCCATGGCGCTCATGGGCTTCTGGCTCGCGGCGGCCATGCCCGAGAACATGTGCAAGAACGACGGCCAGGGGTCGAGCTACTTCTACGACGGCGTCTTCCTGAACTCCTGCGGCTGCTGCGTGGCGAAGGACTCGAGCGCCGACGCGTACTGGCGGCGCCACCTCGGCAACGATTTCCTCGCCGGCGCCTGGATCTTCTGCGTCTTCGGCGTGACCGCGACGATCGCGATGACGTACTTTTTGATCCTCGAACCGACGTCGTTTTTCGTGTGGGTGGCCTGGCTCATGACCGCGCCGTTCGGCGTCGGCGCCGTGCTCTTCGTGCGGAGTAGCTACCCGGACACGATGAACACGAGCATCTGCTGCGGGAGCCTGTCGTACACGGAGCACGACCAGTACGACGCGGGCTGGCGGCCGCCGCTCAACGACGCGGCGACGCCGCTCATGGGCGATCCGTAACTGTGTTTTTTAGGGGAACAGCCAGTCGAGGGCCGACGCGGCGTCGGAGAGCGCCGCGCCGTCGAGGGGCGCGTCGAGGAGCGCGTCGAGGCCCGGGAGCGCGGGGAGCCGGTCTGCGCCGACGACGAAGGACGCGACGTCCGCGGCCAGGGACCGCGCCGCGGACGCGGCGCCGCGGTCCAGGGCGCGGTCGACGAGGCGCGGCTCGTAGCCCACGAGCATCTCGTCCGCCATGTAGGCCCGGACGCTGTCCGCCGGGTACGCGAGGAGCCGCCCGACCTCGGCGATGAACTCCGCCGTCGCGTCGCGGCTCGCCTGCCCCGGCACGGACGCGTCCTGGGCCCGGAGCTCGACGAGGCGCCGGCCCGCGTCGGCGTGCGTCGCCGCGTGGGCGAAGACGAGGCTGTCCTCGAAGGGCGGGTCGTCGCCGTCGCCCCACTCGTTCCGCGCCGCGCCGCGCCAGACCTCCGCGCGCCCCGGACCCGTCGTGAGCCAGGCGAGCACCGCGCGCGTGTGCGGCGACCACAGATTCCCCGGCGCGCCGTGGACGACGGCGTTGTGCGCGCCGCCGCCGCCCCGGAGGAGCCGCTGCCGGAGCACGACGGGCTTGTAGCCGAGGCAGAAGCACAGGAGCTCCACGGCCTCGAAGAGGAGCCCCCGCTCCGACGGCAGGCACCGCGTCGGCGACTCGTCGATCCAGTCCGCGAGCTCGCGCAGCGTCGGCGCGGCCGCGACCGCGCCGAACGTGAAGACGCGCCGCGACCGCCGCGAGTCGACGCGGCCGCGGCGCCCGCCGGGCCGCAGGCAGAAGCGCGACACCGTGTCGGGCCGCACGTAGCCGGCGATGGACAGGCCCGGCGCCACGGACGGCGCCGCCTCGCCGAACGCGTCCACGGCCGCGTCGACGCCGCAGTCCAGCGCCGTCCGCGCCGGCTCGGCGACGAAGAGCATCTCGACGCCGGTGTCCTCGAAGACCCAGAGGGCCGGACGGCTGTGGTTCAACGCGACGAATTCGGTCGAGTCGTAGGGGGCTGCTGCGGCTGTGAGCGCCGCCAGCAGCGCTCCCACCCACATCATCACCATCATCGTGTTTGTGGGCAGCCTCTTTTTTTTTCCATTTTTTTTTTCTGACTTCAACTTCGAACATTGAACTTGCTCTTTACGCCACGCCCGCGGCGTCCGCCTTGGGGGCCTCGAGGAGCCCCGTCTCGTCCTGGGGCGGCGCGACCATGGCGACGCCGTCGCCGGACGCCGCGCGGGGCCGGAGCCCGCGGCCCGCGCCGCAGACGTCGCGGAGCCGGTCCGACGACGGCGCGCAGAGGCGGTAGGAGCCGTCCCGCAGAAAAGGGAGAGCGAACACGACGACCACGGGCGACGTGAGCGACAGCAGCAGCACCACGGTCCAGAGCGTGCGCGGGTTCGGGTCCGAGTAGGACGCGCACTCGAGGCACGTCGCCGGGCAGACCGCGTGTCCCGCGGCGTTCGTCTCCCAGCCGCCCGCCGGCGCGTCGCACACGCCCGTCTGCGACGCGCAGGTTGTGGCGTCGACGACCGTGGAACAGAAGTGGCCGACGGCGTCGCGGCAGCTCGGGCAGTTCTCGTTGAAGCGCGCGTTGAGCACGCCGACGAGCATCGTCGACGGCCAGGTCAGGAGCAGATCTTTCACGCCCGCGAGCGCGATGAAGAGCCCCTCGCGGCCCTCGGGCGCCAGCGAGATCGTCCACGCGCTGAACCGCGGGCTCCACAGCACCTCACCCGCCGTGAGCCAGGCCTGCCAGACCGCGGCGCCCGCGGGCGTCGGCGACGCGACGAGCGCGAGGGGCGACAGCGCCATGATCCACAAACCCGGCACGATGACGCGGAACGCCGGCAGATCCGACGTCTTCGCGGCGACCAAGGTCGGAAAAATCAAGCAGCCCCAGAGGTTGATGGAGTGGATCGTGAAGATGGGCACCTTTTCGCCGTAGCGCCGCTCGAGGAACGGCGGCATGAGCTGCTCCGACTCGGACCACTGCTTGGCGACGCCGAAGACCGCGAGCGACGCGACGAAGACGCGCCAGAGCCGCCGCGACCGGAGCGTCGTCGCGGCCTCGGCGGCGACGCGTCTCAGCTGCGCGAGGGCCGCCTCGACGCGCGACGCCGGCGCGGTCCCGGGCGCGACGAAGGCCTTGGGCCGCGTGGGCGAGACGACGTAGCGCCGGGTCTCCTCCCTCCGCCACGCGAGCCACGCGCGCGGCGACCAGGCGCCGCCCGCGTAGGCGCGCGCGCGCCGCTTCGGCGACCCCGCCGCGGGCGCGGCGCCCTCCTCCGGGTCGTCGGCGTCGGTGACCGTCTCGTCCCGCAGCCCGAAGAAGGCGACGACCCACGACGCGAGCAGCACGAAGAACGTGGCGACGAGGAAGAGCCGCGTGCCCGTGAACGTCGCGCCGCCGATCACGGCGTCGGGCCGCCGCCGGAGCGCGTCGATCAACACGTCCGCGAGCGCTCCGCTGAGGTTGAACGTCGCGTACTCCACCGCGAAGGCGAAGGCCCGCGTCCGCGGCGTCGTCAGCTTCTTGAGCGACACGCGATAGATGCCCACGGACAGCAGCGCCTCGCCGACGGGCGCGAGGACGAGGAAGCTCGCGTAGAGCTCGAGGCGCGACCTGCGACGACACTCGTTTTATTGGACACCGTTCCAGGCACATCGTCCCGGCCACGGGACACCGGCCGCGACCGCCCAAAGGCCACGAGCGCGCGGCCGACGATGGACACGGACATGGCGACCATCGCGCAGCGGCGGACGCCGACGGCGTCGGTCAGCACGGCGCCGACGCCGGCGAAGAAGAGGTTGAGCGTGGCTTGCACGCCCAGCAGCGACGCGGCAGCTTTGTCCGAGAAGCCGTACTCGTTGGTCAAATACTGGTACCGCACGAAGCGGATGCCGAAGCCCTGGAACGAGTTGAGGAAGACGAGGAACAGCACGAGGAAGATCTGCGGCGGCAAAGCGAGGAAGGCGCCGACGTTCGATGCCATTTTTTTCTTGTGGTGCGCAGCGCGCTGGGCTCTCACGGAAGATGGCAGCCCATGCTCTCACACGGCACCATCGGCATCAGCCAACGATGCCGCCTCTCGATCGAGCGCGTGCCGCTCTCCGGAGTCGAACAGTGCAGATCGGCGTCGCAATGCGCTCGGCCCTCCTCGTCGTCGCGGCGGCCCTCGCGCGCGCCGACGACCGCCCCGACGTCGGGGACCACGCCGCCTTCGCCCGCTACATGGTGAATCGCTTGACCTGGGCGACGCTCTCGACGATCTCCGAGGACAAGGAGATCAAGGGCTATCCCTTCGGCAACCCGGTCTCCATCGGCGACAACGCCACGGGCACGCCCTACATGTGCGTGAGCCCGCTCGACGCGAGCGTCATCGACCTCGAGAAGAACGCGCGCATGTCGCTCACGTTCTCCGAGGCGCAGGAGTTCGTGACGACGGCGGCGTGCGACCCCGCGGGCGGCGACCCGGAGAACCCGCCGTGCTCGCGGCTCGTGCTCACGGGCGAGTTCAAGAAGGTCGATCCGAAGCACGAGGAGTGGGCCGTCGCCGCCGCCGCGCTCAAGAGCAAACACCCGGCGATGGACGGCTGGGGCTGCTTCGGCGGCGGCGCCATGTCGTCGCACGCGTTCTTCCTCGCCAAGCTCGAGATTCGCCAGGCCTGGCTCATCAACATGTACGGCGGCCCGGCCGTCGTCTCGCCGAAAGACTACTACGCCGCGGACGCGCCGCTCCCGGCCAAATCCGCCGCGACCGGACGCGCGGCCGCCGAAGCCACGGCGACCGCCTGAGTTGTATGTCCGCGTCGCGGTCCGCGACGCCGCGCTCGCGGACCCGGGCGCACGCGCGAAGCTCCGCTGCTGGCCCAGTGGGGCCTCGCGTCGGACGCGGACGACGTCGGTGACGTGCTGGCGAGGAGGAGGGCGGCGCTGAACTACGGCGCGTAGGGTGTCTTACACAGTGTCTAGATGCCAGGGCAGGGATGCCCGGTACTTCCTTTGTTGAAGTTGTCGCACTTCAATGTGAACTGCAAGGCACCGCCACGAGCGATTATGGGGAGCGTGAAGTTCGCGCTGCTGCTCTCAAGCATCACCGCCGCTGCAGCCAAGGACCTCGAGGCGGCGAAGGCGTGCCTCGAGACGCTGCGCACGTCGGAGTTCAACGTGGCAACGGAGAAAGCGCTGGCGTCCCACCCCTTCGTCGCCGCCGCCGAGGCCGGCACGCTCGACTTCGCGGCCCTGAAGCGCTTCGCCGGCGAGCAGCGCCTCATCCAGCCGAGCGACGCCGTGAGCTTCGCGCGGCTCGCGGGCTTCGATGACTGGACGCCGTCGCCCGGCGGTCTGACGGACTGCCACAAGAACGAGGCGCCCGTCGGCGAGGGCCTGTTCGCAACGCTGCTCGCGGGCGAGATGGCCGCGGCGCCGCTCCTGAACCGTTTATCCATTGGCGTCGGCCTCGACCTCGACCCGCACGGCCTCGACGACGACGGCGAGCCCTTCGTGCCGTCGCCGGGCGCGCAGGCCTACGGCGCGTACTGGGCGCTCCTCAGCCGCGACGGGAAGAGGGCCGCCGCCGCCGCCGCGGCGGCCGTGAACTTCCCGGCCTGGGGCGAGGCCTGCCGCCGCGTGCGCGCGGGCGTTTTGAAGAGCGGCGCGAAGGCCGACTTCGCGGCGCACGGCGTCGACGTCGTCGACGCGCTCCAGTTCCTCGCGTTCTTCGCGACGCCGCTCCCGGACCTCGACGACATGGCCGCGGAGGTCATCGCGGCCGAGTTTGCCAAGGGCGGCGCGGGCGCGAACTGCGACGCGCTCGCGGACCCCGTCCGCATGCTCCAGGCCTACGAGCTCGGCTTCTGGGACGCGGTCTTCGGCGGCGCGAACTAACACGCGTACCCTGTGGCGTCGTGTCGTGGATTCGGCGGGAGTTGGCAGTGTCGTGCACGCGGCAAAGCGACTGATCTTTGCGTCAACAAGCGACGTTGCACTTTTGGTTGCACCCGATTGAAGCAGCGACTCTCCATAGCACCAGCCATTGCCACTGCCACAGGCGCGTCGCCGCGTCGCGCGCACACCACTTCAGCTCTTCCGATGACGACGCCACTGTGGGTTCTCCGATCGGTTCTAGTAGGCCATGAGACATGCGGTACAGCAAACAGAATCCCGGCCCCAACGAGGGCCGGTCCCGAGGAAGGAAAGAGGAGAGCATCGATCGGATAGGCGCGGCGCGCGCGTGACGCACTTACCCCGCAGGCACGTTGCATGCGCCTGGGCGTCGTCGCGTTCGTCGTCTCGCTCCGGGGCGCGCGCGGCTTGGCGGCGCCGCGGAAGAAGCTCCCGGCGCGTCGCGTCGACGTGTCGTGCGACTCGTGCGGCGCGAAGCTCTTCAAGTACGCCAAGGGCAACGGCGCGGGCTCGAAGCTCGTCAAGGTCTACGAGGAGCGCATCGTCAAGGACCTCACGGCGGACCAGGTCACCTGCCCGAACCCGGCGTGCGGCGAGACGTTCGCGCGGCGCGCGCTCGTCCACGGTCGCGTCGCCTTCAAGATCATCTCGGGCAAGGTCCGCGTCAAATGATCGCGCTCCTCGGCATCACAGCGACGGCCGCGCTCGACCTGAGCGTCGCGCCGATGATGGGCCACACGCACCGGCACCACCGCGTCTTCTGGCGGCTCCTCTCGGAGCGCACCGAGTGGTGGTCCGAGATGGTCCCCGCGCCCGCGCTCCTCGCCGGCGCCGGCCTGACCGACGACGCCGACGTCGACCCGGACCTCGTGGCCTTCGCGGCGACGCGCGTCGACGACGACCCGCGCGCCGTGCTCCAGCTCGGCGGCTGCGACGCGGCCGAGCTGCGGGACGCGGCCGCCGTCGCGGCGTCGCTCGGCTACCGCCACCTCAACCTCAACTGCGGCTGCCCGTCGTCGCGCGTCACCGACGAGGAGTACCGGTCCGGCGCGGCGCTCATGCGCGACGCGGCGCGCGTCGGCGAGCTCTGCCGCGCGATGGCCGCGGGCGCGCCCGACGCGTCGATCAGCGTCAAGCACCGCCTCGGCGTCGTCGACTTCAAGGACTACGACGCCGACGACGACGCGCGTCACGGCCTCGACCGGGCGAAGGAGACGGCGTCGGACTTCGTGCGGACCGTCGCGGAGACGTCGGACGTGTCGCGCTTCGTCGTCCACGCCCGCTTGGCTCTACTCGGCGACCTCGACCCGGACTCCGAGGCCTCGTCGCGGCTGCTGAACAAGGCGCGGGCGTCGACGGACGACCGGCTCTACCGCGACGTCGCGTCGCGCGCCGCGTCGACGGGCCGCGCGTCGACGCTGACGAACCGCCACGTGCCCCCCCTGCGGCGGTCCGTCGTCGACGATTTGAGCCGACGGTTCCCGCACCTCGACTTCGTCGTCAACGGCGGCTTCGCGTCCCTGGCCGACGTCCTCGACCAGACGCACGACGCCATGGTCGGCCGCGCCGCGATCAACCACCCGTGCTCCTTCGCGGCCGCGGACGCGGCCCTCTACGGCGCGGCGCCGGCCGCGAAGACGCGCGGCGAGGTCTTGGACGCCTACATCGCCTACTGCGAATCCCAAAAGCTCGACCGGCCGGCGACGCGGCGGAAGCTCCTGTCGCCCGCGTACCACCTCTTCGCCGGCGAGCCGGGCAACGCGCGCTACCAGCGGCGCATCAAGAAGCTCGCGGGCACGAAACTCGGCCGCGGCGCCGAGGCGCACACGATCCTGCGCGCGGCGCGGCGCGAGGTCGAGGCGTCGCTCGCGACGCCCGTGTCCGCCTTCTGCGCGCCCGACGAGATCCCGACCTACGAGCTCGAGAGCCCGCGCGCGGGCCCGCTCCAGCGCCTCGTGCGATGACACGGACTAATTAAGAATCAATATCCGCGCACGTGTGCTCGGCGGTGCAGGCGCTCGGCGACGAGCGGCGCGTGAAGAGGTTCGCGAAGCGGGACGCGCCCGACGCCTCGGGCTCGTAGAAGACGGGGTCCGAGTGCTCGCGCCGGCGCCCCGCCGGCGCCACACCGAGGAACTCGGCCACGGACGAGTCGCGCGCGACGCCGAGGAAGTCGAGGACGCCGTCGGCCGCGGACGTCGCGGGCTCCTCCTCGTCGGGCCAGCCCTGCTGCGTCCAGGCGCCCATGCAGCCGCAGGCCTCGATGGCGTGGTCCTGGCCGAAGGACGGCCGGTTCCGGCGCCGCTCGTCGATGAGGTCGTCGTCCCAGTCGAGGAAGTGCGCGCCGCCGATCTCGATGTCCTTGACGCGCTTCGAGGTGGCCTGGAGCGTCTCCACCTTCGCCCGCCCCGCCTGGAGCCGCTCGATGGCCCGCTTCAGCTCGTCCAAGTTGCGCGCGGCCGACTCGATGGCGCCGCTCGACTCGTCCTCCTCGCTCTCGCTCCGCGCCTTCGTCACGAGGGCCAGCGCCTTGTCGTGTTCGGCCCAGAGCTGCTCGAGCTGCTTCCGGTCGCAGTCCGCGGCGTCCGCCGCGGCGAAGATGGCCGCGAAGCCGTCGCCCGTCTCCAGGTCGTCGCAGACGCTCCGCAGGGACGTGCCCGCGAGCGTGTCGACGGCCTCGCCGGCGGGCCGCGCGCCGCCGCCCTGCGGCGGCAGGACGTCGTCGCCGTGGGTGAAGAGGCCCCCCGCGGGCCGGAACGTGATCTCCGCCGGCGACCGCATGTCCGCGCCGGGGGACCGCGGCGGCGGCGTCGACTTGGACCGCGCCCGGGGCTCGGCCTCGCCGCCCCGGGCCGACCGCTTGAAGGACCGGAACAAGCTCCGCCGCGCGGGCGTCGTCGGCGCCTCGCCCGGCGGCGCGGGCGAGCGCGGCGGCGTCTTCGGAACGACGCCGCGCGCGCGCTCCTCGGCCTCGATGACGTGGATGGGCACGGACGGCTTGAAGATGTCCGGCGTCGCGCTCAGGCCCGGGACGGGCTCGACGTCGCGCGCGCCGGCGGGCGCGTCGGAGACCTTGAAGAGGCCGGGCGTCGCGGCGATGCCGATGAGCGGCTCGTCCTTCGCGACGGGCTTGCCCGCGTCGCCGGCCTCCTTGGTCTCCTCCCGCATGGCGTCGTCGGTCCCCGCGGCGAGCGCCTCGCGCCACTCGCGGTGCGCCGTCGTGGGGAGCGCGGGGAAGCACTCCCGGCTCGACGACCGATTCATGGCGAATGCGGCCCGGGCGGCGCGGAACGCGGGGTCGGCTCCCGCTCCCGCCGGAGTGCGGGGCTGCCAAGAGGAAGGCCGAATAATATGGTTTCTTGAGGGCACGGAGATGGCACGGAGCAGTGCATCGCTGTCTTAGACTGTCTTGGCGCAGCCGAGCAAGTCTGGACCGCGCCGCCGCCGTCGACGCCCTCGACGCACACACGCGCGCATCGCCAACCCGCTGCTTGCCGTCGTCACAAGAAGAGCACGCGCAGCGCGCAACCCCGCAGCGACAATGTCGCGGTTCATGGAGAAGCTGGGCCTCAAGAAGAAAAGTGACCCCCAGGCCGAGATGAAGAAGTGGAAGCGGGAGCTCGCCAAGGAGGGGCGGCAGATGGAGCGGGAGATCCGGAAGATGGAGGAGGCCGAGAACAAGTCCAAGGCCGAGTGCCAGAAGCTGGCCAAGGCGGGCCGCGTCGACGCGTGCAAGATCATCGCCAAGGAGATCGTTCGCACGCGCGCGGCCCGGGAGCGCCTGCTCGTCGCGCGGACGCAGATCTCGAGCGTGTCGATGCAGCTCCAGACCCAGGCGGCCATGGTGCGCGCCGCCGGCTGCATGAAGAAGTCGGGCGAGGTCATGGCCGTCATGAATCAGCTCGTGAAGCTGCCGGAGCTGCAGAAGACGATGATGAACATGCAGCGCGAGATGGAGCGCGCGGGCCTCGTCGACGAGATGATCCAGGACAGCATGGACATGATGGACGGCGACGACATCGAGGACGACACGGCCGTCGAGGTCGACAAGGTCGTCGCGGAGCTCACGGGCGACCTCTTCAAGGGCAAGGACGCGGACGCGCCGCTGCCCACGTCCCTGCCCGCGGACGCGGCGCCCGCCGCGCCGGTCGCCGACGCCGCGCCCGAGGAGGACGAGGACGACCTCGACACCATGAAGGCGAGGCTCCAGGCCCTCTAATTTTTCGGACCGAGTGAGTTCCTTTCAAGGCGCCTCGAGCGACCGCGGCGCCTTCGAGGCGCCTCGACGACAATCCCCGGAGCCTGCGAATTCCACTGCCAGTGGCATACTTTACAGATCCTGCAGCACGCGTCCGAGCGCGTTTCCAGACAGCGCGGCCTCCACCGCGGCGCGATTCCCGGAAATCGCCAGGGACCCGTCCTTGGCGCGCGCGACGGCGACGCCGTAGTGGTCCGGGTCGAAGGTCGCGCCGACGACGCCGTGGGCCGCGGCGAGGCGGACCTCGAGGGGCTCGTCGCGCGCGCACGCGCCGTAGCCCGCGGCGACGTTCGCGCCGCCCGCGACGCCGAGCCCCGCGAGCCGCGCGACGGCGTCCTCGCCCGTGCGCACGACCTGGCCCGCGCCCGTGAGGCGCAGGGGCGCCGCCGGCGGCGGCCGCACGTCGAGCGCGAGCGCCGCGGTCGCCGCGAGGCCGCCGCCGTCGGAGACGGCGACCGCGAGCTCCGCGCCGCGGCCGCCGTCGCGCGCGTCGCCGTCGCGCGACCGCCAGCAGCCGTCGACGTCGCCGAGGGCGACGACGCGCAGCGCGTTGAGCGCGAGCGTCGCGTGCGCGGCCGTCGCGCGGAAAGAGAGCGCCGCCGCCGCGGACCGGTCGTCGCCCGAGGAGAAGTGGAGCGCGCCGCAGGCCTGGTTCCCGCAGCCGGCCTCGAGGCTCAGCGCCAGGGACGCGCCGCCCGCGGGCTCGTCGACCCAGGCGACGGCGACGTCGACGCGGAGGAGCGCGTCCGCGTCGTCGGCGACGGCGACGGCGCCGCCGTGCGCCGGGAGCAGCGCGTCCGCGTCGACCGCGAGGCCCCCGAGCGCGAAGGCGTCGGTCCGCGCCGCGTCGACGACCGCGACGTCCCGCGCCGCCGCGTGGACGACGAGCGCGGCGTCGCCCGCGGCCGCGGCCTCGACGCGCGCGCCGGACAGCGCCAATTCCGGCGCGCCGTTCTCCGAGGCGACGGCGACCCAGAAGTCGCGCGTCGCCACGCCGCTCCGGTCGCCGCCCGACGCCTCGAGCACGCAGGACAGGCGCGCGAGCCCGTCGAAGTCCGCCGGCGGCGCGAAGGCGACGCGCGGCAGGACGGCGTTGATCTGGACGGCGCCGAGGCGCGCCGTCGGGCCCGGCGCGGCGAGAGACAACCCGCCGTTGGGCAGCTCCATGACCTCGACGACGTCCGACGCCGCATCCAGAAAATGGACGCGGCCCCGGCGCGCCGGGTCGTCGTCGTCGTCGTCCGCCGTCGCCGGCAGGAGCAGCAGCCGGAGCGCCGTCGCGCCGCCGCAGTCCGCGACGACCGCGAGGCCCTCGAGGCGCAGGTCCGCGCCCTCGACGAGGGTCGTCGCGTCGAGGGCCGCGGCCGCGGCCGTGTCGGCCGTCGCCGCGGCGACGGCGCCGGACGCGGCGAAGGCGAGGCCCGTCGCGCACGTCGCGCCCGTGACGGTCACGGCGAGCTCGACGCTGCTCGACAGCCCCGCGGCGTCCGTCGCCGTCGCCGTCACGACGTCCGCCGTCGCGGCGCGGTGCGGCGTGTACGCGACGTAGTGGAGCGCCGCGTTCCAGGCCCGCGCGTGCGCCGTCGCGTCCAAGACGCGCCCGCCGCCGTCGCCGTCGCCCGCGTGCCACGTCGCGAGGGACCGGCGCGCGACGCGGTCCATGGCCAGCGTGCCGTTGGCGCTCGACAGCGTCAGCCGGACCACGGCGTCGTCGACGTCGGCGACGGCGAAGCCGCCGAGGAGCGCGGTCTCGCCCGCGGCGACGGACGCGGCCGCGAGCGTCGCGGACACGACGGGCGCGTCGTCGACGCCGGCGACGGCGACGGACCGCGACGCCCGGGCGGCGGCGCCCCGCGCGTCCGTGAGTTCGACGGCGACGACGTCGACGCCGTAAAAGTCCGCGCCGGGCTCGAGCGCCGCGCCGCGGAGCGCGACCTCCAGGTCCGCGGGCGCGCCCTCGAGGGCCAGGGCCGCGCCGTCGCCTTGCAGGACCCGCACGCCGGCGACGGGCGGCGCCGTGACGCGGCAGGCGCTCGCCGCGCAGGTCACGCGCGCGGTCGCGACGGCCGCGGCGTCGTCCGCGGCGAACGCGACGCCCGCGAAAAAATCATCCACGTAGCCGTCCTCGGCCGCATCCGCCACGGACGCGTGGGCCGCGGCGAAGCGCACCGCGGGCGCGTCGTGGACGGGGCGCACGAGGATGTCGACGGCGACCGCGTCCGAGAGGCCGCCCGCGTCGACGGCCGACACCGCGAGCCGGTCGCCCGTCGCCGCGCCGGCCGCGACGCGCTCAACGGCGACGCCGACGCCCGCGGACCCGGCCGCCTCCAGCAACACCTCGGGCCCGACGTGGGCCGGGCTGCCGCTCGCGAGGAACTCGACGGTCCACGCGAAGACGTCCGAGGCGACGGCCGACCGCGCGTAGTCGCGGTGCACCAGCACGTCGCCCACCGTCGCCAGCCGCTCGAGGGCCTCCTCGACGCGCGCGCTCGACGCGTCGATGGGCAGATCCGGCGTGGTCGCCCCGTCGAAGCTCAGGCGGAACGCGTCGCCGAGCGCGGACGGCCGCGCGACGGAAACGTCGACGACGGGCGCCGCGTCGTCGGAGATCGCAAAGGTCAGATTGCCGTCGACGCGCGGGACGGCCCGGAGCCCCGCGGGCCGCCCCGTGGCGTTGTTCGCGACGACCTTCAACGCGGGAAAGTCGCGCGGCGCGCCGAGGATCGTCGCCTCCCACGCGTACGAGTCGTCGCGATCGTCCAATTCGGACCGCCAGACCGACGCGCCGGCGAGGTAGTGCGTGTGCGCCGACTCGTTGATGCGCGCCGGCACGCCGAGCCCCAGGTCCCGGGCCGCGTCGAGGCCCGTCGCCGCGCAGCCGTCGAGCGCGTCTTGCAGCAGCCCCTCGAAGCTCGCGTTCCGCGGCCGCCGCGCGGGCGCGTCGTGGGCGAGCGTGAACTCCTGCGTGGCGTTGGCCAGCGCGCCCCGCAACCGGTCGTAGGTCCGCGCCAGCGCCGCGGGGTCGTCGAAGAGGCTCGCGTTGCCGAAGCGCGCGACGACTTCGACGACGCCGGACCGGAGGTACGCGCAGCTCAGCGACAGCGTGAAGTTGCCCGCGACGACGGCGCCGCCCGTCGCGCGCGCACTCACGGTCTGGACGACGTTGCCGGGCACGCCGCCGACGACGACGCGCTGGACCTCCGCGGTGATTTGTTCCGAGCCGTAGTCGCGCGGCGGCTCGTAGACGAGCGTCTCCAGCGCCGCCGTCGTCGGCCCGCTCGGCCCCGCGACGACGATGCGCGACCCCCGGGCCTCGCCGCCGCCGGCGTAGCCCTCCAACACCTGGAGCCGCCGCGACCGCGCGAGCGTCAGCGTGCCCTTGTCTACCTCGAGCGTCGTCGTGAGCCGCGCGTCGCCGCCCTCCGCCGCGCGCGCGTCGGCGTCGCCGACGGACAGGCGCGCCGCGCCCAGCCGCAGGGGCGCGTCCTCCGTGGCGACGAGCGTCGCCGACGCCGCGGCGACGACGGGCGCGTCGTTGACCGCCGCGACGCGTACTTTCGCCTCGAGCGCGTCCGCGCCGCCGCCGGCGGCGACGGCGAAGGCGACGTCCGCGAAGCCGTCCACGAGCACGTTGTAGTCCGCGTCCGGGAGGAAGAGCGCCCGGTCCAGCGCCGCGGCGACCGCGTGCGGCGCGCCGCGCGCCGCGCCGTCGCGCGCGAGCCGCGCGGTCCGGAGGCTCGGCGCGGCCGGCGCCGCCGCGTCGCCGCAGGGCGCGCAGCCGGCCCAACTCGTACAATTCTCGCAAAAGTCGACGGCGCCGACGAGGGCCACGTCCTCGAGCGCGAGCGTCGCGCCGCCGTCGAGGCCCGACACGGTCCAGAGCGGCCCGAACGGCGCCGCGGGGTTGTCGACGAGCGCCACCTCGGCGCGCCCGGCCCCGTCGAGGCGCCGCAGCGCCGCCTCCACCGTCGCCGCGGACGCGTCGAGCTGGAGCGGCGCCGTCGGCGCGCCCGCGCGCGGGTCGCGCGGCTGCGCCGGCGTCACGCGGACGGCGAAGGTGCCCCACGCGGGCGCGGTGCCCGGCGACGCCTCCGCCACGGACACCCTCGAACTCCCGAGGGCGCCGTAGTCGTGCGTGCCGTCGGGCGCGATCTGCGGGCCCGCGCGGAGGAAGCACTCCAAAGTCCCGTCGTCGCCGCACGTCGCGCTCGCGAGGTCGAGGAGCGGCAGGTCGCCGAGCGTCGGCGCCGCCGCGGCGAACGTCACGCGCCAGGCGAACCCCCGCCCGTCGGCCGTCGGCCGCCGCGACGCCGTCACGCCGCCCCCGACGGTGTCGAGCGCGTTCAGCGCGGCCGCGAGCTCGCCCGCGGACGCGTCGTGGCTCAGGGGCGCCGTCGTCGCGCCGCGGAATCCGAGCTCGAAGACGCCGCGCACGGACGACTCGTTCGCCGCCGTGCCGTTCGCGTCGGTCGAGTTCAACGCGAGCGCCGTCTCGACGACCTGGACCTCGCCGACGGCCGCCGCGCTGCCGCGCGTCGTCTCCGCGAGCTCGAGGATCGTGCCGTTGCTCGCCGCGCGCTTCACCACGAGGAATTCGTCGACGTCGCCGCCGACGCCGCCCGGCCCGCCGCCGAGGAACGTGATGTTCGTCAGCGTCGGCGCGCCGAGGCCCCAGCCCCGGGCCTCGAAGCCGCCGACGGCGTTCGGGAGGGCCGCGCCGCCTTTCGCGGGGTCGCTGCAGAGCGTCGTCCCCGTCGACGCCACGGCCAGGGACCCGCCGGCCCCGAGCACGCCCGCGCCCCGGAGCCAGGCCTCGAGGATCTCGGCCAGGGAGCTGCCGTCGCCGCGGCACGCGTCCGCCGCGGGGCACGCCGGCAGGAGCTCCGGCACGGGCGCGGCGCCCATGCGGATCTTCGGCGACTTCAAGCCCCGAAAAACAAAGCGAAACCCGTCGTCCGCGTCGTCGCCGACCTCGCGCGCGCATCGCAGCGTCTGGACCTCGTCGACGGCCGCGGGCACCGCCGCGGCGCCCAGGATCGCGTACGACCGCGCCGCGGCCTCCGTCGCCTCGTCCGGGAGCAGGGCGAGCTCCAAACCGTCGACGAGGCCGTCGTCGCCGGCCGCGATCGCCGGCCGGGGCCCGTGGCCGCCCGCGACGGTGACGACCCAGGCGCCGAGCGTCGACGCCGTCAGGATCGGCGCCGCGGCGACGGAGAACAAGCGTTCCGGCTCGGGAAACCCCGCGGACCGCGCGGCGGCCTCGAGCGCGCGCTCGACGTCGCCGGGCGGCGCCGCCGCGTCGATGGGCTCCGTGCGCGCCGTGCGCGCGGCGTCGCTCGGGCTCGCCACGACGAGGCCGAAGGCGCCGAGGTCCGCGCGCCGCGACCCGCGCGCGACGGGCGTCGCGCGCGCGGACGCGGACGTCCCCGCGAGCCGGTCCGCGACGGCGGCGAGGGGCGCGACGTTTCCGAAGCGCGCGTCGAAGGTCACGGTCCAGGTCGACGCGCCCTCGCGCGTCGGCGCGGACCGCGTGACCCTGAGCGCGCCCGGCGCGGCGAGCGCGCCGTCGAGACCGACGAGCGCGCCGTAGACGTGGCCCGGCGTCGCGGACGCCGCGGACACGTAGCTCGTCGTCGCGGAGCCCCAGCGCAGGGCGAACTCGCCGCCGAGGGCCGCCGTGCCGGCCTGGACCGTCGCCACGGCCGCGCGGTCGTCGACGCCCGCGGCCTCGGCGGTCGCCGCGGGCCACGCGGGCAGCAGCGCCGCGCAGGAGGAGCAGCGCGCGCGCGACCCGTCGGACGCGCCCGAGCCGTAGAGGACGACGAGCGGCGGCACGTCGTCGCCCGACGTCCAGAACGTGATCTCCCAGGCGTGCTCCTTCGGGAAGAAGTCGCAGCCGTAGACCTCCGCCGTCGGCGCGGGCGTCGGCACCTGCGTCGGCGCGGCCGTCGGCGTCGCCGTCGGCGCGCTCGTCGGGGACGTCGACGTCCGATTCTCGTCGGCCGTCGGCGGCGCCGTCGGCGCGGCCGCGGCGACCGCGGTCGGCGCGGGCGTCGCGCGCGTCGCGTTCGTCGCGTTCGCGCAGCGGCCGCACCAGCAGTAGTCCGCGAGGGCGACGTCGCCGTCGGACGCGACCTTGGCCACGTCCACGAGGCCGACGCCCGGGAGCGCCTCGAGGGCGTCGCGGACCGCGCGCGCGGTCGCGTTGTGCGGCAGGCGCCGCGTCTCGAACGCGCCGTCGGCGAACGTCCTTCGAGAGTCGTGGGCCCGGGCGCGGTAGACCAGCGAGAAGGAGCCCGCCGTCGACGTGCCGTTGGAGCGCACGGCTACTCGCTGCACCTCGGGCGCCGTCGTCGCGCGCGCCGCGTAGTGGCGCTCCGCGGCGCACGTCGACGCGCCGGCGTCGTCGTCGTCGGCGCCGTCGGCCGCGCCGCCGCCGCACTGCGCCACGGCGAAGGACAGGAGCGGCGCGGGGTCGTTCTGCGCCAGGGAGACGACGAACCAGGCGCGCGCGACGAGCGGGCCGCCGTCGTCCGTCGGGTCCAGGGCCTCCGCGTCGTATCGCTCGACGGCGACGCTGAAGCCCGCGCCCACCGTCTCCACGTCGTCGAGCGCCGCGACGAGGTTCGCCTTGGCCGCCGACACGTCCGGTCCTAAAGTCACATCGGCAAAGGCGCTCCGGTTCCGGTGGGACAGCCCGACGGTGGCCGCGGACGCCGCGAGCGCGCGCAGCGCGGTCGACGCGTTTCCGCCGTCGCGCATGACGAGGTCGAAGCGCAGCCGTACGGCGGCCCGGCGCCAGTCGACGTTCGTCCGCACGGTCCACGTCTCCGAGACGCCGTTGCCGAGCGCCGCGACGGCGTCGACCTGGAGCCGGACGCGCTCCGCGGGCTCGAAGAAGTCGAGGCCGCCCGGCGTCTCGAGCACCGCGACGGCGCCGTGGTCCGCGCGGACCGCCAGCGTCGCCGCGTCGCCGGCGCCGCTCGCCGCCAGCGCCTCGGATCGCACGAGCACCCCGTCGGCGAGGTCGCCGCAGAGCGCGTCGTCGCAGGCCGCGGCCGCGGCGTCGACGGCGGGCGCGACGCGCGCGCCCGCGCGCCAGAGCTCGACGGCGGGCAGGTCCACGTAGGCGTCCTCGACGCCGGCGACGACGGCCGGCGACGTCCACTGGAGCGCGACCGCCGGCGGGTCCACGGCCACCGCGAGCGTCGCGGCGGCGGAGGCCTCGCCGCCCGCGCCGCAGCCGCCGCGGTCGCGGAGCGCGATCGTCGCGACCGTCGCATCGGGCCCCGCGGGGAGGAACTCGACGGCGCCGGCGAGCGCGTCGGCCACGCGCGCGGGCGGGCCCCGGAAGGCCACGGTCGACGCGTCGGGCGCGTCGAGCACGCGGACGCCCGCGGGCCGGACGAGGCGCAGCGCGCCCGCGGCGACGGACACGGTCGCCTCGAGGCTCCCCGAGTCCGCGTCGCCCGCGACGACACCCGCGAGGAGCGCCGTCCAGCGCTCCGTGCCGTTCGCGAAGGCCGCGGGCACGGCGACGGCGTCGGCGGCCAGCGCCAGCGTCGGCGCGTCGTTGACCGGCGCGACGGACACGCGCCACGACCGCGACGTCCAGGTCCCGGACGCGCCGCGGCGGACCTCGGCGACGGCGGCGACGAGCGTCTCCCGTCTGCGGCGCTCCTTGGCGAGGGCGTAGCAGGCGTGGGCGACCTCGACGGCGACGGCGTCGCTCGCGTCGACGGTCGATGCCGTCGGCGCCCACTCGCCGAAGAAGTCCGGCGGCGGCGCGTAGCGAAGGTTCGCGAGCGCCGCGTCCGCCGCCGCCCGCGACCCGGCGAAGCCGAGGTGCGACGCGTTGGCGCTCCAGAGCTCGAGACCCTCGACGCCGTCGACGGTCAACGACCCGAAGGCGAGCGCGAGGCTCACGTTGACGTACGCCGCGTCCGAGTACGACGCCGACGACAGAACGAGCGGCGGCACGGCCGCGACGGCGTCCTCCGTCGCCTCGAAGAGGACGCCGGCGACGACGACGTCCCCCCGGGGCGCCACGGCCAGCGCCGGGCCGGCGCCGGCCTGCGAGACGACGTCGATGGCCGTCGCCGCGGAGCCGCACGCGGACCCGTCGCGCGCGGCGACCGCGACCGCGACCGCGCCCTCGTGCTCCGGGCTCGCGTAGACCGCCGAGGCCAGGGCCGCGTTGACGCGGTCCGCCGCGCCCTCGACGTGGACGAACGCGCCCGCGCCGGCCGCGACGCCCGCGCAGGCCGCGGCCCACGCGGGCACGCCGTCGTCATCGGGGAAGACGCGCGCGCCCGCGAGCACCGCGGCGCCGCCGCCGAGGCGCACGTCGCCGGCGGACGCGAAGACGACGACCTCGAGGGCGTCGCCCGCGTCGGCGTCGGCGACGCTCAGCGCGAGGGCTGCCGCCGCGGCGGCGCCGACGGGCGCGACCGCCGGCGCCGCGGCCGCGGCCGCGACGGGCGCGTCCTCCCGGGGCGCCACGAAGGCCAGGACGTCCAAGACGGACGACGACAGCGACGTCTCGTCGGTGCGCTTCGCCATGCCGACGCGGAGCGTGTCGGCGCCGTTGGCGTCCGGAAAAGGCGCGTAGTAGATGCTAGCCATCGCGGCGACGAGCCCCCGCCGCGTGCCGCGGACTTTGAAGACGCGGCCGCCGGCGCCGAAGACGTCGACGTCGCTCGCGGCGAAGGAGATGCGGAAGGCGTCCTCCGGCGCCTCCGGCGCGTCGTACGCGAAGACGCCGCGGCCCGCGGCGAGGTACGCGACGACCGGGTCGTCCTCCGACTCCGGCGCGAGGAGGCCCCCGACGCTCAGCACGTCCGCCAGGGCGACGCGGTCGTCCTCGTCGACGCGGACGACGCCGGACCGGAGCGCGGCGCCGCCGGGGTCCAAAAGCCGCAGGAACGGCAGCGCGTCGACGGGCGCGGCGACGGCGATCGACGCGCGGAACGTCGCCGCCGCGCCCGCCGCGTCCGTCGCCGTCGCCGTCAGCGCCGCGACGCCCGTCGTGTTCGCCGCGTAGGACGCGCCGGCCAGCGCCGCGGCGACGCTCGGCGCCGCGCCGGAGAGGCGGAGCGCGGCGCCCGCGCTCGCGACGAGGCACCCGTCGACCTGTGTGGAATTCAAATCTCAACTCGACTTCAATGTGCGCATATGCGACAGTTTCGACGCAATTTCTTCGGCTGTGCTTCGAGAACTCGACGAGAGCAATCGATTCGTCCAAAAATCAGCCGAATCGACTTCGATTTGATCGAGCTAGAGAATTCTGAAGTTTGGTCGGGACCACCCAAACCGGTGGTTGACTTCGGCACAGCCGTCGACGGCCGGCGCGGACAGCGCCCCTCGGTCGACCTCGAGGACGACGTCGAGGTAGTCGGCGCCGTCGGCGTCGTTCACGGCGAGGCCCAGGGCCGCGGAGCGCCCCAGGGTGACCTCGAGAAACGCGTCGCCGGAGAAGGCGGGCGCGTCGTTCGCGGCGGCGACGCGGACGGCCGACCGCGCGGCGACGGTCGCGAAGCCGTCGACGGACGCCAGGAGCTCGTCGACGCCAAAGTCGTCGCGCGCCGGCACGTAGACGAGCTTCGCCAGCGTCGCCGCGAGCTCCGCGGGCGCGCCGGCGAGCTCGACGCCGCGATCGCCGAAAGTCGCCGCGCTCGACGGCAGCTTCGCGCCCGCGGCGACGGCGAAGGAGCCCAGCCCGCAGGACAGCGACAACCGCAGGGGCTTGGCGCCGGACACGAGAAAGGCCGGCGCGAGGGCCACCGCCGCGTCCTCGGTCGTCTCCAGGATCAATCCGGGCTCGACGGCCTCGCCGGCGGCGCCCTTGCGCGCGAACGCGGCCGCGAGCGCCGCGCGCGGCGCGCCCGCGCCCGCGCCGTCGACGACGTCGACGGTGATGGCCACGGTCTCCGCTGCGTCGCTCGACACGAAGATGCGCGTCGCGCTCACGGCGTCGGGCCCGCCGCGGACCGTGACGGCCTTGCCGTCCGCGGACGCGCGCGCGTGCGCGCGCGTGCGCGCCGCGTCCGCGCGGACGGTCGCGCGCCCGTCGACCGCGAACGTCGCCTCGAGCGTCGCGGCGCCGCAGGTCGTGCCCGCGTCGGCGTCGGTGAAGACCAGGCCCGTGAGCTCCACGTCGTCGCCGGCGACGGCCTCGAAGGCCGCCTCGTTTGCGACGACCGCCGGCGCGTCGTTCGCCGCCGAGACCACGAAATCCACGAAGGCGGACGCGGCCTCGGCGCCGTCGCCCTCGCCGTCGAGGCCCCGGTCCGTCACGGCCACGGTCACGCGCGCGAGGCCGCAGAAGTGGGCCGGCAGCGCCAGCGTCATCGCGGCCAGCGCGTCGTTCGCGTCCGCCGCGAGCGCCGAGAACGCGAGGCCGGACGCCGCCGGCGCCGCGTCGACGCCCGCGGCACCGTCGTCGAGCGCGAGCGTCGCGCCGGCGACGTCGACGGTGACGGCGACGTCGAGCAGCAGTTCGAAGGCCTCGGACTCCGCGTCGCCGACGGCGACCGGCGGGACGGCGACGACCGCGTCCTCGGCGACGTCGACGCGCGCCTCCGACGCGGCGGCCGTCGGCGGCGCGTTGGCGACGGGCGGCCGGGGCACGACGAGCGTCGCCGCCGTGCGCAGGCCCAGGGCCAGCGGGTCGACGGGCGTCGCGCCCGGATTCGCGTCCGCGACGACGATCGCGAGGACGTCGTCGACGCGCGCGGGCGACAGGTAGGCGTAGGCGACGCGCGCGAGCGCCGCGTTGACCCGCGCGGCCGACCCGACGACGGACACCTCGTTGGGTCCCGTGCCGACGGCGACGCCGTCCCAGGTCGTCGACGCGCCGACGAGCGCCGCGGACGTCGGCTTCAGCGCGAGCGAGCCGAGCTGCGACGCCACGTCGACGCGCAGCAGCCCCCGGCCGCCGTCCACATCGCCGACGACGATGGCCGCGCCGAGGCTCACGTTGACGTCCGCCGCGGGCACGTCCAGCGCGCCCAGCGCGACCGCCGGCGCGTCGTCGACGCCGGCGACGACGACGGCGACGCGCCGCGCGGCGACGGTGCCGCCGTCGGCGTGGCCGCGGAAGGCGCGCGCCGTCGCGTCCAGGGCGTCCTCGCCGAACCAGTCCGGCGCCGGGCTGTAGACGACGGCCGCGAGGGCCGCGTTCGCGTGGGCCGCGGCGACGCGGAAGACGAGCGCCGCTCCGCCCGGCGGCGCGATCAGCATCACGTCGACGTCCGCGTCCCCGAGCGCCAGGGTCCCGTGCGCCGCCGTCATCGACACGGTCAGCGCCTCGACGTCCTCGAGGCCGACGGCCACGAAGGCCGCGCCGAGGGTCAGGGGCGCGTCCTCGGCGCCGTAGAGCGTCGCGGGCCCGTCGTCGAAGGCCAGGAATTCGTCGCCGTCGTCGTCCGCGCCCTCGGCGACGGACACGCTGATGTTCAGCGACGTGCGGCGCACGCCGTCGGTGACGCGCACGGTCACGACGTCGGCGCCCGGCGCCGACGCGCGATACGCCAGCGCTCCGAGCGCCGATCCGAGCCGCGCCGCGCCGCCGCGCAGCGTCACGACCCCGTCGCCCGCCTCGACGTAGACGCCCGCCGGCGCGTCCACGGACACGTTCCCCGCCGCGCACGCGACTTCGACGTCGAGGGCGACGTCGCGCCCCTCGGGGTCCGCGAGCGCCACCGCGAGCGCCGCGGCCGACCCCGCGACGGCCTCGAGCGACGGCGGCCCGGCCAGGACGAGGTCGTCGACGACGCTCCGCACGTCGACGGCGACCCGGAGGTCGACGGGCACGCCGTCGAGGTCCGCGGCGAGGTAGCCGACGCCGTGCGCGTCCGGGTCCGGGTTGAAGACGAGGCCCCGGAGCGCCTGCGACGCGCGCGACGCGTTGCCGCGGATCCAGACGGAGCCGTCGGCGCGCTCGACGTGGTAGGCCGCGTCGACCGTGAGCTTGAGCGCCCCAAAGGGCGGGAAGACCGACACCTCGTGGATCTCGTGCGGCCGGGGGCTCTCCAGCTCGAGAAACGAGAGCGGCGCGGCCGCGTCCTCGGCCGTCGCCAGCAGGTTCGTCGACGCGACGAGGCGCGTCGGCGCGACCTCGACGGGTCCCGCCACCACGTCCACGTCCACCGTCGCCTCGGCCTCGTCGACGCCGTCGGAGACGTGGATCGCGACCGCGTCCGGACCCGGCTCGGCCGGGGCGACGTACGAGAGCTCCGCGAGGACGGCGCTCGCGGCGCGCGGCGCGGCCTCGAAGACGACGACGGCGCCGCGGGACAGGCCGCCGACGACGCGGGCGCCGGGCGGGGCCGCGGGGATGCGCACGGCGCCTCGCCGGGCCGACGCCGTCACGCGCAGGACGTCGCGCGCGTCCGCGTCCGCGACGGACGCCCCGAGGGCGCCGCTCCATCGGCCCGCGACGACGGCGACGGACGGCGCCGCCGCCACCGCGGGCGCCGCGTTGACGGGCGTCACGCGGAGCGCGAGCACGCGCGTCGTCTGCTTCGCGCCGCCGGCGCCCGAGCTGCCGAGGTCGTCGACCGCGACGGACAGCGTCGCGACGCCGCGGAAGCCCGGCGCCGGCGCGTAGGTCAGCGACGCGAGCGCCCCGTTGATGGTTTCGAGCGTGGCCTCGAGCGCCAGCGCGGGTCCGGCGCCGCCCGCGGCCCAGGCGAGCGTCCCGGAGCTCGCGGCGAGCGTCGCGCGCAGCGCGCCGTCGCCCGCGTCGTCGTCGGCGACGGACACGTCGAGCGCCACGGACGCCGCCGCGACGGCGACGACGTCGGCGCCGAAGCGCACGTCCGGCGCGCCGTTGACGCCCAGGACCGTCACGGAAAGGCTCGCGGACGCGCGCCGGGCCGTGCCGTCGACGCCCGTGTAGCCCAGGTCGTCGACGGTCACGGTGATGGCGTCCTCGGCGGAGACGCCGGCGACGGCGGGCGCGGCGTAGGTGAGCGGCGTCAGCGCCGCCCGCACGAGGGCCTGCGGGCCCCGGAACCGGAGCGCCGTCGAGTTCGTCTCGTAGAAGACGAGGCCCGCGGCCGTCGCGGCGGCGAGCGCGCCGCCCAGCGACGACTCGATCGTCACGTCGAGGACGCCGGCGTAGTCGTCGTCGACGTCCGGATCGCTGACGTCGACGTAGATCGGCGCCGTACCGGCCTCGACGACCTCGACGCGCTCCAGAGCGAAGGCGACGGCCGGCGGCTCGTTGTCGCTGACGTCGCCGTAGTAGCGGCTGTAGCGCGGCACGTCGTCGGCGCACGCCAGCAGCGCGCTGGCCAGGAGCAGCGCCGAGAAGGGCTGCATGCTGCCCAGCGCGACTACCATAAAGCCGCTGCTGTTTGTTCACTTGGGCTGCAAGGAGGGGCGAGGGCAAACCTTTTGTCACGGCGCCGGTGGGAGGTCCGGAGTACGCTCGCGAGCAGCCCCGAGGTTTGTGATCTCAGGCTTATGCTAGCTCTAGCTCGCGCGGGTCGAAGTCGCGGGGCGCGCGCCAAAACGAGAGTATCTTCCAGAAGACCTCTTTCGGGAGCTGCCTCCATGAGGTCGTGCGTGGCTCCTTTGGAGACGACGGGAAGAGCTCACGACTCGCGGCGACGACGTTCGCGCGCGCGTCCTCGGACAAGCATTTGTAGAGGTCGTAGGTGATTCCGAGCGGGCAGAACTTGTTGGGGCCCCAGACGCGCTCGTGCAAGCCGTCGCGCGACGTCGCTCGGCCTTTCTCGCAGAGTACGCGGAGCACGAGCATTTCGACGCGCGGCTCGCGGACATAGGCGCGCCAGCCACCCGCGCGGCGAACGCTTACGAGCAAGCTCGCGATGGTGTAGTTTTCGCTTCTGCGCGCGATGGCCTCGACGTCGTGTGTCGACGTCGTCAATTGCGACGCGCCGCGACTCAGAAGAAGCTGGATCACGGCCATGTTTCCATCTGCTGCCGCGTACATTAGCGGCGTCGCGGGCGCGCTGTCAGAGTGGTCCCAGTCGTCGTCCAGAATCGCTGGCTCGGGGCATAGGGCGTCGACGTTCGCGCCCGCGTCTAGCACGAGGGTCGCGGCTTTGTACACCCTGGATTTTTCGGGGCCTGGATCGATATTTCGCGCGATCGCATGCAAGGCAGTATACGCGACAGGGCCAGCCGCGTTGGTGTCCGCGCCGTTTGCGAGGAGGAAGCGGACCACCTCGCACTCACCCTTCCACGCCGCATTGGTTAACAGCGTCCAGCCGTCCTCATCAAACCCGTTGATGTCGCTGCCGTCCTCCTTCAACCATTCCTGAATTTTGGCGAGGTCTCCGAAATGCGCGGCGGTCTCGATTACGTCGGGCACCAGGGCCATTGCCGCTAGGACGACAGCCACCGCGCCCAGCGGGCTGGCCGACGTCTCGCCGGCATCAATGTTAGCTGTGTTGAACTTCAACTTGAACGAACCAGCGAGATCTAGAGCCTAGGCCTCCCCTTACTCACCCTTCCCGCCGGCCTCGAGGGCGCGGGCCGCGCGCGCGACGACGGCCGGGTCGAGGTCCACGGCGAGGCCCGAGGACCGCCGCGTGCCGCCGCGCGTGGGGTCCTTGGCGTCGCTCGGCGGCGGGAGGAAGACGGCGGAGCCGCGGCGCGTCGCGACCTTGACGCAGGCCTCGAGCTCCTCCTCGTCGTGCTTGATGGACTCGCCGCCGTGCTCGCCGAACCAGACGGACGTCGCGAGCACGAAGGCCTTGTCGCCCGCGTGGACGAAGTCGTAGGCGCGCGGCGTCGTGTAGACGTAGGGCAGGCTCCGGTCCGTCGCGCCGTGGGGCACGCGCAGGAGGCCGATGGGCAGCGCCGCGTGCGCGTTGCAGTAGTCGAAGAACTTGAGGTAGCGCTCGTCGACGAACGCCGGCGGGATGTCGACGAGCGAGATGTGGCAGGACTCGCGGACGATGCCGTCCCGCAGGCGCTCGTGGTAGAGCAGGCCGTCGTCGCGCCAGGAGCAGATGGCGTGGAGCGTGAAGGGCAGCGCGGCGCTGCTGTGGTAGACGTTGACGACCGCGCTGTCGAGGAACGTCGGCTCGACGATCTCGCCGCCCGTCTTGAACTGCATCGACGGCGCGTTGTAGCGCAGGTAGCGCGCGTTCGTCGCGTCGTGCATCTCGATGAGCATGCGCGGCCGGAAGTCGGGCACGTACCTCCACGGCGCGTCGAGCGGGACGCCGCGGACGCGCGCGATGATCTCCTGGACGTTGCGCACCGCGCGCACGGCGAAGTCGTCGCCGTTCAGGTTGTTCGCCACGTCGGCGAAGTTGTTGTTCGGCAACACGAAGGACTGGGCCGCCTCGACGCGGCACCGCTCGAGCGGCGCGAGGTGGCCGCTGTGCGCGCGGCCCTCGCGCGGGTCGCCCGCGACGATCCAGAGCCGCGTCGGCGGGCCGTCGGCGTCCGGCTCGTAGAAGGTGATGGCCTCGAAGCGGCTCCGCGCGCCGTCGCTCTCCACGGAGTCGCCGTTCGCGCAGAGGTAGCGGAGCTGCGGGTCGAGGACGACGACCTTGGGCAGCTCGCGCGGCGGCGCGTCCGTGCCGTTGTTCCACTCGATGTTCGCGAACATGAGGGGCTGGAGGAAGCACATCAACGAGTGGACGGGCCCGCAGAAGACGACGTGGCCGCTCAGGTCCGGCGGCGCCTCGTCGACGACGTGGACGCCGAACCACGCGTCGAGGTACGCGACGCGCGCGGCCTCGGTCCACGTCTCCAGGTTGCAGGCCTCGGCCATGGCGGCCTGGGCCGTGCCCTCGCCCAAGGCGAAGGGGGCGCCGCCGCCGTCGGAGCCGCCCTCGCTCCCGGGGCTCCGCGTGAGGTCCGACGGCCGGTCGCGCGCCTCGTCGTCCCGGACCTTGGCCTCGCCCGCGCCGCCGGCGCGCGGCAGCTCGCGCGCGCTGCACGCGGGCACCAGCAGCTGGAGGTTGCGGTGGCTCGACTCGACCTTCGGCTGCACCTTGGACCCGAGGCTCCGGAGCGCGGACTCGTAGTCCTTCGAGGCCATCTCGTGCGCGACCGTCAGCTCCGCCTCGGCGGCGTCCGTCTCGGCCTTGCTCCGGCTCGCCTTGGCGCAGGGGAAGAGCTGGCTGTCCCAGACCTCGTCGAGCGCGTCCGCGCGGCTCTGGAAGTCGTTCCACGTCTCGAAGTCGTTCACGGCCTGCGTGTCGCGCGCGACCACCAGCAGCGTGTCCTTGTGGCGGAGCTGGTAGTCGTAGGGGAAGTTGACGACGTGGGCGCTGCCGCGCGTCTTGTTGCACTCCGCGCCGCTGTCGTCGAGCTGGATGAGCCACGGCGCGGACGTCCGCGCCTTCGACGTCGGCGACGCGGCCGCGCCGCCGCCCGCGACGCCGCAGGACGTCGACACGGCCACGGGCAGCACGCCGAAATGCAGATAGGCGAGGCGGCTCAGCTCGTCGAAGCGCATGCCGATGGCCTCCCGGGGGATCTCCGCGACCTCGTGCACCGTCGCGTGCTGGCCGATCGCGAGCTCCTCCTCCACGGACAGGGGCGCCCAGGTGCCGTCGCGGCCCTTGATGTAGCGCGTCGACCGGCTCGCCATGCGCGCCCGCTCCTCCTCGGACGCGCAGAGCTTCCTGAGCCACTTCCGCGGCGCCTCGTACACGTCGGAGAATTTCGGCATGAGCCGCTCGGGCACGTAGTCCACGTCCAGGGCCTTGGTGAGCTCCTCCGTGAAGCTCCGCGAGATGGTGTCGAAGCCGTTGGAGCCGTCCTTGCCGCCCTTGCCGCTGCCCGCGACGAGCAGCCCGCTCAGCAGCGTGTGGAGCGCGGGCACGCGCACGGACCGGCCGAGCATCGCGTACTTGAGCTGCTCCACGCAGACGAGCTCGCAGCGCTCGCCGTGGAGCCGGTGCAGGTTCCGCTCCAGGAGGAGCTGCGTGATGAGGCGCACCTTGGGGAACGTGCGGCGGATGACGAGCGCGCGCTGCACCGCCGCGTTGTCCTCGGCCTGCATCTCCGCGGGCACGGAGATCTCCGAGTTCGCCAGGTTGATGAAGCAGACGGCGCGCGCGCCGGCGACCCACTGGCGCAGGTGGGCCTCCTCGAAGACGCTCCCGCTGACCCACTTGACGCGCTCGCTGTAGTAGGGGTGCTGGAGCACGCGCTCGCGGACCGTCGCCGGCGGGTCGTGGTGCTGCAGCAGCACGACCTGGGCAGCACAAGGGCGATTCAACGTCGCTTCAACGTGAGTGTTCCGCGCGCGCGCGTTCCGGAAAAAGCATCCACGCTTCGAGACCGTTCCGAGAGATGATCGCTCGTCCAAAAATCAGCCGAAACGAGTGGAAAACGGCCGAGATATGAGCCTTTGAAGTTGGGAATTTCGCTCTCTTGTGCTGCCCTGAGCACGACCTGGAGCTCGATGTCGACGGACCCCCGCTCCGGGTGGTAGAGCTGCTCGAGGAGCACGGGCAGCTGGCGGCCGAGCTTCTCGTCGTTGGCGCCGAGCTCGCCGACGACGACGATGTGGTGCCAGTCGCCGTGCGTGTGGATCCGGCCCGCGGTCGCGTACGGCGACTGCGCGGCCACGAGGTCGTAGATCTGCGACCCGATGGTCGGCACGGCGACGACGGCGATGGGCACGGCGACGGCGACGATGAGCCGGGAGATGATCTGCTGCGGGTAGATGTCGCCGTAGCCCACCGTCGTGAACGTGATGATGACGAAATAGAACGCCTCGAGGAACGACAGCGGGTCCTCCGTGAACTGGGACACGCCGTTGATGTCCGAGATGCCCTCGAGCTGGTAGACGCAGCCCGTGAGCACGAAGAGCGCGCAGAAGATGATGAGGAGCAGCGCCAAGACCTGCCGCATGACGCCCGGCGAGTAGAAACTCAGCAGGCGGTGGAGCCGCAGGAACCGGAGCACGCGGAACGCGCGGAAGATGGCCAGGAACTTGAGCAGCTTCTCCGAGTTGTCGCCCTTGGCGCCGGACCACTCCACGACCAGGCTCATGATCGGCAGCACGCTCAGGAAGTCGCAGATCGTCACGAGCTTCGACATGTGCTCGTGGCGGTCGTAGGCGATGAAGAGCTCGAAGAAGAAGATGAAGAAGAACCACACGAGCAGGCCCGACTGGAGCCGCTGCTCCCACTCCGGGGGGGACGTGTTGCGCTGCTCGTGGTACGTGCCCTGGATGTAGCCCACGACGCTCGCGATCGTCGCCGTCGCGTTGACCGTGCTGTAGATGACGTGGACGGAGCCGATGTGGACGAAGTCCCGCAGGATGGCGCTGCTGCGCATGCGCCCGCGCTGCTTGTGGGTCATGGCGCCGCCCCCGCTCCCGTCGCTCTCGCCGAACAGGTAGTGGCGCAGATCCCCCATGGAGTAACTCGACCCGTGGCCCTTGGTCAGGCGCCGCGATTCCGGCTTTTGCTCCGCCATCCCGTTCGTTCGCTTCCGCACGCGGCCCTCCTCGGCCGCGTCGACCCCGTGATGGACGGCCAAGGAGCAGCCCCAGACCTCGCAAACTCGAAACCAAGATATGCTCAAGGATCTCCTGAGGCCAAAGTTCCCGAGGCTGCCCCCAATGTGTCGATGATCGACGTGGGCCCGGGGCAGCCATCACTCACGCAAGCAACCAACAACAACAAGCGGCGACCGCCGAAAGACGCGACGAACATGCAGCTCGCATCGGTCATCGCGCTCATGCTCCTCCTCGCCACGCCGCTCGCCAACGAGACCGCCCCGGAGGCGTCGCCCGCCCCGCCGCCCGACCCGAATGCGACGACGGCGCGCCAGCGCACGCTCCAGTGCGTGGCCAACTACAGCAGCGCCCTCGCGTTCCACTTCGCCGCCGACGCAGCGGGCCGGTCCGCGCTGCGCAAGCGCATCGCCGCGAGCTTCCGCGCGCGCGACGACGACGCGCGGCGCGGCCTCAAGGACAAGCCGAACGCGAGCCTGAAGGAGCTCGTGCTCGGCATCGGGCCCGGGAGCTCGGGCACGCGGTCGACGTTCATGGCCATGGCGCTCCTCGACTTCGCCGCGCAGCACTACAAGGTCCGCTACGAGCCCCGGGGCTGCGCGTGGCGCCAGCGCGTGCCGACGAAGCGGCCGGACCCCATCGACGACCGCGACACCATGTACTGGGGCGACACGCCCGTCTTCTACGCCTGGCCGAACCTGTGGCGCCGGCTGCCGAACGCGCGCTTCCTCATGACGGACGTCGACGCGGATCGGTGGCGCGACAAGCGGCTCTCGTTCCGCCGCGGCTACTGCGCGAAGAGCGGCGTGCGCGCCGACTGCCTCGTGCCCCTCGCCTTCGCGCCGGACCGGCGGCTCATGAAGACTTTTGATCTGAACTCGACGTCGCGCGACGCGTGCCGCGGCGCGTGGGCCGCGCTCCGGGGCTTCGCGCGGTGCGCGATCCCGCCGGAGCGGCTCCTCTGGATGAACCTCGCGAAAGCGGCGCACCCGGGCGACCTCTGGGCCCAGCTCCTGGACTTCCTCGGCCTCGACGATTCCGCGGAGCTCCGCGACCCGCGGTCGAAGAACGGGAGTGCCGTCGTCCTCGCGAGAAACGCGACGCCGTTCCCCCACTGGGGCGAGCACAACTGCGACATGGGCGGCGTCAACTGCAAGGAGTGGCTCCCCTGCGCGACGGCGACCTAGGCGCGCCTAAGGTCCCGGAGGATCGCCGCGGCCGCGTCCTCGCCGGAGACGACCGCGCCGTCGATGTAGCCCGGGTTCTTCCGCGCGTAGTCGCTCCCCGCGACGTAGACGCGGTCCTCGTAGCCGCGGAAGCGGTGGTCGAAGGCCATGGCCTCGAGCTCGGGCCAGAAGCTCGAGAGCGCGCCCGGCGGCAGGAAGCTGCCGTACGCGCCGCGGCTGTAGCGCCGGTGCGCCCAGTCGTGCTCGATGGCCGCCAGGCGCGGCGTCGGCGGTTCGGTCACGGAGAACGCGTCGAGCACGAGGGCCTCGATGGCGTCGGCCCGGTCCGCCCGGGTCGCGAAGTCGCGGAAGAGCCGCCGGTTGCCGTCGCCCTCGACGAAGCACGAGAGCACGCCGCGGCGCCAGGACTCGGGCGAGTTGTCGAGGCAGAGCGACGCGTAGGTCTCGCGGCCGTCGGCGACGACGATCTTGCCCAGGAAGCCCAACCCGCGCCACCAGGGCGCCGCGTAGACGAGCGAGTACTTGAGCGACGTGCCCATGGGCACGCGCTGCAGGAGCTGCGCCGTGCCCGCGGGCAGGAGCGGGTCGAAGTCGATGCCGTTGAGGAGCGGCGGCGCGAGGCCCGCGAGGAGCACGCGGTCCGCGACGTACGCGCGCCGCGCGGCGAGCGAGACGACGGTGAACCTGTGCCGGAAACAACCGGTGGAAAAACTTCGAACCTCTCGAGCTCGGTCACATCGAAGTCGATTCGGCCGATTTTTGGACGGATCGTTTTTCTCTCGGCGAGCTCTTTTTTAGACAGTGAAAAAAGATATGTCGAACTCGTGCGAACACATTGAAGTCGTGTTGACTATTTTTGTTTCCCGCCCGGCGGCGAACGTGCCGTCGGAGTTCTTCGCCACGGAGTCCGCGGGCGTGTCGTAGTCGACGTCGAGCCGGGCCGCGAGCGCGAGGGCCGGGCCCTGCGTGCCGCCGCGCACGCGGTACCAGTCCTCCTTCTCCGAGTCCTCGCTCGCGTCCGTGCAGTTGTAGGTCCAGAGCACGCCGAGCAGGCCCATCGCGCCGAGCGACTCCGCGTCGTCCGCGAAGGCGCTGAGCGCGTAGTGCGCCTCGGGCGTCGTCACGCCCCCGTCCCGCAGCCAGCTCTCGAAGCTCGCGGCGTCCGCGTCGGCGTGGTGCGCCAGGGGGTCGCCGCAGGGCACCTCGGCCGCGAGCGCCCCGAACTCCGCGGACAGCCGCGCGATCTCCGCCCGGGCGGCCGGCGGCCACGCCGACGCGACGCCGGCGTCGCTCGTCGTGTACGCGCGGCCCGCGGACGTCTCGACGACGATGCGCAGGGACTCGTTGCGCGCCGCGTTGAACGGCCGGTGGAAGACGCCGAAGCCGAGCTCCGTCTCGATGAGCCGGCGCGCGGCCGCGTGCTCCGGCGCGAGCCACTCGCCGCCGAGCGCGATGACGTCGTCCGTCGCCACGTTCCGCCGCCCCGTGACGACGTCCTCGTTGAGCGTGCGGCCCCCGGCGCGGGACCGCGCCTCCAAGATGCGCACGTCGACGCCCGCGGCGGCGAGCACGCGGCCGGCGGCCAGGCCCGCGTAGCCGGCGCCGACGATGAGCACCTCCGCGCGATGGCGCTCGAGCGCCTCGTCGGCGCGCGCGAGCGCCGCGACGACGACGACGAGCTTGAACATCGTCGCGGGCTGCCTCGACTCGCTTCGGAGAGCGATGCAACGACTTTTGGTGAAGCGGTTAACGTGCACTTGCGGTGGGCCGCCGTCGCCTGGAACCGGACCCGGCGGGCCCAGCTCCGTTTCGCCGAGCACTCTGTGCGCGACTCCCCTAAAGTCGCGTCCGAGAACGCAGACCCGAGCTTCCAGGCGCATCTCGCACCAGCGAATCCCATCCTGCCAGTGGATGCATACCAGTACCTGCGAATACGGATGGTGCAGTACACGAGGCGTAAGGCCCTTAAGTAGCACGGTGCTTGCTCGCGCCCTTACTCCGTAGCGCACCCCGCCGCGGAGGGCCCTCGCTTCAGTTTCTTCCTCAGAAACTCACAGACCGGGGCCGAGCTCGAGGCCTGCCGCCGCGACGGGAACCATGTTGCCGTCGACCTCAAGGAGGTAGTTGTTCTGGTCGTTCCAGGATCCATCGATGCCCGCGCCGCCGATGGACCACTTGTGCACAACGTTGCCGACCATGCCCTTCTGCGGCTTCCAGCCGGCCGCCCAGCCGGCGACTTTGGACAAGTCTTTACCGCCCTTCGCACGCCACTCTTCGCGCGGCCACTTGTCCGGGAGATTCATCAGGCCCGAGTACGCCATGCCCGCGTCGACGATCTTCGCTTGGTTCTGCGTCAGCACGACCGCGGACCCGGAAGCGGCCGCGTAGTAGCCAGTGGGCGCGCGCTCCGCCGGGGGCGCAGCGGCAGGAGGCGCCGCGGCGGCAGGAGGCGCCGCGGCGGCAGGAGGCGCCGCGGGCGGAGCCGCGGGCGCCGGCGGAGCCGCGGGCGCCGGCGGGGGAGCGACTGCCGCCGGAGGAGCCGCAGGGGCCGCCGCCATGCCACGCGACGCCATGTACTCCTCAAACGACTGAAAGACGACCGTGGACGTGCGCGGGAACGACTTGGGGGCGAAGCCCTGCGCGCCCAGCGCGAGCGCCGCGATGATAAGCTTGAAGAGGGCCATCGTGCACCGAGAGGCAAGCGTCTGACGCGGAAGATTCGAGCATCGTGCCGCTGTGATTGAGGCGCTTCCGAAGCCGGCCACCATCCGCGCGGTCCGCACCGAGCAATGCGCCTCTGCTTCAACGCCGCGGCCATCCGCGCCGTCAGCTTCGACGTCACGGGCACGCTGCTCTTCCACAAGGAGAGCATCGCGAAGACCTACGCCGACGCGGCGGTCTGGGCGCGGCTCGACGACCCGCCGACGGCGGAGGAGCTCAAGCCGGCGTTCAAGCGCGCCTACAAGAGCGCGTGCCTCGAGCGGCCGTGCTTCGGCTACGACGCCGGCGGCGAGAAGGCGTGGTGGGCCTACGCCGTGCGGAGCGCGCTCGAGAACGCGGGCCGGACCGTCGACGACGCGACGTTCGCGCGCTACTTCCGCCGCGTCTACCAGTTCTACGGGTCGCGCGAGGGCTACGAGCCCCTGCCGGACGCGCGGCCGGCACTCGACGCGCTCCGCGACCGGGGGCTCGCGCTCGGCGTGACGTCGAACACGCCCGCGCGGACGACGGACAGCGTGCTGCCGATGCTCGGGCTCCACGACCACTTCTCCTTCTTCGCGTCGTCGAGCGACCTGGGCGTCGAGAAGCCCGACGCGGGCATCTTCGAGGCGGCGCTCGAGCGCGCGCGGTTCTGGTGCGGCGCCGACCTCGCGCCGCACGAGGTGCTGCACGTCGGCGACTCCTTCGAGTGCGACTACCTGGGCGCGCGCGCGTTCGGCTTCCAGGCGCTCCACCTGGACCGGTCGGGCAACGAGCTCGTCGTGAAATACAACGACTGGGTCCTGCCCGGCGAGTTCGACGAGGACGAGGCGAAGCGCTGCACGATCACGGACCTCGGCGCGATCGTCGCCTACATCGATGCGGGCGCGTCGTGGTAAGTATAATGTAAACCTCGTCCTCGTCGAAGCGCTGCACGATCACGGACCTCGGCGCGATCGTCGCCTACGTCGACGCGGGCGCGTCGTGGTAAGTATAATGTAAACCTCGTTCTCGTCGAAGCGACGCACGATCACGGACCTCGGCGCGATCGTCGCCTACGTCGATGCGGGCGCGTCGTGGTAAGTATAATGCAAACCTCGTCCTCGTCGGAGCAAAAAAACCCCTACATCTTAAACCAGGACGCGAGGGACTTGAGGGGCCCGTTGCAGGAGTCGTGGGCGTCGCGGTCGACGTCGTGGCCCGTGAGCTGGAGCCGCGCGCACTGCACGGCTTCGGCCGGCGGGCTCGCGGCGCCGCCGGCGACGACCCAGGCCGCGTCCTCGAGGGACTCGAGGGACTGGCGCTCGAGGTCCGCGAAGGCGCGCGCGCGGCACGCGGCGATGCGGTAGCGGATGCGGCGGTCGCGCTGGCCCCGGCGGAAGTAGACGTCGCGCCACTCGACGACGGCGGACTCGTTGGCCCGGTGGTGCACGGCGCTCGCCTCGCGGACGAAGCCCTGCGTCGCGTCCGCGCCGAGGACGACGTCCGCGTGGACGACGGCGGACTGGACGCGCGCCGCCGCGTGGTGGCGGCCGTCGTCGGAGAAGGCGTCGTCGTCGTCGTCGGGTCCGCCGAAGAGGGACGCCCAGGGCGGGTCGTCGCGGCGCGCGTCCGCGCCGAAGGCCTCGTCGTCCGCGTTCGCGCCGCCGCGGAGCACGCAGCTCAGCCTTTGGGACCGCGTCTGCCACTGCCAGCAGACGACGTGGTCCTCGCTGAAGCTGTCCGTCAGGTCCGCCGACGCCTGGAAGACGCCGCCGACGACCCGCGCGGGCGCCCAGGGCGCGCGCTCGAGCAGCAGGCTCGCCGGCGACCGGAAGCCCGCGTGGCGCAGGTGCGCGAGCGTCGCGGGCCCCATGGCGTCGCCCGGGTCGCCGTCCTCGAGGTCCGCCGTCGCCACGGCGACGTGCCGCAGGTCGAACGTCGCGCCGCACGCGCCGCCGAGCGCGGCGAGGAGCCGCCGCCGGCCCGCGGCGTCGCGGACGACGGCGCCCCGGTCGTGCGTGTGGCGCGCGCCGATGGCGCCCGCCACGGAGACGCGCCCCGGCGCCGCGTCGTCGTCGCCGCCGTCGTCGCGCGCGTCGTCGTAGGCCGCGAGCGCCGCGAGCGCGGGCAGCGCCGCGCCGTGGTTGAAGAGCTCGAAGAGCCGGAGCCGGCCGACGCCCCAGCGGCACCGCGCGTGCCAGGGCCGCACGAGGGGCTTCGCCACCGTGCCCCGCGAGCAGGCGACGTGCACGCGCTCGAGCGCGCGCGCGATCTCGACCTGGGCAGCAAAAGGGTGCGAAATTCCCAACTTCAAAGGCTCCTCTCTCGGCCGCTTTCCACTCGTTTCGGCTGATTTTTGGACGAGCGATCATCTCTCGGAGCGCTCTCGAAGCGTGGGTGCTGTTTTCGAAACGCGCGCGCGCGGAACACTCACGTTGAAGCGACGTTGAATCACCCTTTTGCTGCCCTGATCTCGACGTGGCGGCCCGTGTCCGCGGCGATGGACGCCGCGGACGCCGCGCCCGCCAAGTAGTCGCCGTAGCAGCCCCGCGCGCCGTGCTCGAGGCAGGCCTCGAGCGCCGCGGCGAAGCGCCGCGCGTCGCCGCGCGCGTTGGAGAAGCGGAGCGCGAAGCGGCCGTCCTCGAGCGCGGTCCGCATCGCGGCGGCCGCGGACACCTCCGCGGCCGCCGTCTCGAGGTCCGCGAGGAGGCGCTCGCGGTCCTTGGCGCGACCGACGGCGGCCTCGGCGCTCGCCGCGGGCGCCGCCGCGGCCGACGCGCCGCGCCGGCCGAGGAGCGCGGCCGCGAGGAGCCGCGCGGACGACCTCCGCCGCGCGGCGACGTCGACGGACTTGGACGCGCGCGCGACCTCGAGCATGCGCGCCGACCGCCGCGCCTCGTCCTCGGCGGCCGACGCGCGCTCGCTCGCGCGGCGGCACTCGCCGTAGAGCTCCGTCGACGCGAGCGCCGAGTCGCGGTCGTCGCCGGGCGGCGGCCGCTCCGCGGCCGCCGACGACAGCCGCCGCTCGAGCGCGACCTGCTCCGCCGACGACAGCCGCTGCTCGAGCGCCTCCTTCTCCTTGAGCAGGTCGCGCGTGTACTGCCGCAGTTGCCGCAGCTTCTCCTTCGACTCGTCCTTCGTCGCGGGCTTCGGCGACGCGGGCGTCGGCGGGTCGGGAGGCCGCGGCGACGCGGCGGGCGTCGGCGGGTCGGGAGGCCGCGGCGACGCGGCGGGCGTCGGCGGGTCGGGAGGCCGCGGCGTCGCGGCGGGCGTCGGCGGGCCGGGAGGCGTGTCGTCGGGAGGCGGCTTCGCCGCGGCCGCGGCGCCGTCGCCGAGCGCGCCGCGCAGCGCCGTGAACCCGCCGGACGTGCGCTGCAGGTCGATCTCCCGCGGAGGTCCGGCGCGCCGCGGCGCGGACCGCTGCTGCTCGTACGATGGCCGCTGGTGCTCGTAGGCGGACCGCTGCTCCCGCTGCTCGCGCGCGGCGTCGAGGCGCGCCTTCGCCACGGCCAGCTTGGCCTCGGCGTCCCTGGTCGTCGGGGAGCCCCGGTCGCCGCGCAGGAACGCCGGCGCGTCCCGCTCCTCCACGGCGCGGTCGTCCCCGCGCGTGACGGGCAGCGCTCTGGCGCCCCAGATGGGGCCGTCCTCGGACATCGTGATGATGTGTCGGGCAGCCTTCGGCATCCAAAACCTTCGACGAACGTTGCACTTCTCAACGTGGTTCGGCGCGCGCGCACAGTTGAGTTGCATGACAGACTCTAATTGGGTGGGCGCGAGGGCCGGGGCTGCGGTCATACGTTCTACGCAGCCAGGACGGCCACCCCTGGAATGCTGCGATGCCATTCGGTCCAATGATTCGGAATGTTCAAAAACAACATCTCTAAGCGGTGTTTAACCGTGACATCCCGCCGGCGGGGTATGTTAGGCCAAGCAGCTCAAGCAGCCCGGGAGCGACGCACACAGCTACTACGTAGTAGACATGTACAGTTAAGCGTCGATCGGACACGCGCGGGTCAGATCTCTTCGTCGTAGGGCGCGTAGACGGCCGCGAGCCTCCGGAGGCAGGCCTGGAGGGCGCCGGAGAAGTCGGCAAAGTCGGCCCGCGCCCGCGTGTTCCACTCGTCGGCCTCGTAGCCGAAGCGGTCCCGCAGGAGCGACGCGCGGTCCGGCGTCATCTTGAGGAGCGCCTTCGCGGCGGGCCGGAGGACCCAGTTGTGGTGCTTCGCGAGCGTCTTCTGGTAGGCGCGCGTCGCGATGGCGCTGATGGTCCGCTCGTCCGTGGCCAGGTCGTCGGCCTCGAGGACGTCGTCGATGAGGCGGCCGACGAGGTTGAGGATCCGCGCGTTCCACAGGGCGGCGACGAAGACGGAGTCGTCGTCGCCGCCCGCGCCGCGCGCGACCTCGTCGGCGACGGCGACTTCCACGTCGACGGTCGCCGCGTCGCCGAAGCGCTGCTCGAGCTTGGCGACGTTGACGTTGACCATCTTCGTGATGCCGCAGCCGAGCGAGTCGAGCCACGGCCCCAGGGCGGACGTCGCGTCGACGAACGCGCGGCCGTCGACGCCGCCGCCGTCGGTCGCCGCGGCGCGGAAGAGCGCCGCGGCGACGCCGAGGGAGTGGCCCGCGACCGTGAGGCGGTGCGCCGGCGCGAGCTCCGCGAGGTCGAGCGGCGCCGCCGCGGTCTCGTCGCTCGCCGCGAGCTCGTCGAAGCGGTCGACGGGCTCCGGCATCACGACGGCCGCCGTCTCGCCGAACGCGGGCGCCGACTCGCGCCAGCGCACGGCGGGCTCCCGCGCCGGCGCCGGCGCGTCCCGCCGCAGGCGCCGGCGGTACGCGGGCGCCGGCCCGCCCCAGCGGCCGACGCGCGCCGCGGACTGGAACAAAACGGTGCAGACGAGCGCGAAGGCGAGGGCCGTGCGGGCCACGAGGCCCCAGGTCCGCGTCAGCGCGCCGGTCTCCTCGTCGCTGTCGTCGGAGGAGTCGTAGCGCGAGAGCTGGAGGTCCGAGCGCTTCGCCTTCTTGAGGCGCTCGGCCGTGCGCGCGCTCGTCTGCAAGTCGCGCTCGACGATGGGCAACAGGCTCGCGTCGTGGGCCATGAGGCGCATGGTTGGTTGCTAAATGTGTGTTCCGGCGAACGCAGTACACGACTGCTACCTCCGTTCCGGATGACGAGGACGGTGACGGAGCTAGCGAGAGCACCATGCAAACGTTGGGAGAGCATCAAGGCCTTCAAGTACGCTACTAGTAATTATCGACGCCCTGCGGCAAAAAAAAAACGCCCTCCCGCCGTCGTCTCGGTCTATTATTTCCCGACGGCGCTCACGTCGACGACGTCCGGGCCGGCGTCGGGCGCCGGCGGCGGCCGTCGATGGGCGTCCTCGGGTGGCGCGGGCGGGTCCGGCGGCGGCGGCGGCGACAGCAGCGACTCCAGGGCGCGGAGGCGGTTCGTGCGGGTCGGGCGCGCGAGGACCATGTGGAGGTGGCCGGCGGGGTCGACGAAGTCGACGACGGCCGCGCGCGCGCCCGCGTCGTCGAAGCCCGCGGAGAGCGCGACGACGGCTCGGAGCCACGCGTCGAGCGCCGCGCGGCGCTTGTCGAGGTAGCGCGTGTCCGGGAAGCCGACGCGGCTGAGCACCGACTCCAGCGAGCGCCGCGAGCCCGGCAGCGGCGGCGTCCGCGCCGCCCGCTTCAGCGCGGCCGCGAGCGCCTTGAACTCGGAGTAGCGGCGCCTGGGCAGCACAAGGGTGATTCAACGTCGCTTCAACGTGAGTGTTCCGCGCGCGCGCGTTCCGTAAAAAGCATCCACGCTCCGAGAGCGTTCCGAGAGATGATCGCCCGTCCAAAAATCAGCCGAAACGAGTGGAAAACGGCCGAGATATGAGCCTTTGAAGTTGGGAATTTCGCTCTCTTGTCCTGCCCTGAGCGGCGCGGCGTCGCCCAGCCCCGGAAGTCGTCGTCGGGTTGGGGCGCGCCGCCGGGCCCCCGCGTCGCGCAGCAGACCTCGTAGAAGGCGGCGACGCCGCCGCCGCCGCCCGCGTCGTCGCGCGCGAGCTCGAAGCGCGGGATGCAGACGCGCAGCAGGTCCGGCAGCGCCGCGAAGCGGCGCTTCAGCAGGCCCTCGAGCATGGCGCGGGCGCCGGCGTCGAAGGCGCCCGTCTCGCCGCCGACGCCCGGCGGCGGCGGCGACGGGTAGTAGTCGACGCCGAAGCGCTCGAGCTCGCGGCGGACCGCGGCGTCCGCGGGCGCGGCGCGCGCGTCCGCGAGCGCGACGACGGCCGCGGGCGTCGACGGCAGCATCTCCTCGAGGTGGTCGACGGCGCCGTGGAGGCACTCCTGCGGGCCCGCGCCGAGGCAGCTCAGCAGGACCTCGACGCGCGCGGCCCACATCGGCAGCAGCGTGCGCCCGACCTTGGACACGTCCCAGGCCGTGACGCGCACGTCGCCGACGACGAGGCGCGCGACGTTGTTCTCCCGCTCGCCGCCGAGCAGGCTCGCCCACCGGTCCAGCAGCGTCGCCGCCCAGGCGCCGGACACGGCGATGCCCAGCTCCTGCTTGCCCGTCTTGGCCATGGAGGCTGCCCCGCCGGGCGGTGTCGTCGGAGCACGATGTTCGTCGTGCCTCCCGCGGCGGCGACGCCCCGGCGGGCGGACCAGGCCGCGCGGGTGCCGTCGGACGGCGCCAATCCGAACAGGCACACTCGAATCGTGTAGCTGTTGGCGGATAAGGATTAAGGCCGACAGAGAGAACACCAACCTCTGAGCTGCTATGAAACTTATTGCACTCGCAAACTTGGCCAAGGTACCTTTGTGGCAGAAGCTCGACGCCTCCATCGTCCAGCCGGGCGCTTCGACGCGTCGAGCATCGCGGCAACTCTCCGAGCCCATTACCTCGGCCGCGCTTCTTCGACGCGTCGAGCATCGCAGCACCGACGCTGTGTGTGCATGCGCCGGCTCCTCTGCGCGCTCGCGACCATGTCCGGCCTCGCGCTGAAGGAGATCAAGGACCCGAACACCTACGCCGCGCTGCTCTACGCGCCGCCCGCCGCGGCCACCAGCGACGCGCCCTGGCCGCTGCTCTTATATCTGCACGGCGCCGGCGAGAGCGGCACCGACGTCCGCGGGCTCATCAGCGAGGGCGCGACGGGGACGCCGCCCGTGTCGCTCGAGAGGGGCGTCGCGATCCCGGCGCTCGCCTCGTCGTTCGTCGTCGTCGCGCCGCAGACGTCCTTCGGCTGGGCGCCGGACGACGTGTCGCGCTTCGTCGACTTCCTCCTCGCGAGCGCCGACGTGCCGGCCCTCGACGCGACGCGGCTCTACGTGACGGGCCACTCCATGGGCGGCAGCGGCGCGCTCCACGCGGCGACGACGAGGCGCTTCGCCGCCTGCGCGCCCGTCGCGCCCGCGGGCTCCGCGCGGCCCGCGGCGCTCTCGGGCGTGCCCGTCTGGGCCTTCCACGGCGCGAACGACGTCATCGTGCAGTCGTACATCAGCGCGAAGCTCGTGGACGCGCTCCGCAAGGCCGGCGCGTCCGAGGACGACGCCCGGGCGACGATCTACCCCGAGGCGCCGACGCCGCCGGGCTGGCCGACGTCCGTCGGCCACGCGTCGACGATCCCCACCTACGCGAACCCGGACCTGTACGCCTGGCTTTTGAGCCACCGGCTGGCCTGAGTTTTAAGCGTCGTCGTTACGCGCCCAGAGGTACTCCGCGGCGAGGCCCTCCTCGAGGACGCGCAGCTTCTCCGCGAGGAACGCGGCGACGAGCGCCGCTCTGTCCGAGCCGCGGCCGCACGCGTCCTCGAGGCCCGCCTCGACCTCGTCGGCCTCGTCGCGGAGCAGGCCCCTGGCGAGCTCGAGGGCCGCCGCGTCGCTCGACGAGCGCGCGCGGAGCCGCTCCGCGGACCGGCGCGACCACGCGCCGCCGCGGAACAAGCGGAGGTCGTCCTCGAGGACGTACTCGTCGTCCGCGTTGTCGCGCTGCACGAAGCCGTAGTTGGCGAAGAGGCGGTCGTTGCCCGCGCGCGCCGCGTAGCTCACCGTCGCGGCGCCCGGCGGCGCCGCCGACGTCGCGCGCACGCCGACGCGGTCGCCGTCGAGGAAGAACGGCGACGCGCCCGGCGGCTCCGGCGCGTGGTTCACCAAGTCCGCGCCGGGCGACAGGACGGCCAGCGGCGTCGCGGCGTCGACGACGAAGGCGCGCGACAGCACGCAGGCCGCGGCTTCCGTCCACGCGCGCGCGTCGCCGCCCCGCAAGCCCGCCTGCGTCTGGACGAGGAACAGCCGCTCGCAGACCGGCGCGTAGCAGTAGGGCAGGTCCTCGATGGGCCAGAGGAGCGGCAGGGTGTCCAGGTCGTCGCGAAGCGACGCGTACCACTCGGCGTAGCCCTCCGGCGCCGCGAGCACGAGGCGCGACAGGTCCCAGAGCCAGTCCGCGTCGGTGAGCTCGACGTGCAGCGCCGACGCGAGCGGCGCCGAGCACAGCACGTCGCCGGCGGCGATCGGCGCCGTCGACACGAGGCCGCGGAGGCCGTCGCTCGCGCCGATGCTGATGCTTTTGCCGAACTCGACGCCGCGCGCCCGCAGCCACGGCTCGACGTGCAAGGCGCTCGCGGAGCAGAGCAGCAGTAGAACTAAAGCATGACCTGGTCTCCGGAGCATTGCTGCGCGACCTGGTCTCCTTCGCACCGTCGTCCTTGCCTCTGCCTACTGTCGCAAGGCAGAGCTCATCGTCTTTTGCGAGCACTGCAACATCTCTGAGCAGCCCAAAGAGCAGCCCTTGTTGCACTCGAAGCTCCACGCGAGGCGTCTTCTGGCCACGCAGACCGCGGGAGGGACGCGGGAGAGAGACGCGCGCCCGGAACCGTCATGGCGCTCGTGGACTACAACGATGCCCTCGTGCGCCGGGATCGCGAGCTGGCCGAGCGGAATCGCCGGGGCCCGAGCCTCTTCCGCACGAAGGAGCAGGTGGAGAACTTCCAGCGGTCGCCCTTCATGCAGAAGGTGCGCGAGCACCAGCTCGCGGTGCACAACCGGCAGCAGTCGCGGGACTCGGAGCGCGCGCGGACGGACCCCGAGTTCCAGCCGCGCGACGACGACTTCGACGCGCCGCCGGTCCGGCCCTTCGACGCGAACGAGAACTACTACAAGTACCTGGGCATCGGCGAGAACGCGACGGCGGACCAGGTGCGCAAGGCCTACAAGAAGATGTGCCTCAAGTACCACCCGGACAAGCTGCGCCAGACGGGCAAGCAGATCAAGGGCTGCGCGTCCGCGGAGGAGGCGGCCGAGGAGGCCAAGGAGACGTTCCTGAGCATCCAGGAGGCCTTCGAGATCCTGGGCGACCAGGCGACGCGGCGCCAGTACGACCGGCAGCGCATCTCCGAGGAGGAGCTCGACAAGCAGTACGACCACCGGCGGAACCGGCGCCGCGAGAACGAGGAGAACGCGTGGAAGCCGCCGCCGACGTGGAAGCCCAAGCTCAAGGAGCTCCTGAAGAAGGGCAAGAAGAAGCGGACGCCGACGAAGCACGTCGCCGTCGTCGTCTCCCTCGAGGACGTCCTCACGGGCTGCGAGCGCACCGTGTCCTTCGAGCGGACCGTCGTCGGCCGCACGGGCAAGCTCCACACGCAGACCAAGACCCGCACCGTCGAGGTGCGCCGCGGCGAGCTCGCCTCGAAGAAGTGGGAGTACCCCGGCGAGGCGGGCGTCTGCGACGTCGACGCGGAGCCCGGCGACCTCGTCCTCGCCAGGGCAGGAAAAGAGAGCGAAATTCCCAACTTCAAAGGCTCCTATCTCGGCCGGTTTCCACTCGTTTCGGCTGATTTTTGGACGAGCGATCATCTCTTGGAACGGTCTCGAAGCGTGGATGTTTTTTCCGGAACGCGCGCGCGCGGAACACTCACATTGAAGCGAACTTGAATCACCCTTTTCCTGCCCAGGTCCTCGCGCTCCAGGTCGAGAACCCGGCGAGCTCCGCCGTGCGCCGCGTCGGCGTCGACCTCGAGGCCGAGCGCGTCGTCGACTGCTCCACGCTGGCCCCCGGCGACGTCTTCACGGCGTCCATCGCGACGCTCGGCGGCGCCGCGGTGGCCGTCTGCGGCCGCGCGCCGGACCGGCGGGGCCGCCGCGGCGACCTCGTCGCGGGGCGCCTCGTCCTCACCGTGCGCGTGCCCAACGAGGGCCTCCCGCTGCTCGACGCGCCGCACAGCCGCGGCTGCCTCGTCGTCAAGTTCCAGTTCGGCGCGGGGCCGGACGAGCCGCGGCGCCACTGCTCCGCGGCGCCGCGGCCGCGGAAGCTCGCGGCGCGCGACGACCAGGCCGCGAAGCGGCGCGCCTTCGAGACGGTGCAGCTCCGGGCGCGGCGCGTCGACTACGGCGTCGCCGGCGAGCTCGTCTTCAGCGACTCGTTCCAGCCGCGGCGGCGGCAGCCGCTCCGGAAGAAGCTCGGCGCCAAAGCCGAGGCGCCCGTCGACGACGGCCGCGCGAGGACGGAGATCCTCGCCGGCCCGGACTGCCGCATCTGCGCCGCGTCGCTCCGGTCCACGCGCGAGGATCTGGGCGCGGCGGCCGCGGACCGCGTCTTCCGCGCGGCGTTCTTCACGATGCGGTGGCACGCGTGCTTGCGCCCGCAGCTCGCGGCCGTCGAGCGCTTCCCAAACCTGCTGGGCTGGAAGGACGCGACCATCGTGGCGGACCCGGACGCCGAGGGCTACGTCGAGCCGAGGAGCTTCGAGGCCGCGGCCGAGGCGCCGGTCTACGCGGCGGTCATCGTCGAGCACGACGAGACGCAGGGCATGGACGAGGACATGAAGGCGCGGCACAAGGCGCGCAAGGCCAAGGAGAAGGCCGCCATGGACAAGACCATCGAGAACGAGAAGCGCAAGATCGCCCACCGCCGCGGCCGCGCGCCCGAGCCGCCGCCGCCGCCGCAGCCGTTCTCGCCGCGGTCCGTCGCCGACTCGGCCGTCGCGTCCGAGGACCCCGTGGACCGCATCACGAAGCTCCAGTACAAGGAGGCCGAGCGGCGGCGCCGCGCGGCCATGCAGGACGCGGGGGGCACGACCATGCCCGCCGTGAAGCCGCCCGTGATCCCCGTGACGGGCGCCAAGGCGAACATCCTGCTCCACCGCACGCCCAAGGAGACGCCGCGCTTCCACGCCATCTCCAACGAGCCCCAGGTCATCCTCGTCTGCGGCAACTCGGGCGCGAGCGTGCGGTCCGGGCCCCGCGTCGACTCGGGCAAGGTCGGCGAGCTCGCCAAGGACGAGCGCGTCGCCTACACGGGCAAGCAGGTCACGTGCGACGGCCGGCCGCGCATCGAGATCGAGAAGCCCCTCAAGGGCTGGATCTCCCTCAAGCTCTGCGGGCCCGCGCCGCCGGACGCCGAGGCGAAGGTCGCCGAGGAGTCCGAGCTCGAGTAGGGGCCGCGGCTAAGCGGGTGCGAGGCGAGCGGTGACCGGCCGTCGAGCGGCGGCTCGATCGAGGCGCCCCTGGATCGCTTCGCAGAGCGTGCTCGAGGTCCAGATCTGGCTCTCCTGCGCAAGCGCAAGAGACCGACCCTTGCTTGCGCACGCTCAGGGCGCCCGACCCGCGCGACCCCGACGCGCTCCGCGGCGCTGCGTACGTGCGCCTTCGTCGCGCAGCCCGACCCGCGCGACCCGGAAGCGCGCTACGACCCCTAGGGGCTCCGCGAGCCCGGCAGGCCCTGTGACACCGCGCGGCACCATGGGCAAGAAGAAGACGCGGGCGCGCAAGGGCGGCGTCGAGCAGGCGGACAAGGACCACGCCGAGCGCCTGCGCAGCCAGCGGCAGACGCAGGGCGCGCGGGCGCTCGCGGCCGCGGGTTCGGACGCGCTCGTCCGGGATCTGACGGCGGCGATGCAGGGCCCGCCGCGGGCGCTCGAGGCCTTCCTCGCGCGGGAGGACTACCTGCCACTCCCGGCCGGCGCGAGGAACTTCGCCGGCGCTGACCGCATGGTGCCTCCCTGCCCGGGCTGCGGCGCGATCCAGAAAGGCCCGGACGACGGCATCGTCTGCGCCGGCTGCGGCGTGCGCTGGTGGTGCGGCGCCATCTGCCGCGCGCGCTGCGAAGGCGCCCACGCGGCCGGCTGCCACAAGGTGAAGCTCGTCCGCGGCCGCGTCACGCGCGGCAACCTGCGCGCGGTGCCCGTCGTCGAGGAGAGCGGCGCCATGGGCCTCCTCGTCGACGGCGTGCGGCCCGCGGCGGTCGACCCGGGTCCCAGCCCGTTTCTCGTGACGGCGGCGTCGATGGGCGACGACCGCGCCGTCGACGCGGCCATCGCCGCCGGCGAGGCCCTCGACGCGACGTCCGACGCGTCGCCGCTGCCGCCGCTCGTCTGCGCGGCGCTCGAGGGCCACGCGGCCGCGGCCCGGCGCCTCCTCGCGGCCGGCGCGGACCCGTCGGCCGCGAGCCACCTCGGCTGCACCGCGGCCCTCGGCGCCGCGCAGAACGGCCACGCGGACGTCGTCGCCGTCCTCGGCGAGTTCGGCGCCGACTGCGATAGCTGCGACGCGTCGGGCGTCACGCCCCTGGGCTCCGCCATCGAGTTCGCCAACCCGCCCGTCGTCGAGGCGCTGCTCAAGGCCGGCGCGGACCCGGACCGCGGCTCGGGGCCGAACCAGTGCCCGCCGATCGCGCTCTCGGCGAACTATGTGTTTCACTACGCGCTCGAGGCGACGAAGGGCGTCGGCCGCTCCGTTCCGAACGTGCCCACGTTCCAGGCCGCGGAGCTCGGCGTCGACTCGCTGCCCGCGGCGCCGCCGGGCCCGCGCGTGCGCGTCCTCGGCATGGGCGGGGACAACAAGGTGTTCTTCAAGATCGACATGGCGCTCGAGGACTACGTCGCCAAGCAGGTCGAGATCCTGAAGCTGCTCGTCGCCGCGCCGGGCCTGCGCGACGTCGACGGCACGGGCGACTTCGCGCCCCTCGTGGACCTCGCGACCGCCGCGGCCCTGTGCGCCGCCATCGCGGCGCCGTGCCTCGAGTGCACGCGCGTGCTCCTCGCCGCGGGCGCGGATCCGAACGCCGCGCGGCGCACGAAGCGCGCGGATCCGAACCACGCGCACTACGGCGGTCCCGGCGCGGCGCACGCGCGGGCCCTGCTCCAGAGCAAGTACGGGGGATTCCTCGCGCCGCGCGACGTCGAGCGGCGGGGCCGGAGCGACGACATGGCCCCGACGCTCACGCCGCTCCTCGCGCTCTGCGTCGCGCGCCGCCGGGACGAGGCCCCGCGCCTCGACCACTACGCGGCGCTGCTCGAGGCCGGCGCGGATCCCGACCGCGGGATCGGCGCCGCGAAATTCACCGCACTGATGGGCGCCGTGGTCCGGGACGACGCGGCGGTCGCTTCGGCGATCCTCGGCGCCGGCGCCGACCCGCAGTGCCGCCACGACCTCGCCTACTTCAAGTACGACCGCTTCGTATTCTTCGTGCCGGACGCCGCCCGCGACCCGAGCCTCGCCATGAAGCGCGACCCGCGGGCCATCAAGTCGACGTCGACGCTCGCCTTCGCGGAGATGCACCGGCCGTCGTCGGACGTGACGGCCCTGCTCCGCGCCGCCGCGGGGGCGCCCGCGAGCCGCGACCGCGCGGCCGTCGCGGCCCTGGGCGTCTCCGCGCTCAAGAAGGAGCTGGACGCGCGCGGCATCAGCCGGGCCGGCTGCGTCGAGAAGTCCGACTTGGTCGACCGCCTCGTGGCCGCGCCGCCGCCCGCGCCGGCGGCCGTCGACGCCGCGTGCGACGCCGCGGACCGGCTTTTGAGCCAGCTCGGCGACGAGGGCACGCGCGCGGTGCGGCGCCTCTACTGGCAGATGGCGACGAGCGCGCCCGAACAGCTCGCGGCCGCGCGGGACTTCGTTCAAAAGTCCCACCTGCCCGGGCGCATCGAGCGCATCCTGACGGCCTGCGTGCCCGCCATCGAGGCCGAGCCGCCCGTCGGGAGTAGCGCGCGGACGCTGTGGGCGAACGCGTACCTCGTCCGCTGCGCGTTCCACCTCCAGCGCCGCCTCCGGGACCCGGCGTCGGCGGCGGCGCCCTACTGCGCCGGCTTCGAGGGCCGCGTGCCCATGGCGTTCGTCGAGGGGTACGAGAAGGCCAACGTCCTCGAGTACCTGTCGAACGCGGCCATCGATGAGCCGCGCGCGCTCTACGCCGCCATCGTCGACGTCGGCGGCGAGTGCGCCAATACCGCGTTTCAGAGCAACGTCGTGCTCCTCCAGCAGGTCGTGGGCAACGCGATGACCTTCCTCATCGGCTGGGAGGAGCAGCCGGAGCTCGCGCGGGCGACGAAACTGTCGAAGATGCCCTACGCGCGGGAGACGTTCTACGTGCCGACGAAGAGCGTCTACCATCGCTGGGCCGGCGTCGGCGCGACCGAGCTCCTGCGCGTCGCCGAGGCGCAGATGCGCGAGGGCCACGCGCACCTCGCGCGCCACTGGGTCGTCCTCGCCGTGCGAAGCCTCGCTCTTTTGGCGGCGTTTGAGAACGCGCAGCTCTTCGACGCCGCTCGGGCCCTGGACCTCGCGCTCGAGATCTGCGAGAAGGCCCGCGCGTCGCGCGCCTTCAGCGTCGACGACGGCTTCAAGACGAGCATCGTCAAGGACTCGTTCATGCGCACGCTCCGCGCGCGCTGCATCGAGGCCTACGCGCGAGTATGCGGCGACACCGCGGGCATGAGGTTCGACCGCGTGGCCTCGCCGTCGCCGACGGACGCGCACCTCCGGCGCCAGGACGCGGAGATGCGCGCGGAGATGAAGCGCATGCCGGAGACGTTCATCCTCGACCGCGCGGCGCGCCACGCCGAGATCATCCGCGCGGATTGCGTCTCGACGCTCGAGCGCGACGCCCTGGGCTTCGTGGCGACGTCCGCGGTCCTCGACGACGGCGCCACCATCGTGGCGGCGGACCCGTCCCAGAACACGGCCGGCTACGCGACGACCTACTACCTCGTGCCCTTCGCGGTCGCGTCCTTCACGCTCGGCTTCCGCGCGCGGCGCGACGGCGCGCCCGCCGACGCGGCCAAGTTCTTCCTCGAGGCCGCGTTCATGTTCCCGCCGGACGACGTGCGGCGGCCCGTGTCGTGGTGGTTCGCCATCGACGCGAAGACGCGGACGGTCCTCAAGATGCGCCAGTTCCGCGAGATCGTCGCGCAGGCCGAGGGCTTCGAGGCCGACTTCCGCGCCGGCGCCTTCGGCTGCCGCATCGCCAACGACGACCTCGCGTGCCGCGCCCGGCTCCGCGCGCTCGTCGCCGCGACCGCGTCGCTCGCCGACGACGACGTCCTCGACGTCGACCGCTACGCGCCGCGCCGCGACGCGGGCGAGGCCTGCGCGAACTGCGGCAAGACGTCGCGCTGGGACAAGAAGAAGTCGCTCCAGAAGTGCGCGCGCTGCACCAAGGTCGCCTACTGCGGCCCCGCCTGCCAGCGCGCGCACTGGAAGGTCCACAAGGCCGTGTGCCGCGCCGCCGCGCCGCCGCCGCCGCCGGACGCCGCGGACCTGTCCGTCAACATGTCCATCAAGGAGCTGCGCGCGGCGGCGAAGGCGCGCGGCGTCCCCATCCACGACTGCCTCGAGAAGGGCGAAATCTTCCGCCGGCTCAAGAGCGCGTGCGAGGACGCCGAGGAGGCGGACTAGTCCCTAATAGAGCGGGCCGAGCCAGTTCGCGCGGAGCGCGTGGGGCACGAGCATGGACGCGCCGAGGCACGTGAGCGCGGTGGCGCAGCCCACGGCGGACGCGCGGAGCGACGCGGCCTTGATGGCCGCCTCCAGGTCCGCGCGCTCGAGGCGGAAGAAGCCGGCGGACGATGCGGTCTCCCAGAGGAACGACGCGCCGGAGCCGAGGCACGCGCCGCGGATCGCCGTCTCGGCGGTGGCGAGCAGCCACGCGGCGACGCGCTCCTTCGCGGTCCGCGCGTGCTTGGCGCGATGCCGCGCGGCGACCTGGTCGTTCCGCGCGACGCGGAGCGCCTGCCGCTGGACGGGCGGCACGCTCTCCCACCAGAGCGCGTCGATGTCGGCGTCCGTCAGGAAGCCGAGGTCGCGCTCGCTGCCCACGCCGCGGCGCTCGAGCTTGCTCCGCAGGTCGTCGAGGCCGTAGGCCTGCAGCGTTGCTGCGAGGTCGTCTTCGTTCGTCGGGGCAGCCCCCGCGGCGACGACGAGCAGCACGAGCGCACAGCTTCGCATGGTTGCTGGCTGCTCTTGTTTTTTGGGTTGCGGTGCTTGTGCGTTGCTGCCGACGCCTGGGGCTGCCGCACTCCCGAACACGGCGCGAACGATCGTGCGAAGCGCGCTCTCGTTGAATCTCGGTTGATGTCGCGTTGCAGCAGCGCATTATGGCTTGCTGAATCACACATCTGCTGCCGACCGCAGCTGAATATCAAATGCTGCGTCTCGCGCTGCTCCTGGCGCTCGCAGCAACAACACGAGCGCTCCGAGTCGTCGTCGCCGGCGCGACGGGCAAGGTCGGGCGCGAGCTCGTGCGCGTGCTGAAGCGCCAGGGCGTGGAGCACGCGGCGCTGACGCGGGACGTCCTCGCGGCGAAGCGCCTGCTCGGCGTCGCGACGAAATGCGTCGAGGTGGACCTCGACGACGAGGCGCGGGTCGACGCCGCGCTCGACGGCGAGGGCCCCTTCCGGCTCTACGCGGCCTGCGCGAACGGGCCGAACCAGGCCGCACAGGAGGCGCGGCTCTACGCCGCGGCGGCGCGCACGGGCCGCTGCGAGCACGTCGTCAAGGTCTCGACCTGCGCCGCGTTCTTCGAGGCCGACGCCGGGCCCGCGGCGGCGCACGTGGAAGCCGAGGCCGCGCTCCGAGACTCGTGCGCGTCGTGGACGATCCTCCGGCCCAGCGTCTTCGTGGAGTCGCTCACGGCGCCGTCGCCGCTCCTGGGCCTACCGGGTTTGGAGAGTGGCGCCGCGGCGCACGCGCTCGCCGACGCGAACATCGCCATGATCTCGACGCGCGACGTCGCGGCCGTCGCCGCGCGGCGGCTCGTCGCCGCGGCGCCGCCGGCGAACGCGACGCTCCACCTCTCGGGCCCCGCGGCGACGACGCTGGCGGCCGTCGCGGCTTCCTGCGACGTATCCGTCGACCCCCAGCGCGTCAACGCGCACCTGGAAGGCCTGCCGCCGCCCGTCGCGGAGAGCATGCGTTCCATCTTCGCCGCGCTCGCGTCCGAGGCCGCGGCGGCCGTGACGCCCGACGCCGAGCGCGCCCTGGGCGAGCCGCCGCGCGCCGCCGCGGACGTCCTCCGCCGCGACCTCGCGAAGCGGCGCCTCGACTCGGGCGACGCGCCGGAGGCGTACAACGGACGCGGCGTCTGGTCGGCGAACTATCGGAAGCAGCTGACCTTCGACGAGTGCCGGAAGAAGGCTCGCCTCATGGGCCACCGCTGCGAAGCGGATTGGCGCGAGGTCGGCGTGCCCAAGTACTCGCCGAGCCGCCCGGACGACATGTTCCCCGACGAGTGGCTCGGCTGGGACGACTTCCTCGGCGTGCGCCGGCCCTACGAAGACGCGCGCAAGCTCGCGCGCACGCTCGGTGTCCGCAGCGAGCTCGCCTGGTCGGCCTACGCCGTCAGCTTCGCGCCCGTCCTCGCGGACCTCCGCCTCCCCGCGCGGCCGTCGCTCGCCTACGGCGACGCGTTCCGCGGCTGGGACGACTGGCTCGGGCTCGAAGACGGGTAACTGCTCTAGTTTCTAGCTCTAGTTGAGGCACTCCCGGGAGTGTGTGTTTTTGCAAGGGGCTTAGTCAGGGGGGAAGGGGAGGGAGGGGTCGCGCGCGACGCGCGGCGCTTCGAGCGCGAGCGCGCGCGAGGGAGGCGGGGCACAAGCGGAGCGGGCAGCGCGAGCGGCGGGTCGTCCGACGCACGCGCAGCTCCTACGACGGCGACAGGTTTCAATCGGACTCGAAGCCGTCGCCGCTCTCTTTTCTCGGGATCAACGAGCGAAAGAGGTGGACGCGAAAGCCGAACTTCCCCGCGATCTCCGAGGACTCATCGCGACGCGATGACTCGGACCGCAGCCGCATGGCCCGCCGCCGCCGGGCGAACTGGCGCCGGCTCTCGTCCCCCTTCGGAGCCTTCGAGGCCTTGGGCGCGGGCGGCTTCGCCGTCGCGCGCGCCTGTTTGGCCGGCGCCGCCGTCTTCGCCTTCTTGGACGACGCCTTCGACTTTCTTCTGGGGCCCTTGGCGGACCGAGTCGTAGTCATCTCCCTAAGCCGCGCGAGGCTGTCACCGGTTCGCGAAAACGAGTTCACAGAATCGAGACAACCTCAGCGACCGGTGATCGTCGGCGGAGGCGGGCGGGGTCGAACCCGCGTACGAGGGAGGCGGAGCGGCGCGCGGGGCGCGGGGCGCGGGGGTCGGAACAACCCGGCGCGGAGCACAGAAGGACTGGCGGGCGACAGCGTTGCACCAGTCGAGATTGATCGGAGCACGGACGTCGTCAAGGTGGATGCATCACAGCAACATCGCCTTGTTTCCCCCTCGGCTGCCCGCTCTTTTTCATATCGATGTGCAAACTTATGAGCACGAACGGCCGATAGGGCACAACGAAGGTTGCGAATTGCAATACGGTGGCAGGCCAACGTGCGGCACACCAAAGGAGAGAACCATGCCTCCGACCACGGAACTGGCGGCGCCGGAGCGCGCGCCCGCGCTTCCGACGACGGACGAGCAGAAGTATCCCTGCGTCACGGGCGCCGACGGCGTGCCGCGCATCAGCGGCGTCGCCGTGGACCCGGCCCAGGGCTTCAAGGCCACGGAGCTCCAGCTCTGCACGCTGAAGCGCCCCCACATGCGCGCGTTCCACTTCCAGTGGCTGAGCTTCTTCGTCGCGTTCGTGGTCTGGTTCGCCTACGCGCCGCTCCTCGTCGTCATCCGCGAGGACCTGCGCATCGCCAAGCGGGGCATCTGGCTCAGCAACATCTGCAACGTCGCCGCGTGCGTCGTCGCGCGCTTCGTCGTCGGGCCCCTCGGCGACACGTACGGCGCCGTCAAAGTCCAGACGGGCCTGCTCGTCTTCGCGGGCGCGTGCACGCTCCTGGCCGGGACGGTCCAGACCCTCGTCCAGCTCTGCGCGCTCCGGTTCTTCATCGGCGTCGGCGGCGCGACGTTCGTCATCACGCAGCTCTGGTCGAGCGAGATGTTCGCGACGGGCGTCGTCGGCACGGCGAACGCCGTGACGGGCGGCTGGGGCAACTGCGGCGGCGGCTTCACGATCCTCGTCATGGGCCTGCTCTACGAGGCGCTGCGGGACGGCGGCCTCTCGGACGAGCAGGCCTGGCGCCGCGCGTTCTTCGCGCCCGGCGCCGCGGTCCTCGCGGTGGCCGCGGCCATGCGCGTCTCCGCCGACGAGTGCCCCCGGGGCACGCTCGACGACGCGGCGGCGGCGGGCGCGCGCGCCAAGGTCACCGTCGCCGCCTCGACGCGCGGCGGCTTCGCCAACGCCAACTCGTGGATCCTCGGCGTCCAGTACGCGGCCTGCTTCGGCGTCGAGCTCCACGTGAACAACGCCATGGCCATGTACTTCTACGACCGCTACGGGTTGAGCGTCGGCACGGCGGGCACGCTCGCGTCGCTCTTCGGCTGGATGAACCTCTTCGCCAGAGGCCTCGGGGGCCTCGCGTCCGACGCCGCGAACCGGCGGCTCGGCATGCGGGGCCGGCTCCTCGTGCACACGGCCTACCTCTTCGCCGAGGGCGCAATCCTCGTCGCGTTCTCCTACGTCGACGCGCTCGCGCCGGCCGTCGCGGCCCTCGTCTGCTTCTCGATCTGCGTCCAGGCCGCCGAGGGCACGACCTTCGCCATCGTGCCCTACGTCGCGCCGAAATCGCTCGGCGCCGTCGCCGGCGTCGTCGGCGCGGGCGGCAACGTCGGCGCCGTCGCCTGGGGGCTCCTCTTCATGTTCGGCTCCGACGGCGCCGCGGGCTACCGCGCGCTCGGCGCCATCATCATCGCGTCGTCCTTCCTCTCCGTCTTCATCCGCATCGACGGCGAAGGCTCGCTCTTCTCCAACGACGACAAAAAGGCCCCGGACCCGGCGCCCGGCCGCGACGCCGAGGCCTAGGCCCGTCCCATCGAGGAACATTCCGGTGCGGACGCGCGTCTACCGGCGGCGAAGGAGCGCGGCAACGCCTCTCTCTCTCTCTCTCTCTCTCTCTCTTTCCCCCACATCTACTAACTGTATGTTTTCCCCGCAACCGTGCGTAAGCTCACGTGCCGACCTTCAACGTGGCGACGAGCCCCCGCAGCGTCGCGATGGCCGACAGGGGCGTGAGCGCGCCCGTCGCCGGGTTCTCGGCCGAGGGCACGCCCGCGATGGAGATCTCGAAGTTGCTCTCGTCGGAGACGACGGCGTACGTGTGCGTGTTGCGCTCGACGCCCGGGTCCGCCCAGATCTCGTACTGCGTCTCGTCGGGGCCGACGCCGGCGAGCGCCAGGGCGCAGGCCACGTTCACGTTCGCGGGGAAGAGCTTCGACGCCGCGCGCACGGACCCCTCGTAGAGGCGCAGCGGCTCCTCGAGCGACGACAGGTCCAGGTTCTGCTCCTTCACGAACGGCGCGTTCTGCAGGCTCTTCGGCGGCTTCTTCGTCCGCATGACGACGGAGCGGATGTGGCCGCCCTCGGCGGCGGCGCGGACCGCGTCGAGGCCGATGAGCGCGCCCGTCGGCACGACGATGCGCCCGCCGTGCGCCGCGGCGAGCGCCTCGAGCTCCGGGTGCCGCAAGATCTGCGTCACGGAGAGCGCGACGAGCGTCCTGCCCGCGCGCAGCGTCGGCTCCGCGACCGCCAGGAACTCGGACGGCGGCAGGCCCTCGACGACGACGTCCGCCTCCGCGGCCAATCGTTCGACGCCCAGCACGGGCACGTCCTCGGCGCCCAGCGACCGCAGCTTGCTCCGGCCGCTCTCCTCCGTGGACGCCGACACCGCCGCCAGCCGCAGGCCCGGGATCGACCCGGACGCGAGCGCCCGCGCGACGGGCAGGCCCACGGCGCCGAGGCCAGCGACGGCGACCCTGCCGCTCATGCGAAGGCGCGAAGCTGAGCGCTGCTGCTGCTGGCGCGAAGCTGAGCGCTGCTGCGAGCGCGAAGCTGAGCGCTGCTGCGGACGCGAAGCTGAGCGCTGCTGCGAGCGCGGCGCCAACAAATGCGTCAAGAACGCCTGCGTCGCGAGCAATGCTACGAGCCTGCCAAAAGCCAAGCGCATCGATTGCCACAGGTAAACTTTACTTCAAAGTCGGCTGATTCACCCATATTTACCCGAGATTTCTCGATGGCAGCCCGAAGAATGCTGTGCCTGGCCATGGCGCTTCGCGCCGAGGCGGCTCTCTACGTCCTCGACCCGACGGACTGGGCCGCGGACCTCGGCGAGGATTTGGACTGGGCGACGGCGAACGCGCCCTTCGTGCGCCTGCCGGGCCACCCGGCCATCGAGCGCGTGTTCTACTATAGATGGCGCGTCGTGAAAAAGCACATCGTGCCCATCGACGGCGGGAGCGTCATCACCGAGTTCCTGCCGCGGGTGCCCTGGGCCGGCGCGCACAACACGATCCCCGCGGCGGCGGGCCACCACATCGCGGAGACCGCGTGGCTCGCGGACGCCACCGTGGCGACGAACTACAGCCGCTGGTGGTTCGCGGGGGGCAACCCGGCGTCCTACACGAACTGGATCGGCTACGCGACCTGGCGCGCGCTCGCGCACCACGGCGACGCGACGGTCCTCGTCGCGCTCCGCGACGACCTCGCGCGCGTCTACCGCGAGACCTACGTCGGAAAGCGCGTCGCCCGCGCGTCCTCCCCCGCGTCCGCGACCGCGCTCGGACAGGTACCGCCAGGCCAACTACAGCTGCTGGTGGCAGAACGACGACCGCGACGCCATGGAGGTGTCCATCTCCGGCGCGGGCTGCCGGCCGACGATCGCCGCGGCGCTCTACGGCGACGCCGCCGCCGTCGCCGCGATGGCCGCGCTCGACCCGAGGAACGACGCGCTCGTCGACGAGTTCGCGGCCTACGTAAACTTTTCGCGCGCGTCCCTCGAGCGGCTCTGGAACGAGAACATCGCGTCCTTCGCCGTGCTGCCCTGCGACGCGCCGCCGCGCCGATCCCGCGAGCCGACGCCGACGCGCCTCGAGCTCCGGAACGCCGCGCCGATCGTCGCCGCGGACCCCTGCGACCTCGAGGCCGTGCGCGTCCCCGGCGAGCCCGTGGACGTCCGCGAGCTGCTCGCCTACGCGCCCTTCGCCTTCGAGGGCCTCGTCGACGAGACCCGCGACTACGAGCCCATGTTCGCGCAGCTCTTCGACGAGGCGGGCTTCGCGGCGCCCTTCGGGCTCACGACGGCGGAGCGGCGCCACCCCTGCTTCAACTACTCCTGGGCCCACGGCGACACGTGGAACCAGGAGTCGTGGCCGTACGAGACGTCGCGGCTCCTCAAGGGCCTCGCGGACCGGCTCCACGCGGGCCGCGGCACCGCGTCGCTCACGGCCGCGTCCTACGCGGCGCTGTTGACGGCCTACGCGGAGCAGCACGTGAACACGACGGCCGTCAACGACACGGGCGTGCCCCACGTCTACGAGAACGTCCACCCGTTCCTCGGCTACTGGAACAACCGCGAGCGCATGTACTGGACGAACAACACGGAGAAGGACATGGGCGTCCACACTACTTCCACTCGACGTTCAACGACAATGTGCTCGCGGGGCTCCTCGGCATCCGCCTCGACCCGCGCGCCGTCGGCCGCGCGGAGGTCCGGCCGCTCCTCGACCCGGCCCGCGGGCCCTTCGCCGTCGACGGCGTCGTCCTCCTCGACAACCGAACCTTGAGCGCGACCTGGGACGAGGCTGCCGGCTTCGCGGTCTACGTCGACGGCGTCGTGCGCAACCGCTCCGACACCGTCGTGCCGCTGTGGGTCGATCTTGAGTAGGTAAGTGCTGTCGTTGAAGAATAGAAAATCATGTCAGGGGCTGCCAGAGTTTAGTTTCGGAGCATGCCGCGCGCCATAGTTGCATGATCGCGGCGACGCTCATGGTCATGATGCCCTGGGAGGCGCCGCGGCGCAGCGGCTACGACGCCTGTGTCGCGCCCGAGGACGCGGCCCTGGAGGCCGCGCTGCGGCGGTCGTCGCGCCGCGGCCGGGCGACACGCCGGATCGGCGCCGGCGTCGCCTGCGTGTTGCTCCTGGCCGTCGCGTCGTCGGCGGCGCGGTCGCGCGACGGCCTGCGGACCAGGGAGATGGACGTCGTCGCGCCCGAGGGCTGCGGCGGCGCCGCGCGCTTCGACGTCGCCGCGCGGTTCACGGCCGGCAGCGCCGGCGCGATGACCTTCAAGGACGGCGCCGCCGTCAAGCTGGCCTACTACGAGAAGGGCGCGCGCAAGGAGGCCTGCGACACGCACACGATCTACGTCGAGCTCCAGAGCGACGACGCGGGCCTCCGGGCCGCGCTCGAAGCCGTCTCGTCGCCGACGTCGCCCGACTTCCGCAAGTTCTGGACGCCGGAGGAGAGCAAATCGGCCTTCGTCGTCGGCGACGGCGACAGGGTGGAGGCCTGGCTGCGCTCCTTCGGGGCGGAGACGGCGCGCGCGTCCGACGCGTTCGTCCGAGCGACGGGGCCGGCCTTCGTCTTCGAGGCGGCCTTCGGCTGCGAGCTCTACCGCTTCGACGCGCCCCACCGCTCCGTGGACCGCTGCGACGGCGGCTACGCCGTGCACGACGACATCTTCGACGAGGTCCGCGCGGTCCACGGGCTCGCGGAGCTGCCGCCGGTGCTCCGGTCGAAGCCGCGGCGCGTCGGCGCCCGGCGGCGGCTCGACGAGGCCGACGACGTCACCCCCAAAACCCTCGCAAATTACTATGACGTCGACACGGCGCTCGACGGCGCCGGCGCGACCCAGTCCGTCTTCGAGACGGACCTCGAGACCTACTCGCCCGGCGACCTCGAAGCCTTCGAGGCCGAGTTCGACCTGCGGAGGAGCGCCGTGTCGGACGTCGGCGCCCACGTGAGCGACGAGGCCTGCGCGGCGGACGCGGACGCGTGCTCGGAGGCGAACCTGGACGTCCAGTACATCACGGCGCTCGCGCCGGGCGCGGAGACGGTCTACTGGTACCTCGACGAGACCGTCCTCGACGTCTTCGTGCAGTACGCCGTCGACCTCGACGCCGCCGAGGACACGCCGCTCGTCAACTCGATCAGCTACGGGTCCTTCGAGCGCGAGAACGCGCCCGACGCCATGGAGGCGTTCAACCGCGCGGTGATGAAGCTCGGCCTGGCCGGCGCGACGGTCTTCGTGTCCAGCGGCGACGACGGCGCGCCTAACGGCATCGACGACGCGAGCGAGTGCGCCTACAACCCGAGCTACCCCGCGACGTCGCCCTACGTCGTCGCCGTCGGCGCGACGTACAAGGCGAGCTGGGCCGACGACGACGCCGGCGAGGTCGTCTGCGAGAGCGACGTCGACGACGCGGTCATCACGTCCGGCGGCGGCTTCAGCGAGTTCAACGCGGCGCCGGCCTACGCGGGGACGACCTACGCGGCCTACCTCAACGCGACGGACCCGGACCCGGGCTACGCGGCGGCGGGCCGCGGCTACCCGGATTTGGCGCTCGCGGGCTACGGCTACGAGGTCGTCATCGGCGGCGAGCTCTACACGGTCTCGGGCACGTCCTGCTCCGCGCCGACCGTCGCGGGCATGACGACGCTCGTCAACGCGATCCGGTCGGAGGCGGGCGCTTCGCCCGTGGGCTTCATCAACCCGACGCTCTACGCGTCCGCGGGCGCCTTCGCCAACGACGTCACGTCGGGCAACAACAAGTGCGTCGCCGAAAACGAGTTCTGCTGCGACGAGGGCTTCGCCGCGCGCGGCGGCTGGGACGCGACGACGGGCTGGGGCAGCGTCCACTTCCCGGCCTACGAGAAGGTCCTCACCGCGGACCTCGCGCCCGACGCCGTCGAGCGGGCCAAGGCGCGCCTCCGCGCGCGCGGGGCCGCGAAGAAGAAGGCAGCGCCGTCGTAAAGTTTCGTGCGTCGACGGGCTAGCTTACCCCGCCGGCGGGATATGGTAAACCGGCGCTTAACTCGGTTCTCAAACGTTGCCCTTCAGTTTGGTTCCAGGACCTCAACTTGAGTGACTACCATCTCACACTTCATCTCACCGTCGAGCGCATCGGTGACGATGCTGGCTGCGGGCTACTCACGCCGGCGGTTCGCCGCTCTGATGGCACGATTCTCGTCGACCGGCGCTCTGGCGCCCGGTGAACGCGTGGAAGCGGCGCGACGATTGCTGGGCGTGGACCGCGGGACGTCGTCGGGCGACCTGCGGCGGACCTTCGAGGGCGTCGCCTTGGCGCAGCACCCGGACAGGGAGGGCGGCGACGCGGCGGCGTTCGCGGCGTCGCGCGACGCGTTCGAGGTCCTGAGGCCGCTCGCGCGGGAGGCCGGCGGCTGGATCGACGCGGTGGAGGCGGCGGCGACGACGTCGGGCGAGGTCGACGCGTTCGGGCGGACGAGCGAGTACCGGCGGACGGTGCCCGTGCTCTTCCTCCACGGCGGCCACCGCGACGGGCTGTGGGCGAGCACGCAGGCGCGGCTCGCAAAGCTCGGCTTCGCCTCGCGCGCGGCGGTGACGTCGCGCGCGTCGTCGTTCGGAGCGCTCGACGAGGAGCTCCGGGCCGTCGAGCAGCTGAGCGCGGACGGCGAGCGCGACGACACGGAGGACGCCGGGCCGTGGCACGTGCCGCCCCTCGTCGTGGCCCACGGCCTCGGCGCCTTCGTCGCGCAGCGCTTCGCCGAGACGAATCGGGTCTCCGGCCTCGTCCTCGTCGAGCCCTGCCCTCCGGCGCCGGAGGCCTACGCGGCGCGGCTGCTTTCGGAAGCGACGGCGGACGACGACAGCCTCGACGCGGCGCGCCTCCTCGAGGACCTCGCGAGCGGGTCCTGCGCCCTCGAGTACGACTTCGACGACTCCTACGAGGTCCTCGTCGTCGCGCCCGGCGACGCGGACGAGGACCTCGAGTCCGTCGCCGACTGGTACGGCCTCGACGTCTCGGACGACGACGAGGAGGCGCTGGACGCCTGCAGCGGCTGGTGCGCGTGCGACGCCGCGGGCGACGACGTCATCATGGCCCACGAGAGCTGGGACCGCGACGGCGGCCTCAGCGACCGGATCGTCCGATGGATCGACGATACGTATGCATTTTAGAGCGGCACCTCCAGGACGGTCGCGTCGAGGGTCTCGCGGAAGAAGGCGAGGTCGGTGTGCGCGAGGGGCAGGTAGAGCTTCGTCGATGTCACGGTCGATGTCGGACTGGTGCACGTGCAGTCACGGTGCATCCGTGGACGTCGAAGCTGCCCTTCGAGCCAGTCCGGCGCCGGCGGGTCGCGCCCGACATGATGGGCGCCGACATGATGGGCAGCCGCGCGCGGCGCAGGTGCTAGTCATCGACGAAGATGGGCGCCGCTGCGTCGACGGCGTCGTCGCTGCCGCTGGAGCGCTGGACGGCGGAGCAGGTCGCGTCGGCCGTCGCGAGCTGCGGCGGCAAGTACGAGGGCTACGGCCCGGCCATCGTCGAGAACGGCATCAACGGGGACCTGCTCGTGTCGCCGGGCCTGGACCTCGACGGCATGTTCGTCGAGATCGGCGTGAGCAAGCTGCACGCGACGCGGCTCGCGGCGGACTTCCGGAAGCTGCTCGCGCCCGCGGAGGTCACCGCCGACGGGCCGGGCAAGGCGTCGGCGCCGCGCGAGGGCCCGTCGAGCGACGCGCGCGACGACGCCGTCAACGAGGAGGCCGTGGCGCGCTTCCTGGGCTCCGCGGCCGTCGCCGGGTCGCTCTGGGCGCTGAAGGGCTCCGAGGAGATCGCCGCGTGGTGCGAATCGCGCGGCGTCGACGCGCGCGTCGCCGCGGCGCTCGACCGGCCCCGCGGCGCCGTCGAGGCGCTCGCCGTGCCCCTGTCCGTCTTCCAGAGGCGCGTGGGCGCGCCCCTGGGCGTCTACCGCATGGCCGTGGCCAAGCTCATCCGCCACGGCGGCTTCGACTTTTACCGCGTGCTCTACCGCGACCTGACGGCGTCCGTCGTGAGCCCGCTCCAGGACTGGGCCTGGGTGCGCCACGTCGGCGCGGGCACCTACGGCAACGTCTGCGCCGTGCGGTCGCTCCACAACGACAGCACGGTCGCCTGCAAGCTCCTGGGCTGCGACGACGACGCGCGGCGCATGCTCGGCGTGCGCGCGTGCACGGACGTCTCGGAAGCCCAGCAGGAGATGGTGCGCCTCACGCAGGTGTCGAGCCCGCACTGCGTGCGGCTGCGCCAGTACGCGACGGTCGCCGAGCCCCTGATCCTCTGGGCGCTGACGGACCTGTGCGAGGGCGGCGCGCTGTCCGAGCGCCTGAAGCGGCGGCCGCCGCCGGCCGCCGCGCGCCTCGAGCGCTGGTGGCGCGACGCGACGGCGGGCCTCGCGGCGATCCACAAATTGCGGGTCGCGCACCGCGACGTCAAGACGGAGAACATCTTCCTCACGAGCGTCGACGACGGCGCCGCGGCGGCCGTCGTCGGCGACCTGGGCATCTCCAAGGAGCTCAATTCCACGTCGAGCCTCATGCTCACGCAGTGCGGCACGCCGGCCTTCCTCGCGCCGGAGATCCTGTCGAACCAGCCCTACACGCTCAAGGCCGACGTCTGGAGCCTCGGCTGCGTCTTCTTCGAGACCGTCGCGGGCCGCCCCCTGAACGCCATGGCCCACGACGACGACACGATCGTCGCCCAGTTCCGCGAGGCCGCGGCGGCGCGCGGGCTCCCGGGCCTGTTCCCGCGCGTCTTCGAGCGCATCCTGCGCCGCGACCCCGACGACCGGCCGTCGTCTTCCGACGTCCTCGCGGCCTTCGACGACGACGAAACGCCGCCGCTGGGCAAGTCGGGCTCCGCGCGCGTCGCGCCCGCGCCGCCGGACGAGACCGTCGCCGCCGTCGAGGCCAAGGCGGCGGCGCCGCCGCGCGGCGTCGTCGTCGTCGAGGACCTCGGCGACGACGCCGAGGCCGCGTCGCTCCAGGCCGCGTGGCGCCAGCGCCAGCTCAAGCGCCGCGCGTCGTCGAGCAAGCCGAAGCCGCCCGCGCCGCGCCCGGCGCCCGCGCCCGCGGCGCCGAAGCCGCCGCCGTCGCGCGAGGTCGAGCGCCTCGCGTCCTTCCTCAAGGAGGCCCTCGACGACGCCGAGCCGCCGCGCGACGCCGCCGCCGACGAGCGCAAGGCGCGGCAGCGCGCGGCCGAGGACGCCAAGGCCATCGCCGAGCTCGAGCGGGGCGCGGCGTCCGTGCGCGACTTCCACCGCGCGCGCACCGCCGACCGGCGGCGGCCGTCCGCGCGCGAGCCCCGGTTCCAGCAGAGCCAGACGAGCCCGCGGCTCCCGTAAATTAGGTTTTTTTTAGTCCTCGTCGCTATCGCTGTCGGGGGGAACGTCGGGAAGAAAGTTGGGGCTGATCGGCTCTCGATCATACCTGACACCGATGCCGGCGAAGCGGCTCCGGCGTGAACGCGCTATAGTTGGAGATGACGACGGACTTGAATGGGTACGGGCGATATTCAGCAAGTGTAGCTTTGTCGCCGTCGACCCTGATCATGGCGTTTGTTGCCTCCCTCGCTCCGGGATTGAAGATAAAATCGGCTTCGATGTGGTACCATCGACCAGGCTGGGCATCTTCACAGATCACCTCGGCACCACCTATTATTCCGGGCTCCCAGACCAATTCCTTTTGGGTTGTGCTGTTACCAACCGGTCTGAAGTAGGTTTTGCATATCTGATTGCCGTTCTTCGAGAGCAACTCGAAATCGCCGCCGCCGTACGGGTGGCCAGCTTCGTAGCGGCAGCGGAACGTCAAAAGGCTCACGTGATTACGCTCGCCCCATACACTTTTAATCAATCCACATCCGGACGCGTTGTAAGAGTTCGACGCCATGAGCAGGTGGTTCTCCGGTTCGCGTTCCACCGTCACTTTGAATTCCACGAGCGGACCGGGTCGAGCGTAGGTGGTCCAGCCCGCGAGACCGTCGTCCCATCGCTCGCGGAAGAGCGAGAGATCTCGGCCCCTCTGGCGAAGGCCGCACATGATCAATTTTTTGATCACGCTCGTAGGCGCTAGACCACTAAGAAGCCGCATGTGATTCGCAGCGAAGGACCGCGAGAGCACCTCGACCTTGGCGATGTGGCGCAGATCCAAGAATTTGACGACGCCGACCGCGGCGTCCTGCGTGCGCCAGAGTGACTGAAGACACATCGTCTCGCGCAGGTGCTTGTCCATTTGTCCCAGACGCGGCCTCGTGGTGCTCATGCCAGCTGCCCCGGGCCGGTTCAAATGTTTCAATTGCCGTTCAAGGACCACCGCGATTAAACGCCGCTAGACGACGCGCCGACGTCTGATGACATCAGCAGTAGCTTCCTAGCCCAGGGAGAGCAGCGACCCCGAGCAGAAGCCCAACTCCAAACGTTACCCCTTCCCGCCCTTCTTGGGCTTCTTCTTCCGCGGGAGCTGCTCGCCGGTCGCGTAGCGGTTCGCGGCCTTGCAGAGCGCGTCCTGGGGCAGTGCGTCCCGGTCCGCGGACCACATGACGTGGGAGATCTCCGTGAAGCCGCCCGCGACGGCCAGGGTGACGTTGCGCGGGCCCGGCGCTTCGGGGAGCTCGACGGCGACGCAGAGCGCGTCGCTCAGGTACGCGGACGCGCAGGAGACCGCGGGCGCGAGTGCTTCGCCGTCCGCGGCGACGGCGAGGTCGCCCTCGAAGGCGAGGCTCGGGAGCGACGCGTATTTGAGCGGCAGGTCCTCCTGCCAGCCGTAGCGCCGCAGCTCGCCCGGGTTCTCGGCGCGGGCCGCGAAGCGCTTGTCGCGCTGCTCGACGCGCGCGAGGCGCTTGTACTCCGCGGACGACGGCGGCGAGCAGAAGAGCGCGCGCGTCGCCGCCGCCGGCAGCGCGAGCGCGAGAGGGCCCGAGGCCGCGGCGCCGAGGAGGACGAGCTTGCGGTCCGGGTAGCCCGCGCCGCAGACCTCGTTCATGTGGTGCGCCGCGAGGAGGTCCGACGGCGCCATGGCGACCGCCCAGCCGCCGTCGAGCGACGCGGCGTTGAGGCGCGAGGCGACGATACTTCCGAGATCCGCGCCGGCGTCGTGGCGCGGGAGCATGGACGTCCGGCAGGTCCAGGCGTCGTGGAGCACGTTGCCCATGCCGGCCTTGCGGATCTCGCGCGGCGCCGCGGCCGCGCCGTCGTCGGCCGCGAGCACGGCCGTCGCGTGGTGCCAGGCCAGGGCGGCGGCCGTCAGATCGTGCCAGCCGACGCCCGGGTGCCACTTGGCGGCCTTGCAGCCCTCGGGCATGCCCTGCTTCGCCCAGCGGTCGCCGTCGCCGTCCTCGTGCGACGCGAGGAACGCCCGCCGCAGATTGACGACCGTCGACAGCGCGCCCAGCCGCCGCAGCACGTCCGTGCGCCGCGTCTGCGAGTCGATGAGCACGAAGGCCGGCCGCGACGGCAGCTCCAGCGCCTTGCGGAGGCACGACCGGAACAGATTCTCCTCGCCGTCGTTGCCGCCCGTCATCCCGAACTCCCAGGCGAAGACGTCGACGTCAGACCCCACGGTCTCCGCGAGGCAGGCGCAGGTCGGGTAGGGCGGGCTCGCGCCGACGGCCATGTTGCGCACCTCGACGGCGACGCCGGGCAGCGCGCGCGCGAGCCGGCGCTCGAGCGCGGCCGGCCAGCTCTGGTTGAAGTAGTTGCCGCGGCCCACGGTGATGCTGTAGCCGATGACGCCGTAGACGAGCCTCCGCCGCGCGATGGCGGCGCGCAGGCGCGCGCCCACGACCGCTCGCGACGGGAACGACTCGGTGGACGCGTCGTACCAGGTGCTGTGGTCCTCGCGCATGGTCGCTTCGACATATTGCCGCAGGTGGCTTTCGTCGCAGAGCGCGCACGCAGCGACGAGCGCTGCCGCGAGGCAGCGGTGCTGCATCGTGCTAGCACGCTTGTTCAGCGCTCATAATGTGCAAATCTCGCGGCCCATCTTGAGGCAATTGCCTCAAAAAGCCGTCGCTGCAATTGCGTCGCTGAAGAACTGCCGCTGCATGCAGCGCTGCGCCCGATGGTCCTCGCAAAAGCTCTGGAGACACACTGAATATGAAGCGAGCTCTGGAGACACACTGAATATGAAGCGCGCCAAGGCCGCCTGCCTCCTCTTCGCCGCAGCAAACGCCTTCGCGCCGCAGCAGATCGCCCGCGTGCTCGAGAAACGAGCCGACGCGGTCGTCGCGGAGGTCGAAGCCTCCGGCCTCTGCGTCGTCGACGGCCTGCTCGGCGCCGAGACCTGCGCGGCCATGCGCGCCGAGGCGCTGGCGCTCTACGACGGCGGCGCGCTCGCGGCGTCGACGTCCAAGTCCTTCGACGTCGCCTTCGAGAAGAAGGGCGTCGTCGCGACGGGGCTCGCGGTCGGCGACGGCGACGCGGCGTCGGCGGCGCGGCCCGCGGCGCCGCCGCTGTTGAGCGCCTACCTGGCGGCGCTCGGCGAGGTCTTCGGCGCGCGCGCGGGGCTCGCGGCGCACGCGCGGAACAACAAGCTCGCGGCGACGACGGCCGGCGGCGGCTATCCTTTGCACCTCGACAACGACGGCGGCGACGCGCGCGACCGGCGGCGGCTGACCTGCATCTACTACCTGCAGGAGTCCTGGACGCCGGACGAGGGCGGCGAGTTCTTCGCCGTGGGCGCCGGCTGGGACTTCGAGCGGCGGAAGGTCGAGCCCGTCGGGGACCGGCTCGTCGCGTTCGAGGCGACGTCATTCTTCCACAGCGTCGACCCCGTCGTCGGCGACGGGACGCGCCTCGCCCTGACGCTGTGGCTCGAGGAAGATGATGGCTAACTTATTTTTCTGTTATTGGTACATGCAGCTCCCCGCGGCGCCCGGCGCGGTGCCGCCGTAGGCGTACTTCCAGCCCGTGTTCACGGGCCCCGACGGCACGCCGCGCGCGAGGAGGCGGCAGCGGAAGTGGCCGAGGCGCGCGGCCGTGGACACGTTGGCGCCGTGGGAGAAGTTCGTGTACGAAATGAGGTCCCGGCTGCTCCAGGCGCGCTCCGCCGCGGCCGCGGCCCGGGGGAAGAGCGTCGCGAGGAGCGTCGACGCGTCCATGACCTCGCCCCACGCCGCGGCCTCGATGCCCAGCACGCGCGCGCAGGACGCGGTCGTGTTCACCGTGTTGTCGCTGTCGACGGGGTTCGACGGGTCGCACGGGTCGTAGTTGTAGACGTCGCCGCAGCCCCAGTCGTCGTCCGCGCTCAGGTAGAGCGGCGTCGACGGCGCGGCGACGAGCTCGTGGCCGGCGTCCGCGGCCTCCTGCATGAGGTCCGCGACGTTGGACCAGAACATGAGCGTGATCGACGCGTCGACGTCGTCGCGGTAGTAGTAGTAGGCGTCGTCCCAGGCCACGGGCCGCCGCCCGCCGCGCTCGCGCATGATGCGCGCGTTCGTGTTGAGCATCAGGAGGTAGGCCTGCTTCGACGTGAGGTTGCGGTCCGCCAGGAACGTCGACGACGCGTTGTCCTCGTCCCAGCAGTCGTACTTGACCTCGTCGCCGCCCGTGTGCGCCAGCGCGAACGGGAAGAGCGCGTCGTCGCCGCCGTAGAGCTCCTCGTAGAGGTCACCGAGGTACTCGAGCGTCCGGTTCAGCGGCCGCAGCGGCCAGTTGTCCGTCGAGCACGTCTCCATGCAGACGTCGTCCGGCGCGCCCCGGCACATGCTCTTCGAGTGGCCCGGCGTGTCGAACTCCGGCAGCACCGCCACGCCGCGGACGCGCGCGTACTCGACGAAGCGCCGCAGCTCGCGCACCGTGTAGACCTCGTAGTCGCTGAACGCCGACGCCCAGAGCTCCGGGAACCGGCGCGACTCCATCGGGAACGACTCCTGGTCGCTCAGGTGGAGGTGCAGCACGTTGAGCTTCGAGAACGCCATGCCGTCGACGACGGCCTCGAGGTACGTCAGCGGGATGAAGTGGCGCGCGCAGTCGACCATGACGCCCCGGTACGCGAAGCGCGGCGCGTCCTCGATCTGCACGGGCGCGTTCTCGAGCACGTAGCTCTTGTCGCTCCGCCGGAACGAGATCAGCTGCGAGAACGTCTCGAGGCCGTGCAAAACGCCCCAGACCGTCGCGGCCGTCAGCGTCGCGCCGCCGGCCACGTCGACGGTCAGCGCGTAGCTCACGTCGTCGTCGAGGGCCGGGTAGCCGTCCGCGCCGATGCTCACGACGACGCGCACGCCGCGGAGCGTCGCGCCGTCGCACGTCGCGTCCAGGTCGCCGTGGGCGAAGATGTAGGCCGCGTAGCGCTCGACGGCGCCGCGGACGACGGCGGACGTCCGCGCCTCGCCGTCGAGCTCGAAGGCGAGCGACGTCGGCACGCAGAGGTCCGTCGAGCCCGCGGCGTACGACGCGGGCAGCGGCCACAGCAGGCTCCCGCACGCCGCCGCCGCGCTGCTGCAGTCGACGAGGCTCGACGATGCCGCGCTCGTCGCCTCGAGGAGGGCGGCGCTGCTCCTGCGATTGCCGGAGAGCCAGAGCACGAGCGCCGTGAACGCGGCGCCGGCGGCCGCGTCCGCGAGGCGCCCCCAGATGCGTCGTCGCGAGCCGCCGAGGGCGACATAGCTGCCCCGATGGGGCGCCATCGTCGCACTCGTATCCACGGCACGAGGTCGACGCTGCAGAGCCCGCTAGCACGATGCGCGCCGCCCTTGCCGCTCTCTTGCTCGCCCCCGCCTGGGGCATGGCATGGTGGGCCCCGCCTGGACCTGGAGCGACCAGGAGGCGCCCGCGGGCGAGAAGTCCATGGGCACCTGGACGAGTGCGGTGTACACGGAGGAGCAGCAGGCGCGCCTGGGCGTCACGGAGACGGGGGAGGCAGCCCCCGCGGCCCAATTGACGGGCTGGACCGTCACGGAAGGCGAGCGCTGCTACGGCGGGCTGCCGGACGAGCCGGGGCTGCTCGACGAGGCCGTCGTCGAGTCCATGGCCGCCTGCGGGGCCCGCGCGTCCGAGACCGCCGCCGCGAACGCGTTCACGTACTGCGAGCTCTGCGAGAACGAGGGCTGGGGCCAGAACTGCTGGGTCTGGACGCTCCCCGAAAAGGACGCGGAGGTCGAGGGCGTCACCTGGTGCGACACGCCGGACCTCTACCAGAAGTTCTCGACGGGCCGCGCGGCCGCGCCGCCGACCGCCCTCGCGCGCTTCGCGGCCCGCGCGCGCGCGTTCCTCGGGCACTAGGCCCCCCGTGCTTTATTGGAACATGCAGGAGCCCGTCTCCGGCGGCGCCGCGGAGCCGTAGGCCTTGTCCCAGGGCACGTTGACGGGCCCCGCGCGGACGCCGCGCGCGAGGAGCTCGCAGCGGAAGTGGCCCAGCCGCAAATTCGTCGTGACGTTGCCCGTGGGCTGCGTCGCGTCGAGCGTGAAGTTCGTGTAGGTGATGAGGTCCCGCGGGCTCCACGCGCGCTCCGCGAGCGCCGCCGCGCGGGGGAAGAGCGTGCCCGCGAGGTTCGCGGCGTCGTAGTCCGACGACCAGAAGTTGACGGACTCGCCCAGAACCATGTCGCAGAGCGTCGTCTCGTTGAGGCCGTAGTCGTAGGCGCAGGGGTCGAAGTTGTAGATGCCCTCGACCTGGTTCGAGCCGTAGTCCAGGTAGAGCTCCATGTCCCACGCGGAGATGACGTGGTGCCCCGCCTGGGCCGCGCCGACCATCTCGTCGATCTCCGTCCAGAACATGAAGACCCAGGACTCGTCGAGCCCGTTGCCGAAGTACTCGTAGGCGTCGTTCCAGGCGATCGCGCGCTTGCCGCGGCTCGCGACCGTCGCCCGCACGTGGTCGAGCATGAGGCGGTACGTCGACGTGCTGTTGAGCCCCCGGGCGCGCATCCAGTCCCGGGACACGTCGTCGACGTTCCAGCACTCGTCCTTGACCTCGTCGCCGCCGACGTGGGCGAACGCGAAGGGGAAGACGGGGCCCGCGCCGCCGTCGCCGCCGTCGAGGAACTCGCCGTAGAGGCCGTCGAGGAAGGCCAGCGTCTTCGACCCGGGCCGCAGGGGCACGTTGTCCACCGTGTCGTCGTCGCTCATGTCGCAGGACGCCATGCAGACGCCCTCGGGCGCGCCCCGGCACATGCTCCTCGAGTGGCCGATGGAGTCGAACTCCGGCAGGACCGCGACGCCGCGGACGCGCGCGTACTCGACGAAGCGCCGCAGCTCGCGCACCGTGTAGACCTCGTAGTCGCTGAAGGCCGACGCCCACAGCTCGGGAAAGCGGCGCGACTCGACGGGGAACGACTCCTGGTCGCTCAGGTGCAGGTGCAGCACGTTGAGCTTCGAGAACGCCATGCCGTCGACGACGGCCTCGAGGTACGTCAGCGGGATGAAGTGGCGCGCGCAGTCGACCATGACGCCGCGGTACGCGAAGCGCGGCGCGTCCTCGATGCGCACGGGCGCGTTCTCGAGCACGTAGCTCCTGTCGCTCCGCCGGAACGAGACGAGCTGCGAGAACGTCTCGAGGCCGTGCAAGGCGCCCCAGACCGTCGCGGCCGTCAAGGTGGCGCCGCCGGCCACGTCGACGTCGAGCGCGTAGCTCACGTCGTCGTCGAGGGCCGGGTAGCCGTCCGCGCCGTCGCTCACGACGACGCGCACGCCGCGGAGCGTCGCGCCTTCGCACGTCGCGTCCAGGTCGCCGTGGGCGAAGATGTAGGCCGCGTAGCGCTCGACGGCGCCGCGGACGACGGCCGACGTCCGCGCCTCGCCGTCGAGCTCGAAGGCGAGCGACGTCGGCACGCAGAGGTCCGTCGAGCCCGCGGCGTACGACGCGGGCAGCGGCCACAGCAGGCTCCCGCAGTCGCCGCCGCCGGCGCCCGTGAAGTTCGAGCAGTCCGTCAGCGTCGACGCCGCGGCCGCGGCCGTCGCAAACGCGCACGCGCTCTCGTCGGCTTCGACGCCGTCGGGCGTCACGACGAGGCAGCGCGCGTCGTCGGTCCGCGTCGCCGCTAGGCGCCGCGCGGTCGACGCCTCGCCGCGCAGGAACGGCCGCGTCGACGCCGCGGAGAAGAGGGCCACGCAGACGGCGCTTCCTACCAGGAAGTCGAGGGCGCGTTGCCCGGTAGCCCGCGAGGGCTGCCCCGATGGCCCCTCCATCATCGATTTTGGCTGATGGATTCGGGCCGACGGTGCCGTGGTTCGGTGAGCTATGGTCTCGCCTGGCGGCACGCCGCCGGCGCGCCCGTTCCTCGCAACCAAAGACGTGCCGCACCGAACGCGCCGCCTCGTCCCGCTCGGCGTCATGTCCGTCGCCGCGGCGGTCGCCGGCGGCGTCCGGTCGGGCGGCCTCGCCATGCTGGCAGCCCGGTCCGGCAGCCCCGGGACGGCCTGCGCGTCGCGGCTGCGCGTCGACGTCGACGGCGACGACGCCGCGGACGTGTCCGCCTGCGCGTCGCTGCGCACCGTGGGCGCCGCGCTGGCGCTCGCGCGGTCCACGAACGCGCGCGCGATCGAGCTCGGGCCGGGCGACCACCGCCTCGCGGAGACCGCGGTGCTCGGCGCGGGCGACGCGAACCTCCGGCTCGTCGGCGACGCCGGCGCGCGGCTCAGCGGCGGCCTCGCCGTGCCCGATACCTGCTGGACGAGCGCCGGCGGCGACGTCTGGACCTGCGACCTCGGCAGCGACGCCGCGCTCGCGGCGCGATCGCGAAAACGGTTCCGGTCGCTGCGCATCGGCGACGCGCGGGCGACGCCGGCGCGCTACCCGAACGAGCGGGACCGCGGCGCCGCGGCGTCCTTCCTCTACTGCAACCAGACCGTGCTCCTCGACAACCGGACCTGGGCGATCACGCTGGCGCCCGCCGCGTCGTCGGGCGCCGCGCTCCCGGACTGGCTCCTGTCCCCCCACTGGCGCGGCGCCCGCGCCCGGGCCTGGCCCATCTACAGCTGGAACAACTTCGAGGGCGCCCTGCGCCGCGCGGACGAGGGCGCGCTGGACGCGCTGTCGGATCGCGGCGCGAGCTTCGACGACCCGTGGTTCCTCGTGGACTGCGCGCTGCCCGCGGGGAGCGCCTGCGACGACTGGGACGGCAACCTGGACCAGGGGTCGCGGCTGTACGTCTACGGCGCCGCCGACGCCCTCGACGAGGTCGGCGAGTGGTCGTGGGACGAGGCGTCGGACGTCGTTTCCATCGTTTCGTCCTCGCGGCCGGACACCGTCGTCGTGCCGACGCTCTCGACGCTGCTGGAGATCGGTGTGGGCGCCGACGGCGTCGAGGTCGCGGGCGTGACCTTCGCCGACTGCGACTACGACAGCTACGGGTTCCAGCTGTCGCCCGACGCGAGCGGCGGCCGCTGGGAGCCGGGCATCCCCCACGACGCCGCGCTGCGGGTCCACGGCGCCCACGACGTCGTCGTGCGCGACTGCGTCTTCTCGAATCTCGGCGGCGGCGGCGTCTTGATCGCCGAGGCGAGCGCGCGCGCCGTCGTCCGCGACTCCGAGTTCCGCAATCTGGGCCAGTCGGCCGTGTTCCTCAGCGGCAACGGCACGACGCAGCCGCGCTTCGCCACCATCGTCGACAACGCCATGAGCGGCGTCGGCGAGGTCCTCGCCGCCGCGGGCGGCCTGGTCTGCGCGACGTGCTCGCACGCGCGGTTCGAGCGGAACGCCGTCGAGCGGAGCGGCCGCTGGGGCGTCAACTTCAAGACGTCCGACGTCCAGGCGGCCCACAGCGAGAACAACACGATCGCGGAGAACGTGTTCCGCGACATCGGCACGGCGACGGCGGACACCGGGGCCGTGTACCTCGTCGCGGACGACGGCGACACGCGCTTCAACTCGACGATCAGATGGAACCGTATGGTCAACGTCATGGGCGTCAAGTCCGAGTGGTCCGGGGGCGGCGGCATCCTGGAGACGCCGGCGTCGTCCTACGGCGTCTACCTCGACAACTCCGCGAGCGGCGTCACGGTGCGGGGCAACGTCGTCGCGGACGTCGCGACGGCGGCCTACTTCGTGCACGAGGGCCGGGCGAACCACTTCTTCGACAACGTCGCCTACAACGTCTCCAACGCGCGCAAGAGCGGCGGCGTGAACAAGGCCGTCTCCGGCGGCGACGCGGCCTACTACGCGCGCGGGAAAAACAACAGCTTCGCGCGCAACGTCGTCGCGTTTTCGTCGTCGCTGCCGACGCGGACGCTCTGGTACGGCGACGACGACGCCCTGGGCTACGTCGACTTCAACGTCTACTACGCCTATGGCACGGACGAGGAGAGGTTCCAGCTCTTCTTCAACAACAGCGACCTCACGCCCGCGGGCAACTGGACGGAGTGGCTCGCGGCGGGCAAGGACCGGCGCTCGACCATCGACGCGGCGCCCAAGTTCCGCGACGCGGCGGCGCTGGACCTGTGCCTCGAGGACGACTCGCCGGCGTTCAAACTCGGCTTCGAGGCGATCCCGGCCCACATCTGCGCCGCCGTGTCGTAACATTGAGTTTGTCAACGGTGCGTTATTGCACGCCGTCATCACGATGATGATGCTGGATGCCCGCGTCTGGGTCAGCACCCCGGTCCTCGTCGAAGTCGCATTATTTGCCGTCGCGCTCCTGCACCTCGTCGTCGCCGCCGCGAGACGGCGAACAGCGCGACCGGTGAGCGAGCTCGCGGCGCCGCTGCTGTCCACGCGGGACGACGCCTACGCCGTCGTCGTCGACGACGAGCACGCGGTCAAAAAGACGTGGTCCAAGGACGTCGGGTTCGGCTTCACGACGCAAACGCTCGGCTGCGCGCTCGCCGTCTACTTCCTCTTCGCGGCCGTCTTCTTCGCGCAGGACGGCGGCGCGCTCGACGAGCCCGCAAAGGCCGCGCGCGTGCTGCGCCACGCGCTGCGCTGCCTCGCCTGGTGCTGCGCCGTCTACGCCGAGGGCGTCGCGCTCCGCTGCGCGCGCGTGCGAAGCCGGACCTTCTGTTTTGTGTTCTACGCGGCCGCGGCCGCCGTCGACGCGCGCGAGACCGCCGCGGCGTTCGCGGCCGCGGACTGCCGGGTCTGGGCCGCCGCGCTGGAGTGCGTCGTCTTTCTCGTCGCCTGCGACCGGCGGCCCGTGCGGCGCGAGGCCTCGAGCGCGCTCCCGCCGGAGTGGCGCTGCTCGCTCGCGTCGTATTTCTCCTTCGCGTGGCTCGAGGACCTCATCGCCGTCGGATCGAAGCGGCCCCTCGCGGCGGCGGACCTGCCGCCGCCGGCGGACGGGGATCGCGCCGCGCGCGTGTTGGAAGCCTGGGGGCCGCCGCCGGCGACGGGGAGCCTGTGGTTATTCACGCTCCGGCGGTGCGGCTGGCGCTACGGGCTCCAGACCTTCTACCGCCTCGTCCCGACGCTCGTCAACGGCTTCGCGTCGCCCTTCGCCCTGAACGTCGTCATCACCTTCGTCCAGTCGCGGCCGGCGCCGGGGCCCGTGCCGCCGCTCGTGCTCGCGGCCGCGGCCGGCGTCGCGTTCCTGCCCGTCGTCGCGATCTTCGGCGACACGCACAACGTCAAGATCGGGCGGCGGCTCGGCGTGCGGGCCCGGGCCTACCTCACGGGCTGCGTCCTCGACGCCCTGGCGCGCTCCCCCTGCGGCGCCGCGGAGCCGGGCGTCGTGACGAACCTCGTGTCCGTGGACGCCGCGAACGTCGTCAACTACATGGTCCAGGGCCAGCTGCTCTGGGCCGCGGCGCTCCAGCTCACGCTGAACATCCTGCTGCTGCTGGACGTGCTCGGCGCCGCGGGTTTGTTCGGCGTCGGCGTGCTCGTCGCGCTCATGCCGGCGTCGCGCGCGATGAAGCGGCGCCTCGCGCGCTTGCAGACCCAGCTCATGGCGAAGCGCGACGGCCGCATGCGCGTGATCCACGAGGTCATCGCGGGCATCCGCGTCGTCAAGGCCTTTGGCTGGGAGCCCGAGTTCGCCGCGCGCGTCGCGGCCGCGCGCGCGGCGGAGGTCCGCGCGCTGGCCGCGTACCTCTACACGACGGCCGCGATGCTCGGCGTCGTCCTCGGCGCGCCGTCCTGGATCGGCATCGTCACCTTCCTCGTCCACACGCAGCTCCTCCATCGCGACCTCACGGCGGCCCAGGCCTTCACGGCGCTGACGCTCTTCAATCTATTGCGGTGGCCTCTGAACGCGCTGCCGGACGCGCTCAACCACTGGATCCAGGCCAAGGTCGCCTTTGCGCGCTTCGAGGCTTTCATTCGCGCCGCGCCGCCGGCCGAGGCCGGCGCGGCGGCGCGCGACGCCGGCGACATCGCGCTCGCCGGGACCTTCTCCTGGCCCGGCGCGGATTCCCCCGCGCTCCAAGAGCTCGACGTGGTCGTCCGCCGGGGCCGGCTCACGTGCGTCTACGGCCCGACGGCGAGCGGCAAGTCGTCGCTGCTCCTCGCGCTCCTCGGCGAGCTCGACGGGCCCGGCGCCCGGCGGCGGGCGGCCTACGTCGCGCAGGCGCCCTGGATTTTGCGGGCGACGGCGCGCGACAACGTGCTCTTCGGGACCGCCTACGACGCGGCGCGGTACGCCGCCGTCGTGCGCGCCTGCGCCCTCGACGACGACTTCGCCCGGCTCGCCGCCGGGGATCTGACGGAGATCGGGGAACGGGGCGCGACGCTCTCCGGCGGCCAGCGCCAGCGGCTCGCTCTCGCGCGCGCGGCCTACGCGGACGCGGACCTCTACGTCTTCGACGACGTCCTGAGCGCCCTGGACGCCCACGTCGGCGCCCACGTCTTCCGGCGCGTCGTGCGCGACCTGCTCAGGGGGAAGACGGTCGTGCTCGCGACGCACCAGGTGGCGCTGACGGAGGCGGACGCGGACGCCAGGGCAGGACAAGAGAGCGAAATTCCCAACTTCAAAGGCTCCTATCTCGGCCGTTTTCCGCTCGTTTCGGCTGATTTTTGGACGAGCGATCATCTCTCGGAACGGCCTCGAAGCGTGGATGCTTTTTCCGGAACGCGCGCGCGCGGAACACTCACGTTGAAGCGACGTTGAATCTCTCTTGTCCTGCCCAGGCGGACGCGGCGGTCTGGCTCGACGGCGCCGGCCGCGCCGCCGCGCGCCCCCCGGACCTCAGAGCCGCCGAGGCGCGGCGCGGTCGCGACGCCGACGACGTCGCACCCGGCGCCGCGGCCGCGAAAACCGCCGCGGCCGACGGCCGCCTCGTCCGCGCGGAGGCCCAGCAGGTCGGCGCGACGAAGCTAGCCGTCTACGGCCGCTATTTCGTCGACTGCGGCGGCGCGTCGTTCCTCGTCCCCATGGCCGCGCTCCTCGTCGGCTACCAGGTGCTCCTCAACGGGCAGGCGTTGGCGCTCAAGGCCTGGGTCGCCGCGCTCGAGCTCGAGAACTCCGGCGCCGCGCAGCGGTCCAAGTACGTCTTCTTCGCGTCCGCGACCTTCGGGACGCTCTGCCTGACGCGCCTCGCCATCGCCAAAGGCTCGCTGCGCGGGTCGCGAAAGGTCCACGACCGCGTCGTCGCCGCGGTGCTCGCCGCGCCGCTCGCGTGGTTCGAGGCCACGCCCGCGGGCCGCGTGCTCAACCGCTGCGCGTCCGACGTGCAGACCATCGACAAGGACCTGATGAACGAGCTCGCCATGCTCGCCCAGTACGTGTTGAGCCTCGCGGGCATCGTCGCGGTCATCCTCTACGAGATCCCCGTCGCGGCGGCGTCCGTCGCGCCCATGGTGGGCTTCTCCTACGTCTTCGCCGGCCGCTACTACGCCTGCGAGCGCCGGCGTTTTCCCCCCGCTCTTTCGTTCCGGGAGCGTTGTCCCCGCAGGCAACCGCGAGCTCAAGCGGCTCGAGGCGTCGACGCGATCGCCGGTCTTCGGCGCCGTCGCGGAGCTCGCGAGCGGCGCGCGCCCGCGTCCGAGGCCTCGTCCGCCGCGCGAACGACCCGCGCGTCTTCAGGCCTCGTCACCGCGCGCGCGTTCGGGGCGACGGGCCGCCTCCGGGAGGACTGCCTCCGGCGCGTCGACGTCAACTCGAGCGCGCTCTACCAGCTCTTCGCCGTCAACTCCTGGCTCGTCGTGCGCCTGCGCTGCCTCGGCGCGCTCGTCAACGGCTGCGTCGTCGCCTACGCGCTCGCGCGCGCGGCGGACCTCGACGGCGCCACCGTCGGCCTCGCGCTGAGCTACAGCCTCGGCGTGACCCAGGCCGTCACCTTCACGATCAAGCAGCACGCGACGGTCGAGATGGCGGCGAACGCGCTCGAGCGCGCGGACGAGTACGCGCGCCTGCCCCGCGAGCGGGCGGACGGCCGCGCGCGGCCGCCGGGCTGGCCCGCGAAGGGGCGCGTGGCCTTCGAGGCCGTGTCGCTCGCCTACGCGTCCGCGCCGGACGCGCCGGCGCTCCGGGGCGTGTCCTTCGCCGTCGACGGCGGCGAGCGCCTCGGCGTCTGCGGGCGCACGGGCGCGGGCAAGTCGAGCTTGGTGGCGGCGCTCTTCCGCCTCGTCGAGCCCGCCGGCGGCCGCGTGCTCGTCGACGGCGTCGACGTCGCGGCGCTGAGGCTCGCGGACCTCCGCGGGAGCCTGAGCCTGATCCCGCAGGAGCCGACGCTCTTCCGGGGCAGCGTCCGCGCGAACCTCGACCCCTTCGGCGCGCGGAGCGACGCGGAGATCGCCGCCGCGCTCGCGCGCGTCGCGTTCCGGCGGAGCGACCTCGACGCGGCCGTCGACGACCGCGGCGCCAACTTCTCGGCCGGCGAGCAGCAGCTCCTCTGCCTCGCGCGGGCGCTCCTCCGGCGGTCGAGGATCCTCGTCCTCGACGAGGCGACCGCGTCCGTCGACGAGGGCGCGGACGCGCGCATCCAGGCCGCGCTCCGCGGCGACGACCTCGCGGCGACGACGCTCCTCGTCATCGCGCACCGCCTCGCGACCATCGCGGACTTCGACAAGGTCGCCGTCCTCGCGCGCGGCGCGCTCGTCGAGTGCGACGCGCCCGGCGCGCTCCTCGGCGACCCGGGCTCGGCCTTCTACGACCTCTGCGCAGCGACGGGCGACCTCGCGGGGCTCGTCGCGCGCGCGCGGGGGGCGGCGGTCCGGTGAATTAAAAAAACGTTACGAACGCCCGGGCGCGGCGACGAGCGCGTCCTGGGCCTCCTGGGCCTGGCGGATGAGCTCGTCGATGTCGAGGGCGTGGGCCGCGGCGGCGGCGTCGACCTTGGTCTCGTCGATGGTGTTCGCGCTGACCTGGAGCTGGCGGCTCACGAGCGTCGCGTAGATGCCCTTCCGCGCGACGAGCGCGTCGTGGTCGCCGAGCTCGAGGACGCGGCCGTCGCCGACGACGGCGATGGCGTCGGCGTTGCGCACCGTCGAGAGGCGGTGGGCGACGAGGATGACCGTCGCCGATTTCCCCGCGATGAGCGTGTCCAAGGACCGCTGGACCTTGGCCTCGGACTCCGCGTCGAGCGCGGACGTCGCCTCGTCCAAGAGCAGGAGCTTCGGGTTCCTAAGAAAAGCGCGCGCGATGGAGATGCGCTGCTTCTGGCCGCCGGAGATGCGCACGCCGCGCTCGCCGACGTGCGTGTCGTAGCCCGCGGGGAAGTCGCGGATGAACTCGTCCGCGAGCGCCGCCTCCGCGGCCGCGGCGACGGCCGCCGGGTCCGCGCCGTCGACGCCGTAGGCGATGTTGCCGTAGATCGTCGTGTTGAAGAGCTGCGTCTCCTGGGCCACGATGGCGAAGTGGCGCCGGAGGAACGCGACGTCCAGCGACCGGAGCGGCCGGCCGTCGAGGAGCACGTCGCCGCGCGCCGGGTCGTAGAACCGCAGCAACAAGTGGAGCGCCGTCGTCTTGCCCGAGCCCGACTTGCCCACCAACGCCAGCGTCGACCCCGCCGCCACGTCGAGGTCGAAGCCCCCCAGCACGTTCCGGTTTGGCCGCGCGTCGTACGCGAAGAAGACGCCCGCGTACCGCACGCGTCCCGCGACCTCCCCGGAGTCGTCGCCCCCGCGGCCCTTCTCCGGCATGGACTGCAACAAACCCAGCACGCGCTGCGCCGCGCCGCTCGCGCGCGTGAAGGATGATAATAAGGAGATCAGCTGGTTGTAGGAGCTCTGGATCTTGTTGAAGTAGAGCTGGTACGTGACCAATTTCCCCGCGGACATGTCGCCGCCGCGCTTCATGGCCTGGGCGCCCCCATAAAACAGAATCAGCCAGCCGGCGCCGTAATCCAAGACGTTGTTCACGAGCTGCGTCGTCGCGGACAGCGACGCGTCGACGACCCCTCTATCGCGCGCGGCGCACGTGTGGCCCTCGTAGCGCCGCTGCTCCAACTCGTCCGTGGCCATGGCCTTGACCGTGCGCACGTTCGCCAGCGCCTCGGTAGCTGCCGCGTTGGCCTCGCCCAGATGCGCCAAGATCTTCCGGTTCTGCTCGCGGCTCCACTGCGCGTACGCCTGCGTGACGTGCATGATGGGCCCGACGGTCGTGAACGCGAGCATGGACAGGCGCCAGGACGTGTAGAAGGCCATGGCGACGCCGCCGACCAGGGAGATCATCGCCGACGTGAGCGTGCCGACCAAGGTCGTCAGCGGCTGCGTCATCTGGTTCACGTCCTGCGTGAGCCGCGACGTGAGCGTGCCGCTCGCCGTGGCATCGAAAAAGGCCACGTCCTGCGACAGGATCGCCCGGTAGAGCCGGTTCCGCAGGGCGCAGGCGAGGCGCCGCCCCGTGACCTGGAAGCAGAGCGCCCGCAGCGCCTGGCTCACGGCCGTGCCCACGGAGAAGACGAGGTAGAGCAGGAGCCGGTTCTGGAACTTGGCGCGCTGCCGCGCGTAGACGGCGTCGATGATCTCGCCCTGGTAGCTCGGCAGCGCCAGCGCCGCGCCGCCGGAGCCGACGACGCACACCAGGGCCGTGAGCACGAGCCACCAGTCCGGCGCCATGAGCGCGCCGACGTGGCGCAGGATCTCCCACGAGCCGATCTGCGCCTCCGCCTGCGACGCCTGCGACGGCTCCGGCGCGCGCCGGCCCCGGCCCCGGCCGCCGCGGCCGCCGCGGCCGGCGGGCACGACTTCGCACCTCAACGGCGACGTCGTCGCCGCGCCCGCGCCGCGCCGCGTCCGCGCCCAGCACGTCGGGCAGACGTCGAAGTTGCACTGGTTGCAGCGCCACATGGACGGCGCCGTGATGCGCCGGTCGCAGAGGTCGCACCAGTTGTTCGTCGCCATGGAGTACTCGAGCGCGTGCTTGTGGAGGCCCGGCGCGACGGACGCGAGGAGCCGCGTCCGCAGCTGCACGACGTTCGCGAGGAGCCACGCCTCGACGTTGACGCAGATCGTCGTGAGGCCGACGGCGATGGCGATGGGCGTCGCGTTCCTCGGGTGGGCGCTCAAATCGAAGACGCAGAGCTTGACGCCCACGTAGCCCTGGCAGACGGACGCGAGGACGAAGAGGAGCGCGAGCCACGCGTCGCGGCGAAAGTCCGCGGACCGCTTCCGCGCCGCGAGCGCCGCGCCCTCGGCGTCGCCGCCGTCCAGGAGCTCGTAGCCGCCGTCGCGCGCGGCCGCGCCGGGGTCCGCGGCCGCCGCGCGCCAGGACCGGTACGCCGCGACCGCCGCGAGCGGCAGGACCGCCGCTCGGCCCGCGGCCGCGGCGACGAGGTCGCTGCAGTCGCCCTTGAGGCTGTAGGCCCAGACGAGGCGCCCGCGCACGAGCCACTGGGCGGCGACGCTCAGGCCCACGTCGACGAGGAGCACGAACAGGACCCAGCGCAGCACGCGCCGCGTCGGCGCCGCCGACGACTCGGAGCTGTTGCCGCGCGTGCCCGTGCAGAGCTCGAAGACCGACGTGCGGCTCGCGGCGACGCCGCGGCCCATCATGCCGCCGCGCAGGTTCCCGCCCTTGCCCATGGCCGCGAGGCAGACGCGGACGAGGACGCGGTCGCGGCCGCGGCTACGGAGTGGCAACTTCGAGGCACCGTCGGCGATTGATTTTCGGAGCCAGTGTTGCATTTCTGCTCGTCACCCATTCGAGTGATGGCTGCGTGATGTGCTAGGATCGGCAGCCTCCGCGCCCGCAGCCTGCAAGACCGGCTGCCCTAGCAGCCTCCGCGCCCACAACCCGCACGACCACCAACCCACCCGCCGCCATTTGCCATGGGCAGCCAACCGTCCGCCGAGGCGCGCGACGACGACCTCGACGGCGGCGTGCCCGAGGAGGAGCGCGGCCTGCTGCGGACCATGGAGCGGGCGACGGACGTCGCCACGGGCGTGCGGCCGCAGCGGGCGATCCCCGTGCTCGAGGACGACGCGACGATCCGCGCGGATCCCTACGAGGAGGACGTCGACGAGGAGACGCGAAGGAACATGATCGACCCGTTCTGGTACGGCACGCTCGGCCTGACGCTGACGAAGTTCTTCGACGAGGTCGCGAGCTCCGTCTACAGCATCGTCTCGTCCTTCTACACCTACGACTCGCTGGGGCTCAACAACTACCAGACGGCCGTCATGGCCTACATCGACGACCTGCCGGGCATGTTCGAGATCGTCATCCTCGTCTTCGTCGTCTGCGTGCCCGTCTTCGGCACGCGCGCCAAGTACTACTACATCCTGGCGAAGCTGATCCACATCGTCGTCTACGTCCTCCTGAGCTTCACGTCCATGTCCTACTACCGGCTCATGTTCTACGGGTTCGTCGCGTCGTGGGGCTCCGGCCTGAGCGGCGCGGTGACGGACTACCTGTACGTCCAGCGGTCCATGCGCGAGCCGCTGGAGCGCCAGGGCTACCTGGCCGTGACCTGGAGTTTGGTGACGTCGGCGGGATCTCTCGTGGGCCTCTTGTTCACGGACGTCGTCGTCGACAACACGTTCGGCGGCATGGCCGCGGCCGCGGACTGGTTCAACATCAACCGCTCCTGCTTCATCTACGCGCTCTACCCCCTGCCGCTCGTGCCCCTCTACCTCGTCATCTTCGAGCCCCGGGTGAAGCCGCCCCTGCGGAGGCCGTGCAACGAGACCGCGAAGATGGAGCGGCAGCCTGTGTGGAAATCAACCACTGGTTTGGGTGGTCCTGACCAAACTTGAGAATTCTCTAGCTCGGTCAAATCGAAGTCGATTCGGCTAATTTTTGGACGGATCGATCGCTCTCGTCGAGTTCTCGAAGCCCAGCTGAAAGCCTTGCGTCGAAACATTCGAATAAGCTCACATTGAAGTCGGGTTGAAGATTTGATTTCCACACAGGCGGCAGCTCCGGGACCTGGACGTCGCGCACGTCATCGGCCTCTACTCCTTGTACAAGCTCATGGACATCTCCTGCACGGACTCGGACATGGTGAAGCTCGACGGCTGCGGCATGTCGACGAGCACCTACACGCTGAACAAGATCGTCGTCAACGTCGTCCAGATCGCCTCGCACTGGTACTACCGGAAGTACTGCCTGAAGATGCGGCTCCGGACCCTGTGGTACTACACCATGTGCGCCAACTTCCTGCTGGGCGTCGCGGCCCTCGTGCCGCTCTACACCTGGGTCGGCCAGCAGTCGACGGCCTGCTCGACGTACATGACGGCGTACGACGTCGTCTCGGAGATCGCGTCGACGTTCGGCGGCAACGTCATCGGCCTCATCTTCCTCGCGACGTGCCACAGCAACCGCGGCGGCCTGCTCTACGTGCTCGCGAACACGATCTGCGACATCGTCGACAAGTACACGTCCGGCGTCACGACGTGGCTCGAGGACAAGTACACGGCGACGGACGCGGAGTTCGAGGCGGGCGACTATAGCGTGTACGCCAAGCTCCAGTTGATCTGCCTGCCGTTCCTGCTGCTGCCCATCGTCATGAGCCCCCTCATCCCGCGCACGCGCAAGGAGCTCCAGGCGTTCCCCGAGCGGTGCCGCCGGGGCGAGGTCTACACGTGGGTCCACTTCACGGACAAGTACTGGCCCGACTGGCTCAAGAAGCGCGACTACCACTCGGCGTCGACGCTCATGCTGCTGTGGTGGGCCGTCGGCTTCTGCTACACCTACTGGTACTCCTTCGACCTCCTCACGTGGTCGTCGACGGGCGAGACGGTCTTCATGTGGGGCATCCTGCTGCCGGCCTTCGTCGTCCTCATCTTCTCGCGCTGCGGCGGCACCTGCAAGGTCGACGAGCCGGGCTGGGAGGAGGCCCAGCGCGCGGAGCGCCTCGACGACAAGCCCCCGGGCATCGGCGCCGTCAAGACGGCCCAGCCGGCGCCCGAGGCCGCCGCCGCGTTCGCGCCGACGATTTAAGTTGCGCGGGCGGTTGCGGCCCGGGGCATGTCCCCGTAGAGCGCGTGGACGTCGCTCAGGTTCTTGATGCTCGCGACGCCCGTCTTGTCGAAGACGCGGATGGCCTTGGCGACGCTCGGCGGCGCGCGGATCATGACGGCGTTCGCCGGCGCCGCGCCGCAGCAGCCCAGCCGCGCGAGGTTCAACGCCTTGCAGATGCTCGCGTTGACGAAGCCTTCGCCGCTTTCGAAGAGCACGCCGTGGTGACACGAGCGCGGGTCCGACTTGTCGTAGTTGCACGCCACGATGCACATGCAGACGTCGCAGCCGCAGATGCCGGGCGCCTCGTGGTACGCCGGCGCGTCGGGGTCGAAGAACTCATCGTCGTCGAAGGAGTCGCGCGCCTCGGGTTGCTGGAGCCCATACTTCTCGCGCCAGTTGAGCGCCTCCGCCTGCGCCGCCGCCTGCCGAGCCTCAACGGGCGCCTCCGCCTGCGCCGCCGCCGGCGGCTCGTCTGGTCCCGCCGGAGTCGCGACCGCCGCGCCGTCGTAGGGCTGCACGCAATCTTCGGCGGCGACCCTCGACATGATTAACAACGCACCATTGTTGTCAGCCACTTTGCTAGAGGAAGCCAGCTGCACGTGCGCCAATGTTTACCACTCATTGCAGGACATTGCAGTGGCAGCAAGCATGAGAGCGTCATTGCTGCTGCTGCTGGCCAGCTGCAGCGCCTTCCGGACGCCGGTGGTGCGCAACCATGCAACACTAAAAAGCCGATGCATCGCGCCGCTGCGCGCCGTCGCCGTGCAGCCGGAGGACAAGCTGCCGGCGGAGCTGCTGCCCGTGACTTTGAGCGTGTTCGCGCAGATGATCGGCGAGGGCATCGCGATCGCGTCGCTGCCGCTCCATCTCACGAAGCTCGGCGCGAAACCCGTCGAGGTGGGCCTGGCGACGTCGGCGTTTTCGCTCGCGCAGATGGTCTGCTGCCCGATCCTCGTGCGTTCGAGCGGCCGCGTCGGCCGGGGCCGCGTGCTGCGCTGGTGCCTCGCGGGCGCGACGCTCTCGAACGTGGGCATCGCCTGCTCGCCGTCGGTCAGCGCCATCGTCCTCTTTCGCGGGATGGGCGGCGCGTTCGCGGCGTCCGCGCCCGTCGCGCAGGCCGCGGCCGCCGACATCGTTTCGCCGCGGCAGACGCCGGCGGCGCTCAGCCGCGTCGCGGCGGCGAGCCAGATGGCCATCGTCGTCGGCCCCATGTGCAGCGCCGTGCTCATGGAGGGCTTCGGGCGCCTCGGCGTGCCGGGGGAATTGCAACTGCGCGCGGTCTTTGCGGCGACGGCCGTCTTCGCGTGCGGCGTCCTGGGGCTGCTCGCGACCTTCGACGACGGCGCCGCCCTCGCCGCGGCGACGGCGCGGGACCGCGCGGCGGGCAAGACGAAGACCGTCGGGGAGTTCGCCGGCGCGGGCGACTTCCCCGCGCAGCCGCTGCTGCGGGCCGTCGCTCTGGTCGTCGGCTGGTCGCTCACGCTCAGCGTCTTCGGCTACGGCCTCTTCGCGCCCAAGTTCCTCGGCTACGACCAGTCCCGGCTCTCGGCGACGTTCAGCGCCGGCGCGCTGACGACCATCGGCGCGCAGCTCCTCTTCCCGAGGATCGTACGGCGGGTGGGCGCGCACGCGACGTCGTGCCTGGGTTTGCTGTGCCTCGCGGCGGGCATGGCGGGCCAGACCGTCGCGCGGAACCAGCCGTTCCACTCGGCGCTCTATCTTTTGAACCGCGCGGGCTCGGGCGTCGCGGACACGTCGACGGCGACGCTCGTCGCGCGGTCGTCGAAGGACAAGGACGACCGCGCGAGGAACCTGGGCCTCATCCAGTCGACGCGCGCGGCGGCGCGCATCTTCACGCCCCTGGTTTCCGGGAGCCTCTTCGCGGCGTCCTGCGGCTTCGCGACATGCCCCGGGTCGCTGCCCTTCCTCTGCAACGCGGGCTGCGCTTTGCTCGCGGCGCCGCTGCCCTTCCTCCTCCTCCGCGCGGAGCGGAAAGCGGCCGCGAGGGACGCGGACGCGTTCGCCGTCAAGAAGCGGGGGGACTCCGCGCCGCCCGGGACACAATAACACAAGCCTAGCAGATCTCCCGCGCCGCGGCTAGCAGATCTCTCGCGCCGCGGCCGCGAGCATGTCCGCCTCCGCGACGGAGAGGCCGATGTCGGTGAGGTCTCCGGCGTCGAGGTAGGTCAGGTCCCGGAGGCTCAGGATCTCCTCCTCCGCGAAGCGGCGCGCGTACCGCTCGAGGCCGTAGGCCTCGAGGAACGTCGCGAGCTGCTGGAGCCCGGGGTGCGGCGGCGACGGCGGTCGCGGCGGCGGCGGCGGCGGCGGCGGGGCGGCGCGCGCGGCCTCGCGCGCGCGCGCGCGCTCGACGACGGGCCCCGCCGGTCGCGGCGGCGGCGGCGCGGCGGCGCGCGCGTTCGTCACCGGGACGAAGCCGTCCTTCTCCGGCGGCGGCGGCGGCGGCGCGGCGGCGGCCTTCTTCTTGGTCTTCTTCCGGTTCTTCGACGGCAGCGTCGACGTCGCGGTCGCGCTCACGGCGGACCGCGGAGGCGGCGGCGCGGCGCGCGCGGCGTCGTCCGCGCGCTCCGTCGGGTAGGGGTTCTTCGGCGGCGGCTTCTCGGGGGCCTTGGGCCGGAGCGCGGGCCGCGCGCGCGCCGAGGCGGCCGTCGCGCCGAAGGCGGACGCGAGCGCGTCGTCGTCGTCGTCGCCCGAGTCGTCGTCGCCCGAGCCGTCGCCAAAGTCCGCGGCGGGCGCGCCGTCGTCCGTCGCCGGCGGCGCCGCCGGCGTCGGCGGCGGGTTGCGCTCGTCGTCCTTGAGCAGGAGGTGCGCGAGCGTCGACGCGTCGACCTGCTTGGGCCGCTTGAGGCCGCGGCGGTCGACCTCGGCGCGGAGCTTCGAGCACGACCAGTCGAGGTACTTGACGGTGCCCTCGGCGGAGACGCCGAGGCGCTGGGCGAACTTCGCGCGGCTCTGGGCCTTGGCCTTGGCGCGCTGGGCCTTCTTCTGCTTGTTCTCCTTGTCGCGCGCCGCGCGCGCGTCGGCCTTTTGCCGCTTCTTCGCCTCGACGTCGTCCTTGAACTCCGCGCGGCGCTTCCACATCTCCTCGGCGGCGGCCTTGGACGCGCGCGCGTCGGCCTCCTTGTCGGCCTTGGCGAACATGCCGCCGAAGATGCCGCCGGCGCCGCCGCCGAAGCCGCCGCCGCCGAAGCCGCCGCGCGGCGACGCGCGGCCGCCGGCGTCGAAGCCGTCGTCGTCGTCGTCGGTGTAGAACTCGTCCGAGTCGTCGTCGAAGCCGCCGCCGCGGCCGGGCCCGCCGCCGCCGAAGGAGAAGAAGATGCCCGGCCCGCCGCCGGGGCCGCCGCCGCCGAAGGAGAAGCCCGCGGGCGCGCCGCGGCCGCCGCCGCCGCGGCCGCGGAACCGCGCGCCCATCATCTCGCGCATCATGTTCACGAAGACGAAGAAGTCGTCGCTGTCGTCGAAGTCCTGCGTCGCGCCGCGGAAGAAGTCGTCGCCGAAGAGGTCCTCCTCGTCGTCCTCGCCGCGCGCGCGCCGCAGGAGCGTCTCGAGCGCCTCGCCGACGCGCTGGAAGCGCGCCGTCGCGTCCGGGTCCCCGGGGTTCTTGTCGGGATGGTGGATCAGCGACTGGCGCTTGAAGGCCTTGCGCAGGGCCGCCTCGTCGACGCAGTCGGCCTCGACGCCGAGCACCTCGCAGGCCTCCTCGGCGCTCATCTTCTCGGGCATGGCGTATCTAGCCTCTGCGAAGCCTCCCGGAGGCGTTCGCGGCGGCGCGTTCGACGCGGTCCCGCGCCGCGGTCCTTCCGGGTGGCGCTGCGGTGCCGGGGCGGCGCGCGGCGTCGGACGGCGCGAGGGTAGCTGGCGGCGCGCGCGGTCAGGCCCCTGGGTTTTTGGACTTGGCCGAGCCGAGTCGTCTCTGCGCCTCGGCGATTGTCTGCTGTTGCCCGGCAACATCGCCCTGGCATCCGATGACGGGGCATTTGCCGAGGCTGCCCGGCCTTATGCGGCCTCAGTAGGCAGAGACAGTCGAACAAGCGCAGAGGCCTCAGTAGGACACATCCTCCGCTCGACCAAGGGCAAAAACCATGGGCGCCACGCCGGCCGAGCAGACGAAGTCGCTCCTCGGCCGCGAGAAGCCCGTCGACGTGCAGCCCGGCTCGGTCTGGCTCTGGCTCGCCCTCCTCGTGGCGTCCGTCTTCCGCCAGTGGGCCTACAGCGTGTTGGCCTCCCTCTACGCGCTGAGCCCGTCGGACTACGACGACAAGACGTCCGTGCGCGGGGCGACGTCCCTGAGCAGCGACGAGTACGCCGGGATCGTCTACGCGTACACGATCGTCGCCGTGACGGCCATGGGCGCGTCGGGCGCGTGCACGACGCTCTTCGGCGCGCGGCGCACGGCCGTCGCGGGCCTGGGCCTCCAGGTCGCCGGCTGCGTGACCTGCGGGCTGAGCTACGGCGTCGTGCAGCTCGCGGCGGGCACGCTCGTGCTCTCGGGCGGCTTCGGCGTCTTCCTCACGCCCGCGTACTCGTTGGTCTTCGGCATCGAGCGGTCCGGCACGCGGCGCGTGCTCGCGACGACGACGGTGCAGGCCGCGGGCAACCTCGGCGCCGCCGCGGCGTCGCTGAGCATCGTCCTCGCGGAGTCCTTCGTCGGCTGGCGGGGGACGTACTTCGTCATCGCGGCGGGGCTCGCCGCGTCGGCGCTGCTCATGGTCGCGGCGCCGGACGGCGGGCCGCGGCCGCCGCCGACGCAGGCGAAGCCCGTGTCCGCCGTCTTCGGCGAGCTCCGGAGCGCCTTCGGCTGGATCGTCGAGGGGCGCCGCTTCTTCGGCGGCGCGCTCGCCGCGTCGATGGCCTGCGGCGTCGCGGGCACGCTGGAGGGCACGTGGATCGCGACCTACTTTCTGGACAATTACCCCTACTACTCGGACTTGTACTCGTACCTGACGGCCTTCGTGATCACCATCGGCATCGGCGTCGGGTTCTTGCTCGTCGCCGGCTACGTCGTCGACCGCGTCGTCGTCGCGGCGCCCTTCGGCGAGCCGACGCTGCTCGTCGTCCCCGCCATCGCGCTCTGCCTCGGCGCGCCCTGCAAGCTCGTCGCCGTGATCGTCAACGACGACTTCCCGCTCGCGTTCGTCGGGGAGGCGCTGGGCAAGGCCTTCGACGCGTTCAACGAGGCGCCGCTCTACGTCGCGCTGCAGCTCGCGTCGCCGAAGCGCCACCGGCCGACGGTCGTCGGGCTCTACCTGTTCCTCTACTGGGTCGGCGCCGCGTCGCTCGCGGAGATCGTCAACACGTGCCTCGGCCTGAACATGTACCAGGTGCTCTTCGTCGCGTGCTCGGCGCAGTTCGCGGGCGGCGTCTGCTACGGCCTCGTCGGGTGCCTGGAGTACCCCGACGCGCGCGTCCGCGCCGACGACGCGACGCACGCCGAGGGGGAGGACGTGGAGGAGGACGAGCCGGCGTAAGGTTTTCTTTCACGAGTGCCTCGGTTCGGGATCCTAGAAAGCGCGTCGTGAACAACAACACCGAAGCGCAGCTCCCGACGAAGACGAGTCGGAAGGACGTTTTTTATAACAGGGTGGTGCCCGGGAGCCTCGAGCGAACCGCCCCCGGGCGCGCCGTTTTTTTCGTGCTCAGAAGTCGGAGCTCGAGATCCAAACGCCGAGCGCGATGGTGAAGAGGAAGCCGACGCCGGACCAGAAGAGGATCGGGCCGTCGCCGCCGTCGAGCGTGACGCCGACGGTGTCGCCGATCATCTTCGCGTAGCGCCGCCGCGGGCCCGAGCACTGCGGGCATTTGAAGCCGAAGGTCTGCTCCTCGAAGTAGCGGCCGCCGAAGAGCTTCTTGTCGTAGACGTAGCCGCAGTCCGCGCAGACCCAGTCGCCGGCCCAGTACAGCTCCGCCTTCTCCGCCGCCGACAGCTTCTTCTGCGCGACGGGCGCCTCCTTCTGCCGGCCAAAGGCCTGGCGGCGCACGAGCACGCCGCGCTCCGTGCCCATGGCCTCGCGCCGCGCCTCCTTCCACGTTCGCGCCGTTCTGAAGGCCGTGCGCGTCGTGGGCGGGGCGAAGGCCTGGACGGCGGCGACGGCGCAGAGCGCGAGGGCGGCGCGCATCATTTTAATGAGTGGTGACGGGACTAACGGTGCGGCGACGGTGTGGCGTCGCTGGGCGTCGGTGTTGGCGTGTCGGGCGCGGCAAAGTTGTTGATGACGGCGTCCGTGGAGCTCTCGATCGGTGCCAGCACACACGATCGAGGCCACGCCGGGGGTCGGCGCCGGGCGCCAACATTGGCTCCGGCTGCCCCCCCAATTAAATTATTATTTACCCAATCGATGGACTAAGCTTTCGGCGCCAGAAGAGATGGACCAGCACGTCCTGCCGAAGATCGACGACGACGACGAGGCGCCGCCGTCGCGCATCGTCGACGACCTCGACGAGGAGGACTACGAGGACCCGCCGGCGTCGCCGCTCTTCACGATGACCTGCGGGCTGCTCCCGGCGTCCATGTGCGGCGGCTGCATGCCCGAGGACCTCGCGGAGCAGCAATCGGCCAACGCGCCCGTGGATCTGCCGGTGGCGCGCCGGGGGTCGACGACGCTCTCGCGGTCGCGGGGGCGGGTCGCGCGCGCGCTCGTCGTGGGGAGCAGCACGCGGAAGTCCGCCGTCGTCGCCGCGCTGCGCCTCGGCGCGGCGTCGGCCGCGCGGGGCGCGCGGTCGATCTCGCGGGCGACGTCGGTGAAGACGGACATCACGACGACGTCGGCGCGGACGCGGAGCGGTGCGGCCGCGCCGGTGGTCATCGTCAACTCCGTGCCCGCGCGCGACCTCGACTCGCCGCGCGCGACGTCCGAGTTCCACGCGTACCTCGAGCGCGCGTCCTGCGCCATCGTCGCCGTCGACTACGACCTGAACCCGCGCTGGTCCGACGACGCCGCGGAGTGGGTCGCGCTCGTCAAGGACGCGCGCGACATCCCGGTCGCGCTGCTGGTCTCGACGGACGACCACGTCGACGACGAGGACCCGCGCGTCGAGCAGCGCGTCGACGAGGCCTACGTCGCCGAGGACGCCGACGCGTTCTGCGCGCGCGCGGAGGTCGTCGGCTGGTACCGCCACCACCCGTCGGACCCGGAGCGCGACGAGACGCGCGCGTGCATGGCCGCGGTCCTCGGCCGCGCCGACGGCGACCGGGTCCGGACGACCGCGGCGGCGGCGACGGGCCCGGCGCTGTGCGCCGGCGAGAGCTGGCTCTAAGCGTCCGTTAGGCCACCGGGCAGGACCGGTCCGCGAGGAACGTGCCGCAGAGCAGGACGCCCTGGCTCCGCGCGGCGAGGATCGCGAGGTTGGCGACGAGGATGGGCAGGAGCGGCGTGCCGACGAGGATGTCGAGCGGGTCGCCCGGCGCGACGACCGCCGCGCGCAGGTCCTCGTCCGAGAGCGGCGCGAGCGCGGGAAAGTCCGCGCGGACCCGGGCCCAGTCGCCGAAGTCGTAGGTCGAGCCCATGGCCGCGCGCACCTCGCTCATGGCCTGCTTCGCCTCGCCCTCGAGCTTCTCGAGCTTCTGCGCGCTCAGCGGCGACGGAGGCCTCGGTCGGCGAGCGGGCGCGAAGGCCGCGGCGCTGGCTACGAAAAGCAGCAAAAAACGCATCGTCTTTGCAAGCTGTGGGCGGCGCGGCTGAGAGGCGGCGGTGCTGCTACGGGAGCGCGATCGGTTGTGGCTAGCGGCGCGGATGTGGAGGCGACGCTCTGCGAGAGCGCGAGCTGCACGAGGCTGGGGATCGCGGCGCGGAAGTGGAGGCGACGCTCTGCGAGAGCGCGAGCTGCACGAGGCTGGGGATCGCGGCGCGGATGTGGAGGCGACGCTCTGCGAGAGCGCGAGCTGCACGAGGCTGTGAATCCTCGAGGAGTTTGTTGCCCTCAATGTTGCATCAGTGCGCTCAAAGCTGCCCCGCGAGCTCGAGCTCTCGCAAGCATCGGAGAGCCGTGTCCTTCAGACGCATTCTTCGGGAGGGGGACATTTATTTTGCGTCAAGACAAGAGCGCCAAAAAAAAACACGCAGCAATGCCCGACGCCGCCCCCGTCGAGACGGGCCGCGTCGCTGCCCTCGTGCGGTCCTGGGAGTCGCGCAGCCCGGCCTCGACGGCGAAAAAGGCCTTCTTCTTCCCGCGGCGGCGCGGCGCGCCGGCGCGCTCCCGGCGGCGGCGGCCGAACTTCCCGCCCGAGCTCTTCGCGCTGCTCGTCCGGTTCCTGCCCCTGGAGCAGCGGCCCGTCGTGCACCGCGCCGCGCTCGCGTCGTACGTGGCGAAGAAGAACAACCGGCTGAACGCGACGCCCCTCCTCGTCGACATCTGGTGGCACGGCGGCACGTGCCTCGGGCGCTACTGCGTCTGCCGCGCCGTGAGCACCCGGGAGCGGCTCGACGCGTACCGCGAGGACAACCCCGGCCGCTACGCGTGCGAGCCCGCGGCGTAAATTTAGAAGGGCGAGCTCGGCGAGATGGACGCGCGGACGGACTCGGCGAAGGTGCCCGGCGAGGGCCGCGGGCCCTTCTGGCTCAGGCGCGCGGGCGAGAGGAAGTCGCCCGCGACCTTGGCCGGCGAGCCCCGCCCGAGGTTGTCCGCGGGCCCGTCGAGGTGGTCCACGACGGCCGTGACGCAGTCCGCCGTCTCGTCGACGGTGATGTCGTCGGAGGCCACGTACCACCCGACGAAGGGCAGCTCGCTCGCGGCGCCGAGGGCCGCGGCCTGCGCCTCGACGGTCCGCCGCGCGTCCGGCACGCTCGTCGCGCCGGCGGCGGGCGGGAAGTTGACGAGGTCCACGAGCAGGGCCACGGGCACGCGCGCGCTGTCCGCGAGCCGCTCGACCCAGCGCTTCGCGTCCCGGGGCCACCGCTCGTCGCCCGCGTCGACGACGATGAGCGCGCAGCTCGCGCGCTGCAGGTAGGCCTCGAAGTCCGAGTTGCAGCGGGGCCGGTCGAGGTCCCGCGACGGCACGTCGTTGAAGATGAGCATGGACTTGTTGCCGCCGAGGGACGCGCGCTTCACGGGCGCGAAGCGGCTCCCGACGGACGTCGCGCGACTCGCGCGCGACGCGTGCGACCCGCCCGCGCGGAGCGCGTCGATGACGCGCTGCTTCTCGGACGACGAGCCGACGACGAGGATGCGCAGGGCGCCCCGGGACCGGCCCGGCGGCGCCGCCTTCGCCGGCGACGGCGGCGGCGAGTCCACGGCCACGAGGGGCGACGCCGTGCACCAGCTCGAATTGAGGATGGGGCCCCCGAAGCAGAAGCAGGCGTTCTGCGCCTCGTCGTCGTCCTGGTCGTCCTCGCCGAAGCTCGACAGCGACCCCTCGTGCGAGTCCGCGTGGGGTCGGGCGAGGTGGGCGGCCATTTGGCAGTTCGAGTGGGGTGCGGCGGGCCCGCTCGGGTGGGGGCCGGCAGTTCGAGTGGGCAAGATGAGTGGGCAGCCTTTCAAGAGCCCAGCCGAAGCTGCGCTGCTGAAGTCGTACTTTCCTGAACGTTGGCCCTGGGTCCTCCAAACGTCGACGACGCCGCACCGCCCTCGCGCGCCTGCAGCGCGCAGATTCGCGGGGGTCGACGCGGCCGCCTCGTCGACGCGTCGCGCCGTCGACGCCAGCGTCGCATCGCGCCGCGCCGCGAACGCATCGCCGTCGGGACCGTCGCGCGCCGCGCCGCAAACGCACGCAGAAGTCATGTCCGCCGTCGCCATGCTCCAGACGCACCTCACGAAGGTCAAATTGGAGCACGCGGAGAAAGAGGCCGCGCTCGTGCTCCGCCTGCGCAAGGCCGAGGCCGAGAGCGCGTCGCTCCGCGGCGAGCTCGAGGCGGCGGCCGACGAGCTCCAGCTCTGCTGGGCGCACGTGGACCAGCTGAAGCTGGAGAACTCGACGAAGTGGCACGTCGAGGAGCGCGACGACTGGCGCGCGCTCGTGACGTCCGTCCAGGCCGACCGCACGCGGCTCCAGCGGGCGAACGCGGCGCTCCGCGAGGAGGTGCGGCGCGCGGGCGGCGTCGTGCCCGGCGACCTCGACGACGCGTCCGACGGCGACGACCGGCCGCCGCCGCCGCCGCCGCCGTCGTCGCCGCCGCCGCCGGGCCTGGGCGCGGGCGCGTCGCGGCCGTCCTTCGCCGTCACGGCGACGCCGCGGCGGCGGAAGATCAGCCTGCCGAAGCCCCGCCGATGGGCTTCGCCTGGGTCCGCTTCCGCCGTCGGCCTCTTCGCCTGGGTCCGCTTCGGCCGGAAGCGGCGGCGGTCCTACTCCGCGAACCCCATCCTCGCCGTGTAGTAACCGCTCGCCCCTGGAAAGAACCGACTAGCCGCGCACGTCTTAGCGCACGTCGCCGGGGAGCTCGAGGAGCGCGAGGCATACGCCGAGGGCGCCCGCGCCGGCGCCGAGGCCGAGCTGGGCCTCGTAGGCGCAGCGCGACGACGGCAACAGCGCGAAGCCGCCGCAGTAGCCCGCGGACTGGACGAACTTGTAGAAGGCGACGCTCCGCGCGAGGTCCGCCTCGGCGCCGTAGAGCGCGCCGAGCGCCCAGTAGCAGTAGGTCTGGATCGTCGCGTCCGCGAAGCCCCAGAGCGCCGCGACGGCCGTCGTCGCGAGCCAGCACGCCGCGGACGCGTCGAAGCCCACGGCGACGGGGTCGTCGTCGGCCCGCTCCGCCGCGAGGGCCTCGAGCCAGGCGGCGACGCCGTAGGCCCCGGCCGCGGCCGCGGCGAAGATCGCCAACACCCGTTTCGCGTTCGCGCGCGGCGACCGCGAAACGTCGTCGAGGAGCCGCCCCGCGAGCACGGCGCCGACCATCTCCATGGAATAGAAACAAGCCAGCTCGAGGCCCGCGACGCGCTCCCGGAAGAAGCGGTCCACGAAGCCGTCCAATTGGTAGGGCGCGGCGAAGCCCGTGTACCAGAAGAGCGGCGCGAGCGTGAGCGCGCGGCGCGTCGTGAAGAGCGCGAGCGTCGCCCGCGCCTCCACGAGCGCCGCGGCGCAGAAGGCGGGCTTCGGGACATGGTCCGCCGCCGCGTCGTCCTTGTCGCCCAGCAGCGGCTCCTCGCCCTTCGGCGGCGGCGCGAGGAGCGTCGCCGCGGACGCGCCGAGGACGATGAAGAGCGTGAAGAGCGCGTAGAGCGGCGCGTCGCCGCCGCTCGAGCTCGTGGAGAAGTAGGCGAAGGTCACGAGGCCGCCGGCGACCGCGGACGCGTTGAAGAGGCACCAGAAGACGGAGAAGAGGCGGCCGGCGTCCGCGCGGTCGTCCGCGGCGGCGATGGCGAGGTAGATCTGGCCCTGGGCCGTCCAGAGGAGCGCCGCCGCGACGCCGTTGAGCGCGCCGGCGGCGACGACGACGCCCGACGCCCAGGCCGCGTCGCCCGACGCCGCGTACGCGAACGCCGCGACCGACAGGGACGCGTAGCCCGCGGCGCCGGCGACGAGCGACGGCTTGGCGCCGTAGAAGTTGACGACGCAGGGCGCGAAGAAGCAGCCCACGGTGAAGGCCGCGTAGAGCGCCACGAGCGTGTCCGAGGCCAGCGTCGCGCCGAAGAGGTCCGACGCGAAGCCCTGCTCCATGTAGTAGGACGCGAAGATGAGGAAAAAGACGAGGCCGAGGACTATCATCTGGCCCAGCGGCGACGCCATCTCCGGCAGGGCGTCCATCGCGACGGCTAGGCCGCGTCGGGGCAGCCCATCATCATCATCGTCATTCTAATCAGGCCGGTGCTGATGTGACCGCTGAGCTGAAGCTGAAGGATTTCCAGCACTGAAAAAAACGCGATCGCAGCAGCTGCCCGTCGTCGACGGCAGTGCGCGCCTGGTTCAGTTGCGGAAGTGCTGGAAGACACGCATCGCCGCACTCATTGCTGCCACGAGTCCGCCGCGCGCCGTCGCCGGCCATGGCGGCGCAGCGCATCCGCGACGCGTCCGCCGCTGCGCAGCAGCCCCCGCTCATGTCCGTGTCGAGGCCCGGAGGGCTGCACGGCCACCTGCGCGTGCGCGCCGACGAGGAGGTGCTCAAGGACTTCCCCAACTGGCGCATCGAGCTCACGCTGACCGTCGACAAAAAAGTCGAGGGCACGGTCCTCCGCGAGGACTTTGGGCGGTCCACGGGTTTCGTCGCGGTGAAGAACTACGTCCTGCAGGGCGACGCGCCGCCGCTGCACGTGAGCGCGGGCAACGACAACGACGGCACGGAGGAGTTCGACATCGACGTCAAACCCGTGCTCCACGGCAAGGAGCAGGTCGTCGTCGCGCAGATGCCGTCGTCGGGCCTGACGATCTGGGTCGAGTTCTTCGGCACCGACGAGATGCTAGTCGTCTAGCCTAGATCGCGGCGAGGGCCGCCGCGGCGTCCGGCGTCGGCGCGTGGGCCGCGAGCGCGGCCGCGACGGCCCGGGCGACGCCGCGGCACCGCGCGCGCGCGACGCGGCCGTCGTCCGCGAGGACCGCGCGGAGGCCGCGCGCGGCCGTCGCGTGGGCGGCGCCGTCCCCCCGCAGGACGTCCTGGAGGAAGCCGTAGAACACGCCGAAGGCGGGCACGTGGTGCGCCGAGTCCGCGTGCGCCGCGGACCGCGGCGCGTGGAGGAGCCGCGGCACGGAGCCGCACCGGCCGCAGTCGAAGGCGTCGTGGGCGCAGTGGTCCGTGCGATAATTGAATTCGCAGGGCAGCCGCGCGACGTCCAGCGACGCGTTGCCCGCGGCGACGTTGAAGACGGACTGGTCGCCGAGGGAGAGCGCGCGCTCGCCGCCCGACCGGTCGAGGTCCAGGAGCGCCTCGACGAGGCGCGCCTCGTAGCCGACGGCCCGCGCGCGCGTGAAATTCAGCGCGACGACGCCCGTGTTCGCGCCGTCGTCGGCGAAGGCCCGCGGCGTCTCGCGTTCCTCGTGGTCGTAGAAGTGGTCCGTCGACGAGCAGCCCGCCTCGAGGTCGCCGTGCTCCGCGGCGGCGGCCGCGACGGCGCCGGACGCGGCGAGCGCGCCGACGGCGTCGACCCAGACGCGCTGCGGGTCGTCGAGGAAGAGCACGTCCGTGTCGACGTAGACCGCGGCGCCCAAGCCGGCCGTGTCGTTCTTCGCGAGGAGCGACGGCAGAAAGAGCTTCACGACGGCGCAGGGCTTGAAGAGGGCGACGAACCTCTCGGGCGCGGGGAATTTGCGCGTCCACTCGTAGAAGTCGAGCGTGACCTACCAAGCATGACGGTGACGATTTTTCATCGTTTTCCCGGTCCAAATCTCTCGAAAATCGTCACGGCCACAGGACGCTGAGCGTGACGACGAGATGGTTGTAGCTGCCGAACCGTTTTTGGGCGAGGTCGACGACGGCCGGCACGCCCGCGGCGAAGTGCTCCGCGGCGGCCTGGTTGCAGAGCACGTGGAAGCGGAGCTTGCAGATTTGGGGCGGCCCCGGCGGCGCCGCGAGCACGGCGGAGGCGATGACGGCGAGCGCCTCGCGCGCGCGGCGGCCGTCGCCGGGCGCCGCGCACGCGACGAGCGCGTAGTCGCAGTAGCCGGCGTCGTTGCCCGCGGCGGCGAAGACCGCGTCCGCGTCCGCCGCGGGGGGTGTCGAGATGTTCCGCCGCGTGTCGCGCCGCGGCGGCGCTGCGACGTCCGGCACGTCTAGTCGTCGAAAGCCGCCGAAGCCGACCCAGTTCGGGCCGACGGATCGCTCGCACGCGCCGAGCGCCATGACGGGGTCGCCGGCCGCGTCGCTCGCGGCGAAGTCGACGCATTTGAAGTGGCGGATCGTCGGCTGTTCGGGCGGCTTGGACCGGGAGTCGGAGAGGTAGAAGCGGCCGCCCGGCGACTGGTGCGGCCAGGGGACCGGCCCGTCGAAGACGCCGGGCACGACGAGCCGCGAGCGCTGGCGGTGCCGCAGGAACGTCGCCATGGCGGCGTAGTCCGTTTCATTGAGCGACCGCAGCTTCCAGAGGTCGGCGTAGAAGACGTCGCAGGTGCCGCGGAGCGCGTCGAGGCTCGGCGCCGCGAGCGCGGCCTCCGCGTTGAGCGTCACCGCCTTGAGGAAGCGGTGCGGGAGCAGGTGCGCGAGGCGCTCGAGCACGAGCAGCTCCTCGCGCGTCGACGACTCGCCGGGCACGGCGAGGATGACGATCTCCAGGTGGGGCCGCGTCGCCGCGAGCCAGTAGGACGCGGGCGACAGGACGCGCGCCCCGAGGTGGCAGAGCCGCCGCGGGTTGCCCAGGACCGCGTCGAGCTCGTAGAGGCGCTTGACGAGGGCCTCGTTTGGTTGCGGCGGCCGCGGGCGGGCGTGGGGCTTGGGCGCGGCGAGGAGGTCGCCCGCGCAGGACGCGAGCGCCGTACTCCTCGAGAACGCGCCGCTCCGGCCGCGCGCGACCGCGTGGAGGACGCAGGCGACCTCGCCCGGCGCGCCCAGGCCGCTGAGGACGCCGCGGCAGGGCGCGTGCGTCGACACGTTCTGCGACACGCACAACGCGTCCCAGCGCTGGCACGCGGCGACGTGGCGCGCCGCCACGGTCGCCGCGGTCTCGCCCGACGACGCGGCTCGAAAGGGCGGCGACGCGACGAAGCGCTGGAGCGCGGCCTCGGCCGTGAAGTCGCGCCAGAGGGGGTCGTCGGCCAGGATCTCGACGGCGTCGCCGCGCGCGTTCGCGAGGCAGGGCACGAGCGCCGCGGCGACGGCGCGATGCGGCCGCCGCTCGCCGACGACGTAGCGCTCGCCGAAGGCGTTGGCGACGCGGCCGGCCTGCCAGGCCATGGCCGTGGAGCCGTAGCGGCCCGACGGGCAGACGACGGCCGCGGCGACGTCGGCCGGCGGCGCGCCGGCCGGCGGCGGCGCGGCGCAGTCGCGCGCCTCCGCGGCGGCCCGGAAACCGTCGCCGAAGCCGTCGCCGAGGAGCCAGAAGGCGTCGAAGTGGGCGACGCGCGCCGCGACGGCGCGCCGCTGGTCCGCCGTCGCGCCGCCGCCGCCCGTCGCGACGAAGCGCCGCCGCTCGCGCGCGTCGTGGCCCCAGAACGGGTCCGGCCGCCGCGCAAAGGCCTCGACGCTCGCGCACTCAAAGGGCACGCGCGTCGCCGGGGCGTCGCGGCGCCAGGCCGCCTCGAGCGCCGCGCACTTGAGCGCCGCGGCCACGGGCGCGTCGACGAAAAAGTAGTCGCGCGTCTCGCGCGCGGTCGAGAACGCGAGCTGGCCGCTGCCGCCGCCGAGCTCGACGACGCGCTCGCCGCTCGTGGCGGCGCCGAGGGCCGCGGACGCGCCGCGAAACGCCGCGAGGCGCGTCGCCGCGAGCAGCGCGTCCACCGTCGTCGTCGCGTTCGGGCAGACGAAGGGCCCGCCGATCGCGGAGTCGTCCGCGGCCGCGGCCGCGGGCAGCGCGCCCTCGAGCGCGGCGCCGAGGTCGCACTGGGCGTCGACGCGCCGGAAGGGCGACTCGTCGACGCCGCGGAAGACGGCGACGGGCGCCGCCTCGCGGGCGAGCCGTCGCGAATACGCGTCGTCGGACGGCGCCGCGAGGAGCGCCCGCAACTTGGCCTCGTGGAGCGACTCCGTCGCGGGCTTCGGCCCGTCGGCGCCGTCCCGGAGGTGGTGGCTCGGCGCGAAGACGGCGACAACGGCGGGCTGGGACGTGGACCGGCCGTTGCCGCGGCGCCGGTGCCAGAGCGCCGGCTTGAGCGCGAGGACGTCGCCGACGCGCGCGTCCGCGGCGACGGTCGCGCCCGGCGGCGGCGCCCCCGCCGTCGCCGACGCGTCGGTCCGTGGGAAGCGCGGCGCGGCGCCGTGCGCTCGGGCGTGGGACCCGGGCCGGAGGTCCCACGCGGCGCCGTCGGCGAGCGGCGCGACGACGTACTCGACGGCCAGATCCGCCGCGAAGTCGTAGCCCCAGGGCTGCGTCGCGTTGCCGGGCGCGTCGACGTAGACGGCGACGAGCGACACGGCGTCGCCCGCGCCGCGGTGCGGAAGCAGCGTCGCCGCGAGCGCGGACAGGCCCGCGTCCGCGAGAGCCTCGTCGAGCTCGCCCATGCCGTAGGCGCAGGGCCGCGGCGCGGGCCAGACGCTCGGCCACAGCGAACAGACCACGGCGTCGCGCGACGTCGACTCGCGGGCGAAGCGCAGGGCCGACAGCGCGTCGCCGTCGAGCGCGCCGCGCCAGATTTGGGCGCCGTCGGTTTCGTAGTCCAGCGCGTCCGCGTCGCCGTCGAGCGTCGCGCTCGCCTCGACCATCGCCGCGGCGCAGGCGTCGAGGACGCGTGTGACGACGGTCACATCAACGACGCCCTCGGCGACGGCGGCGTCCGCGTCCGCGGGCGGCGGCGCCGCGCCGTCCGGGCCGACGGCGAACGTCTCCGCGACGCCGTCGCGCCGCGTCCGCGCGAGGACGCCGCCGCCGTCGTTCGCGAAGAGGGCGACCTCGCTGCGCGTCGGGAGCAGGTAGGACGCGGAGAAGACGACGGGCGTCGTCGCGTTGGCCTCGTCGACGTCGAACGCGCCGGAGACGTCGAGAGGCCGGCCGTCGGGTCCCCGCGCGTGGCAGGCGCACGTGACGCGCCGCACGGCGCCGCGCGCGGCGACGAGCGCCGACGCGACGGCCTCGCGGCCGAGGTCGGCGAGGACGTCGGTGGCCGCGTCCGACGGCGCGTGCGCTTTCGCTTCGATCTTGGCCGGGCGCTCGCCGGGATGCGTCCGCCGGAACTCGGCCAGCGCCAGGCTGCGCAGCACCGCGTGCGACGACGGCGGTTCAGTGGACGCGGTTGCAAACCACAGCGCTGCAGCGAGCAACGCGTGTGGGCTGCGCATGGTCGCGAGATGCGCTAGCCCATCAGCGGCAGCCCCTCCGAGAGGAAAGATCAGGGAAGTTGAGCGGCAAGAAAAAGCGGGCAGCTTCGATGGCAAAGCATTTCTTGCTCCTAGCGCTCATAACAGCAGCGCGCATCTGTCCATCGAACTCCTGCACCTCCCACGCGGACTGCGATGGCTTGAATGACATCAATGGCTACTGCCGCGAGTACAGCTCGTCCAACTTCTGCCGCCACTGTGGCGGCTGCCGCTACGACGGTGCGCCCTGGCCGGCCGACGCTTTGGGCGGATGTCCGTCCAAGTGCGACGCGCTCCCGCCGCTCTACGCGAACGGCACGGTCGGCTTCTTCAACGCGGCGCCCTACGCCGTCGACGTTTCCGTCGGTTTGTCGTACGAGGCGTCGTGCGATCTGACCGACGAGGCGACGACTTTAATTATCGCCGGGGCTGCGCCGTTGTCGTGGTCTTTCAATCGCAGCGCCGCGTGGCGCGCCGACGACCGCTACGGCGACACGAACTACTACTGCGCGCGCGGCGAAGGCAACGCGACGACGTACGCCTGGCACCCGGAGCTCGTCTTCCTCGTGGCGAGCGCGCCGGACGGCGACCTCGTGCTCCGGCGAGTCCTTCGGGGACGTCCGCGCGGACAAGATGGATCTCGCCGTCGCCAACGCGCTCGACCTCGGCGACGACGACTGGTTGTACGTAGAGTTCGATGTCGGTGGCCTCCACGGCATCGGCGCGGGCACCGTCGGCGACGCCACCGTCGAAACGACGCCGGAGACCGGGTACGCGGCGGCCGACGGCGAGCAGTTTACGATCGAGGCGGCGGCGGAATGTACGTCCGTCTGCGACCCCGTGTGCGACGCCTACGACTGCGACGTCCGGGCGACGGTCGCGGCGACGGCGGCCTACGGCGCGGTGCTCGCGTGTGCCGTGTACGGCGACTGGGTGCTGAGCTGCGCGTCGTTGTCCGGCCCGGCGCAGTCCGTCGAGGGCGGCGGCGGCGACGACGACACATCCGGCGGCTACGACACATCCGGCGACACGTCCGGCGGCGACGACACGTCCGGCGCCGCGTCCGCGGCGCCATCCCTCCTGCTCTTTGGATGGGTTCTAGCATACAGTTAAACGAAGGCGCCCTTCTACTTGGCGAGGGCCTCGATGAAGGCGAGGTCGCCGCGCGGGTGCGACGCGCCCTTGGCGCGGCCGGACGGGTGCGCGACGGACGCGTTGAAGCGGATGTCATGGTCGTAGATGGCCGGGTCGATCCACGTCGGCGGCGGCACGCCGAGCGCCGCGGCGACGTTCTCCGCCATGACGAGGGACCCCTCGGCGAAGCACTCCACCGTGCCGTAGGCCTCGTTCGCGAGGAAGATGTCCTCGGTCGGCCCGAAGGGGCGCATGGCCGTGGACGGGATCTTCTCCGGCGCGACGCCCGCGCCGTCCTTGGCGAGGGCCTTGGGCATGTGGCAGGCCGCTCCAAATCCCGCGGCCGTCTGGTCCCAGATCGAGAGCACGCCCATGTTCGGCGACAGGCCCCGGACCTTTTCGAGCGCGGCCTCGTCCATCATGGGCGCGTGGTACGCCACGAGCGCCTCGTGGACCTGGCGCAGGAGCTTGTCGTCGTGCGGGTTGGCGGCGTCGAGGTGGGCCACGGAGTCGCCGTTCTCTGCGAAGTGGAACTGCTGGTAGAGGCGCACGGCCTGGACGTCGCCCATGTACGCGGCCTGGATGAAGCCGCGGCAGCGGGCGCCGTCGGCGTCGCAGCGCACGTCGCCGTCGTGGTAGGAGCCCTGGAGCACGAAGGGCAGCTGGCGCGCCGCGAGGCAGTCGTCCTGGGCCATGGGAGACGGGTCGTCCTTCCAGCTCCACGCGTCCGAGTTGTTGAACGGGCCGCTCGTGAGGCCCAGGATGTTGCGCCACCAGGCGTCGTCGTAGTGGACGTAGAGCTTCAGCAAGGGAAAGGCGAGCATGGTGTGGACGACGTCGGGCACGTCCGCGGCGGTCTCGGCGATGGCGCTCTTCGCCAAAACCCGGAGGAGCGGCGTCTGCGGCAGGTTTAGAGCGACCTGCTTCGCGAGCGCCGTCGACCCGTCGGCGAAGTTGAGAGCGTAGCCGCCGTCGACCTTGGCCAGCGACGTCACCTCGTGGCCGAAGTAGACCTCGAAGCGGCCGGAGCTCTCTGCGCGCGCGAGCAGGTCCTCGACGAACGTTAAAAAACCGGCGTCGGCGCCGTCCGCGTCCGTGATCTTCGCGAGCTCGTGGTCCCAGGCCGTCGCGTCGGGGTTGTAGCGCGTCCAGTTTAACTCCAAATAATCCTCGACGATGCCGCGCGTCAGCGGCGTCGACAGGCACCAGGACCAGCCCTCGATGTCCGCGCACGTCCGGTTGAGCACGAAGCGGTACGCGCCGGCCTCGACGACGAGGTCCTTGGCGGGGCCCTGGCCGCGGAGGCTGTGGATGCGCCCGCCGACGCGCGTCCCGCGCTCGAACATGCAGACCTTGGGTGTTGTTGGGCTGTCGAGCGCGAGGCGGGCGCTGAGGTAGGTGCCGCCGGGGCCGCCGCCGACGACGGCGACGTCGCAGGTCACGGGGTGGTGGTGGTGGTGCTTCTCGAGCGCGGCGGCGCTCGCGACGAGGACGAGGAGGTTTTTGAGCACCATGTCGCGACGAGAAGGCAGCGGTGGACGCCGACGAAGAGCGCGAGCGGCGCGGCGACGAGAAGGCAGCAGCGGTGGACGCCGAAGAGCGCGAGCGGCGCGGAAGACGAGCTGACGCTGATGCGCTCGCTGAATTCAACTTTGCCACAGTGGCCCACAGCCGCGCCACCATTGTCACAGTTGGAGGTTCCAGCGTGTCCGCGTGTCTGGACAGCTCCCAGTTAGAAAATATGGACCTCTCGCCCTGGCTCTGCTCTGTCATAGCACCCTACCTCCCCATGGGCGCGCTCGCACGACTCACGCTCGTCTCGAAGCTCGACGACGAAACGGCTCTGCTCAAACACGCCGCCTGGCGGCTCTGGCGCGTCGACGCGGACTCGCGCGCCTACGCGTCGCTCGGCGCGCGCTGCCGCGACGCGAACGCGCGCGAGGTGTCGATCAAGTTCCGCGCGACGGACCGCGGCACCGCGACGGTGTCGCTCGACGTCTGCCGCGCGGCGCACGCGACGCCGACGGCCTGGCGGAAGCTGCTCAAGTGCCGGCTCCGGTCGCTGGGCGTGCGCGTCCTCCGGGGCGAGGGCGACGGCCGGCTGCACGTCCACGACGAGCGCGCGCGGCCGCTGTCGCGCGACCGCCTCGAGGCCGCGCGGCGCGCGGCGGCCGCGGCGGCCGCGGAGCTCCTGCGGCTCAAGACGTGCCGGGCCTGCTACGGCCGCCGCGGCGCGCTCATGCCCACGGCCGACGACGAGCCCGCGCTCGTGCTCGAGTGCCACGCCTGCGGCCGCACGGCCGTCGTCGCGCGCGACTGCTCGTGCGAGTGGCTCCGCTGGGCGCGGCGATGCGCCTGGGAGAAGCTCAACGTCGTGGCGCAGGACTTTGGTGTGAAATGGTACACGGACTCGTCGCCGACGGCGTCCCGCGCGCGCGCGCGGTCCGCGGGGAGCGAGTCCCGGGGGCTGCGCGCGCTCAGCTCGCGGACGCCCGCGCGGCCCCACTGCGCGTCCGACGGCGAGGACGGCGACGGGTAAGGCGGCGAAACCCCCCCAAAGCTGTGTTAGCACTGGCAGACGGAGAAGGGTATCGGGTCGAAGCCGAGGTCGAAGGCCGGCGAGTCCGGCAGGAGGCAGAAGTCGCCCTCCGCGACGTCGCGGAACATGGGGTCCGCGACTTTGGACCGCGCGTCGTAGCCCGCGGCCGTCCACTGGGCCCAGGTGCCCAGGGGCGTGAGCTCGCTCGAGTTCCAGGCCGCGAGGTCCAGGTCCGGCGAGAAGTAGACGTTGTCGTCGATGGTCGAGTAGTACGGCGCGTACATCTCGCCCTTCAGAAGCCGCGGCGGCATCTCGCCCGAGTTGTTGTAGACCACGAGGACGTTGCGCCAGAACGTGTTCCCCGTCGTGTTGTAGGCCGCGTCGCCGTCGGCCCAGACGCCGCCGCCCGTCGTGTCGTAGCCCGAGAGCGACGCGTTCGCGAAGACGTTGTTCCAGACCGTGTTGTTGTGGCCGTAGTGGACCATGAAGCCGCCGTCCTGCGTGTTGCGGATCACGTTGTGGTGGACGTCGTAGCCCGAGGCCTCGTTGTCCAAATAAATGCCGAAGGTCTCGTCTGGCCGCGCGTTGCCCTTGTCGAAGCCAATCGTGTCGCGGACGCAGTTGTAGCGGATCACGGAGTTCGTCAGCCCCGCGTTGTGCCAGACGCCCGTCGTCGAGATGGCGCCGAGCGCCGCCGTCGTCTCGCCCGTCTCGACGACGCGGTTGTGCTCGACGACGTTCGCGAGCGACGGCCCGCCGACGGTTTCCGGCGCGAAGTGGCGCACGTGGACGCCCCAGCGCGCGATCTTGCTGATGTCGTTGCGCGCGACGCGGATGCGCGACGCGCTGCTCAGCACGACGCCGCCGGCGGAGCCGTGGATCGTGCCGATGTCCGTCATCCGGTTGTCTAAAATCTCCGAGTCCGTCGCCTGCGACGTCGCGTTGCCGACGAAGATGACCGCGCTCTGGCCCAGGCGCTCGAAGACGTTGCCGGCGATGGCCACGCCCGCGCTGCCGTTGCCCACGGCGACGCCGCCGCCGCCGAGCTCGCGGAACGTGCAGTTCCTGACCGCGACGTCCCGGCCGCCGGAGATGCGCACCGCGGCGTCGTCCGGGAAGCCGAGCGCGTCGGGCCGCTGGGAGAAGCCGTTCTGGAAGCCGTGGCGCCAGTAGGAGGCGTCGGCGAAGGTTATCGACTCCAACACGATGGACGTCGCGGGCGTCGCGGGGGAGCCCTCGGCGAAGTCCGCGCCCGAGACCTCGACGACGGCGCCCGCCGTCGGGAGCACGACCTCGACGTCGAAGGTGGCGGAGGCGCGCGGCGGCCAGACGCGCAGCGTGCGCCGCGCCTCGTCCAGGTACCACTCGCCCTCGCTCAGGCCGTCGGGCGTCGCGTAGACGTAGAAGCGGCAGCCCGCCTTGACCTCCGTGTCGTCGGCGTCGCACGCGCCCGCGACGGGGCAGGTCATGTTGAGCACGCGCTGCCTCGAGCTCTGCGTGTAGGAGGCGCCGTCGGCGTTGCGGATGAGGCCCTGGTAGCTGTGCCAGGAGTCGCGCGGAAACATCGTCGCGCGGCCGCCCGCCCACTCGTCGTCCTCCAAGAAGGCGGGCGTCTCCGGCGCGGCCGTGTCCACCGTGAAGACGGCGAAGTCGCCGCCGGAGACGAGGACCTGGTCCACGTAGAGCCAGCCGGACTCGTAGGGCCGGCCCTTGGCCTCGTTCGGCGCGCGCGCGGGGAGCGACGTCCTCGCGTCGAGTCTCGCGACGCGCGGCGCGCCGCCGCCCGCGTCGTCGAGCTTGCAGGCCCAGATGTCGCTCGTACCCTCGCGCTCGAAGCAGGCCGCGGGGATGGACCGCCCGGCGCTGAGCGTCGCGCCTTCGCCGACGAAGCGCGTGTTCGAGTCCTCGGGCCCGAGCGACAGGGGCTCCCCGGGCGCGAGGTAGTGCGTGCCCCGCAGGAGCACGACGGTCGCGCTCGCGCCGGGCGTGCGACTCCGCAGCAGGTCGCGCGCGTAGGTGACGCTTTTGAGCGGCGCGTCCCGGCTCTGGCCCCGCGACGGGCCGTCGGCGCCGTCGGGCGAGACGTAGAGCACGTGTGCGCTCGTCGTTGCTAGAGAGATTTGCGCGAGTGGTCGCGTTCTTCTCACGAGCGACAGCGCGGCGAAGAGGCCCGCGGCCAGGGCCAGGGGCAGCGCGACCAGGCGCCTCATCGACTCATCGTAATCGGATAACTGCAACCACACGGAAGCACCATTAAAAGATTTTGTTGCAGGGCTCTCCGTGCTACTTATGATCGCGAGCTGCTGCCGCTAGCTCATGGTCGACGACACGCCGCTCCTGAGCTGCATGGCGAGCGACGGCGTCTCGCTCTCGCTCGCCTCGACGACCTTCGAGCTCGCGGACGTCCTCGGCGCGAAGGCGGCGCCGCCGTACGTCGAGGTGCGCTGCTGCGGCCGCCCGAAGCCCGGCCTCTTCTCCCGCGGCGGCGGCGCGCGGCGCCTCGCGACGAAGCGCGTCAAGGTCGGCGACGAGTGCGAGGCCGCCGCCGCGGGCGTGAACAAAGCCGTCGCGGCGCGCTACCCCGCGCGGCCGGACAAGGTCCTGGTCATCGTGAATCCCGTCGGCGGCACGGGCGCGGCCGCCAAGGTCTACGAGCGCGACGTCGCGCCCGTGCTCGCCGCGGCGGGCGTGGCCGCCGAGGTGTTGGTGACAAAGTCGCAGGGCGAGGGCTACGAGCGGTGCAAGGCGCTCGGCGCCGCGGCGGCGCCCGGCGTCGCCGGCGTCGTCGTCGTCGGCGGCGACGGCACGATGAGCGAGGTCGTGCGGGGTTTGGTCGACGGCTGTGCGACGACGGAGGACCCGGCGGCGAAGCTCCGGGCCATCCGCGTCGCCCACGCGCCGGGCGGCAGCGGCAACGCGTGCCACGCGTCCGTCGCGCACGCGGGCGGCGACGCGATCGGCTCGGCCGTCGACGTCGCCTTCAACGTCTGCCGCGGCAGCACGCGGGCGCTGGACCTCGCGCGCTACGACCTCGGCGGCGGCAAGCCGCCGTTCTACAGCTTCCTCGCGCTCGAGTGGGGGCTCGTCGCGGACATCGATCTGGGTTCCGAGAACATGCGGTGGCTCGGCCCCCTGCGCTTCACGCTCGCGGCGCTCTACCGCATCGCGTGCCTGCGCGACTACAAGGGCACGCTCGCCTACCTGCCCGCGGCGCCGGAGCTGACGCGCGAGGCGCCGTCGCTCTTCGCGCCGTCGCGGCTCCCGCCGCTCGACGCGCCGCTGCCCGAGGGCTGGGCCAAGGAGGACGACGACGAGACCTTCCACCTCCTCATGGCCTGCAACACGACGCACGTCGACGAGACGACGCCCATCGCGCCCGACGCGCAGCTCGACGACGGCGCGATCTCGCTCGTCTACACCAAGGGCAAGGGCGGCTGCGGCACGAAGCTGGACCTGCTCGACGGCTTCCTCAAGCTCGACAGCGCGGACCACGTCCACAAGCCCTCCTTCTACGTCGTCAAGTGCGCCGCCTTCCGCCTCACGCCCGCCGCGGGCGACACGTCCCGCGCGGGCATCGACGGCGAGGAGGTCCAGAACGGGCCCGTCCAGGCCGAGGCCTTCAAGGCCTGCCTTGCCGTCTTCGCCGCGGAGGCGAGCCCCACGGGGACCGACGCCGCCTGAGTAGAGGCGGCTAAACCTCTATCCTACGCGGGCGGCTCGTCCCAGCGCGACTCGCCCGTCGCCGCGCAGTAGAGGTACGCGTGCCCGCTCTCCGCGACGTACCGCGTCCACGTCGCCTCGGCGGTTGCTGTTGGTGTGGTCTCTGCGGTTGGCGTCGCGGCCGACGCGCTTCTTTCGGCCCACGTGAACTGCTTGTGCCTGAGATTCACGACGGCGGTCCGCCGCGCGCCGCCGTCCGGCTCGAGCAACACCTCGAGGTCGATGTGCTCGTTGTGCTCGCAGTAGTAGGTGCCCGACGACGACAGTTTCCCACCCAACCGAAGCTCGTACTTGCCGTCCTTGCCGCCGAGGAGGACCAAAGACTCTTTGTCGCAACGGTATTCGCCCTTGATCGACCTCGCGCTGATGAAGCCGCCCTTGGCGATGACCGACGCGCCCGGCTCGCGGCCGATGCGGCCCTGCTGTCGCTTCCTCGCTGCGGCCGACATCGTCATGGCTGGGTCCGCAGGATGGGCAGCGCCATGCTCTCAATGTTCAATAAGGCAAAGATGCCTCAATTGAACAGCATGGGCTGCCCATAGCCGACCAATTTGAACACAAAATGGTGTTCCTCGACGCGCTGCGGCGACTTCAGACGAGCGGCGCGCTGCCCACTGATACCGTGATCACCTGCAACGGTGGGAAAAAAGTGCACGCTCACGCGCTGACGCTCGGCGCCATGTCGCCGGTTTTACTCGCGGCGCTGCGGCCGGATCGATTCAAAGAGGGCGCCGACGGCGAGCTGGATCTTAGCTGGGCGGACGCGGAGCACGTGGAGTTCGCGATCGCGTTCGCCTTCGCGAAGGACGCGGACCAAATCACGGGCGAGAACGCGATGGCGCTGCTGCACCTCGCGAACCGCCTCGACTTCGAGGAACTGCGCGCGGCCTGCGAGAAGACGCTCTGCTCCCTGCTCACGAGCGACAACGCCGGCGAGATCCTCGAATGCGCGGAGCAGTGCAACTGCGTCGCCCTCGCCGACGAGGCGCGGGACGTGCGCGACGACCGCGGCTTTGGTCGGACGATCGCCGTGCTCGTGAAGAAGCGGCGCGAGCTGACGCAAACGCGCGACAAACTCTTGGCACGGACGAAGGAATTTCAGCGAGACACGTACATGTTGAAACATCAATTGACTGATCTCGGCGAACGCATCGACTTCGAAACGGAGAAGGCCTTCAGGGAGGCGTCGCAGGCGCGGGCTTCATCCAGCCGCGAGACGGCGGACGACGGCGCGGAGGCCGCGCCAACGTACCCGGACGCCGTGGGGCGCACGTTGGTCGTCGCGCCCTCGCCCCAGCGGAAGAAGCAGAAAGCCGCGGATGGCGCGCTTCGGTACGATACGCTCGGCGATGCGATAGTAGCGGCGCGGTCCGGCGATTGCATCTCGCTGCCGCCCGGCCAGCACGAGTTCGATGCAGCGGACGGTGACCACGGATATATTTTCAAGAAAAGCGTGCAGATCGTCGGAGCCGGTCCAGCGACGGTGCTGGGTGAGGAAGCGTTAATCTTTTTGGCACTCCGAGGCCGCGTGAACGTGCGGCTCGCGAATCTGTCCATCGATGCTAGAGAGGGAGGCGATGAGGGCGCCAGTATCGACGCCGAGCAAGGCTCGGGCGTCTGGCTCGACGCGTGTGAGCTCCGGATGCGCAGTGCGATCCGCGTGCACAAGGACTCAACGGCCGTGCTGACAAATTGCACGTTCCGCGGCTGCGAATCGTCGGCCGTCCAAGTCGATCCGCAGGCGAAATGCGTGGTGGTTTTGGACTGTTGCATCTCGGGCTGCAGCGCGGGTTCCATCCTCTACGATGATTGCGAGCAACTGTGCCCGTTTTACGTGCCGGGCGACGCGGGGGCCATCGAAGTCTCAGCCAAAAGATTCCTCCCAATCAAACGGAACGACGAGCCGCCGCGCCCTCACTACAAGCCTGAAGTCAACGATGTGCCTAGCGTCAAGTTGACAGTGCGACGCACCAGCATCGCTTCCAATTTTGGTCACGCGCTGACCTTCCGGACGGACTACACAAAATTGCGAATGACCAAACATTGGACTGGTGATCTCCGCAAAGAGGCAAGCAGGGCTGAATTTCTCTGGCCCGGCAAGGCCGAAGTCACGCTGCGTGACAACATCTTGACGTCAAATTGCCTCGCCTTTCCGGACGCTGCCAGCCGGCCAACTGGCGCGGACGCGGAGGTGCTCATCCTCAACCGCCGGCCGATCGGGAACGAACGCCCAGACTGGTGGTGTTTTTAGTCGGCTAGCAGTGCAGTAGCCCTCAAACCTTACCCCAACACCCCCCGCCGCCGCGCCGAGAGGCTCGCGAGCGTGTCCGCGTCGACCTGGAGCTGGACGTCGAAGACGTCCATGAACGCGTCGAGGAAGACGGGCGCGACGTCCGCGGGCGTCAGGTCCCGGCCGAGGTGGGCGTTGAGGGCGCCGACGGGCTCGACCCGCGGGTCGAGGCCGCAGGGGACGATGGCGTCGTAGTGCGACAGGTCCGGCGCGAGGTTGAGCGAAATGCCGTGGTACGTGACCCACTTCCGCATCGCGACGCCCACGGCGGAGATCTTGGCGCCCGCGAGCCAGACGCCCGTGTGCTCCGCGGAGCGCGCGGCCTCGGTCGCCCCGAGCGCCGCGCAGGTGCGGACGACCGTCTCCTCGAGCGCGCGGAGGTACCAGTGCGAGTCCTTCCGATGCCGCTTCAGGTCGAGGATCGGGTACGCGACGAGCTGGCCCGGCCCGTGGTACGTGACGTCGCCGCCGCGCTCCGCGCGCACGAGCTCGGGCGCGCCCGGCGCGTCGGCGTCGAAGAGCACGTGCTCCAGCGTCGCGCCGCGGCCGAGCGTGTAGACCGCCTCGTGCTCGACGAGCACGACCGCGTCGCCGCCGCCGGCGATGTTGGCGGCCAGCAGCTCGTGCTGGAGCGCCGCGCCGTCCGCGTAGGACACGGGCGACGCCGTGAGGTCCAGCACGCGCACGCTCGGCCGCGCCGCCGCCGGGTCCCGGTCGAGGGGCTCGTAGAGGCCCTGGGCCTGCGCCGGCACGGATTTTCGCGTCGTTCGCGTCGCGGTCGACAGCGATCGTGGAGCGGTGTCGAGGGAGAGGGCGCGCGCGCCGCGGACCACCAGGGACAGCAGGAAGCCGGCGCGCGAGGCGCTCATCGTCGCGCGGTTCAGTGCAGGTCTTCTGCCACAGGCGATGGGCTGTCGTTTTTGGCTCGGCGCCTTGCTGCTTGCGCGGTCCGCGAGCGCCTTCTCCTTCACGACGCGCGTCGCCACCGCGGCGGATTTCTCGGAGCTCACGAAACTCAAGGCGCAGGGCCGCTTCCTGACGAGGCTGCTCGTCGACGCCCTCGACTCCGACGAGTACTCCGAGGAGGCGCGCGCGTCTACCGCGAAGTCGCTGACGGAGCTGCTCTGCGGGCCGAACGCGCGCGGCGAGGAGACGGCGCTCGTCGCCTGCCGCGAGGACGACGGATCGATCGTCGGCGCGTGCGACGTGAAGGTCCGCGGGCCGGCCGGCACGGAGCTCCCGGCGCGGCTGCACCTGCGCAACCTCATCGTCGCCGAGCCGGCGCGGCGGCGCGGCGTGGGCACGGCGCTCGCCCGCGCGGCCGCGGCGCACGCGCGCGCCGAGGGCGTCGGCTGCGTCTGCCTCGAGGTCGACAGCGACAACGACGCCGCGCGGAACCTCTACGCGGGCCTCGGCTTCGACGGCGAGTCCCTCTTCCGGCCCCTGGCGCTGGTCAAGTACGGCACGGTCGGCTGGAACCGCCACCTCCTGCGCGCGGACGTCGCGGGCCTCGTGGGGGCGACGTAAATTTACCAAAGTTGAAGTGCATTGAAACCCCCAGGCCGTAGGTGAAGCGAGCGGAGAGCTCGATGGGGCTGCCCCGACGGCCGTAGCCACGCCTTCGCGCGACACGACGAACCATGGCGGCCATGCTCGAGGCCGAGATCCTCGCGGCGGAGATCGAGGCCGCGGGCAGCGGCGAGATGATGCCCGCGGAGGCCCTCGTCGTCGTGGAGACGGTCTACCCAAGGCCCTACCTCGGCCGCGCGTCCGCCCGCCCGCGTCCGCGCGGCGACCGCCCACCAAAAAAAAACGGTCACATCATCCTAGGTGGACGCGCGAGGAGCTGCTGCACCAGTCGCAGGTCACGGTGCACGGCCCCTACGCGACCGTCGCCGCGGCCGTCGAGCAGGCGCGCGACGTCCGCGACGGCTGCGGCCGCTTTCCGCCGCGGACGGCGGCGACGGGCCCGCCGCCCTGGGACAGCGGCGCCGAGGCCGGGGACCGCGACGCGGAGACGTCCGTCGAGGTCCTGGACGAGCGGGCCTACGCGGCGCGGCGCGACGGCGACGCGGCGGCGCTGCGGCGCGCGCGCGCGCGAGACGTCTTCGCGAGGCGCGTCGCGGCGGAGATGCGCGGCGCCCAGGTCCGCGCCGCGGGCCGCGTCCACTACAGCGACCCGCCGGAGGCCTACGACATCCGCGCGGACCTCGACGTCGACGCGGCGGCGGCGCGCGAGCTCGAAGAGGCCGCCGTCGAGGCCGCGGCCACGCTCCGCTTCGCCGTCGGCGCGGCGACGCCGCCGGGCGAGGCCGCGGCGGCGCTCGTGGCCCTCGTGGCGCGCTGCGGCGCGCTGGCCGAGCTCCACTACGACGGCCGGTCCGCGCCGCGCGGCGCCGCGGACGCGTGCGTCGCGGCGATCGCCGCGCTCCCGGGCCCGCGGCGCGCGCTCGCGCTCCTGCGCGTCCGCGGGCGCATCGCGCCGGCGACCCTGGGCGCGATCGCTCACTTGGAGGGCCTCGAGCGCCTCGACGTGTCCGACTGCTTCTCCTCGGAGTTCTTCGACCACGAAGCGGACCCGCCCGTCTACCCCTACGACGCGCCCCTGGCGGCGTGCTTCGAGCGCCTGCCGCGCCTGCGCTACGTCGACTTCGGCCACGGCGACGACGACGCCCTCGCGACGTTCTGGGGCTACTGCTTCTCCCAGGACCGCGTGGAGGCGTTGCGAGAACGGTTCCCGGCCGTCGAGTGCAGCATGGCCGAGGCGAAGCACTCGCCCCTGCCGCACCCGTTCCCGGGCGGGTCCCTCGCCCACGAGGAGGCCCTCTTCGACATCGTCGGCCGCCTCGGCGAGGACGGCGACCCGGCGGTCCGCGCGTGCGCGCGGGAGTACCTCTCGGACTTCGACCACGCCGACGACCGCCACGGCGTCGACCTCGCCAGCCTCTCCCTCGACGACCAGCGCGACGTCGAGGTCGACTACAACGACTCCTACGGCGAGAGCGGCGAGTCCGACTCGTCATAACGGGGCGTCGGTGGGCGTCCTGCGGGCCTTACGGCTGCGGAAAGTTGAAGGGAAGGTGACGGCACATAAAATCTGGCGAGGACTGCTCGTGGGGTCGGAGACGCGATGGCGGCTACAACCATCCGCCTCGAGGAGGAGTACGGGCGGGGCCAACCTCAACTGGAGAAGTTCCGCATCGACTGGTCCATGGTGCGCGAGGAGGCGTCGGCGCCGCCGCCGGGCGAGGTCCTCTTCGCGGACAAGACGGCCCCCGTAGACCAGCGGCCCCTGCGCGAGCTGAGCGGCGGCGCGGAGCCCTTCTGCTTCAGCCGCGGCACGGTCGACGTCTCGGGCCTCCGGGACCTGCTCGACGGCGACGAGAACGTCTGGGGCGACGCGTACGCGGCCGCGGAGAACGTGCGGCTCGACCGGCCGAGCCACGACAGCTGGGGCATCCGGAAGCTCGCGTTCGTCTTCTGCGACGACTTCCTGCACCGCGTCTACCGGTTGCCGCTCTGGGACCGGCCGGAGTGGCGCGTCCACCTCGACCCCATCTTCGCGGCGTGCGGCGTGCCCCGCGACCGCGTCGTCCGGTGCCTCCTCGCGTCGATGCCGCCGCGCACGGTCATCCCGCCGCACCACGACAGCGGCTACTGGGTGCCGCGGACGCACCGGTTGCACGTGGCGATCAAGACCTGGGACGACGTCGTCTTCAAGGTCGGCCGCACGAAGAAGACGCTCCGGCGGTTCCGCTACGCCGAGGGCGACGTCGTCGAGCTCAACAACCAGGCGAAGCACTACGTCGCGAACCTCGCGGACCACTACCGGACGCACCTCATCTTCGACTACGTCGACGACGAAGCGGAGCCGGAGCTGCTGCCGCCGCGCATGCCCTGCGTGACTTTGAGGGTCGGCGACGAGCTCACGCAGACGCGGCGGTCGATCGGTCTCGCGTCCGAGCGCGGGACGGGGCCCTTGGCGCCCCACTTCTTGATTATCGGCGCGCAGAAGGCGGGCACGACGTCCATGTACGAGTACCTGAGCCAGCACCCGCTCGTCGCGCGCGGCGTGCGCCGCGAGACGCATTTCCTGGATTGGCGGTGGCGCGACGACCTCGACGGCGACGGCGCCGCGGCGTCGCGCCACTGGCACGAGGCCTTCTTCGACGCCGCGGCGCACGCCGACCACCCGAGCCTCGTCGCGCTCGACTCGACGCCGAGCTACCTGCTCCAGTCGAACCTGGCCATCCCGCGGCTGCGGCGCCTGAGGGCCGCGGCGCCGCCGATGATCGTCATGGTCCGCGATCCGGCGGCGCGCGCCGCGAGCCACTTCGCGATGATCACGGACCCGCGCGCGACGCCCGCGCAGCGCCGGAGCCGGGGCAGCGCGTGGCTCGGCAAGTCCATGCGGGAGGTGCTGCAGGGCGAGCTCGAGCTCCTCGCGCGCCACCGCGTGCTGCGGCGCGCGCCGGGCGCGGCGGGCGCCGTGAGCCTCGCGGAGCCGCTCGCGTTGGACCGCGGCGCGTTCCGCGCGTTCCTGCCGCGCATCCCGAACGGCCACGGCGCGCACAGCCTGCTCTTACGCGGCTGCTACGCGGCCCAGCTGCTCGAGTGGTACGACGCGTTCGGGCGCGACCCGTTCCTCGTCGTCCGCTGCGAGGACATGGCGGCGCCGGACGGCGCGCGGACCGCCGTCGCCGCGGCCATGGCCCACGCGGGCCTGCGCTTCCACCCCATCGACGACGCGGCGCCGAAGAACGCGCGCGACTACGAGGACCAGGACCCGGCGCTCCTCGCGGACTTGCGGGCGTTCTACGCGCCGCTCAACGCGACGTTCTACGACCTCGTCGGCTGGGGGCCCGAGAAACACTGGTAATGCTATCGGCGCGCCTCGAGCTCGGCGACGCGCGCGCGCAGGCGCACGAGCTCGAGGTCCTTCTCGAGCTGGAGGTCGCGCATCTGGCGCTGGATGCTCGCGAACCGCTTCGCGTTGTTGGCGCCCGTGTAGTTCCGTTGCGCGGCCTGGACGAGGAGCGACTGGGCGCGCGTCGCGTGCGTGTGCTTGGGCGTGGCGAGCACGTCCGGGTCCGGTTTGCAGGCGTCGCAGGGGTCGCAGGGGCAGTCCCCGACGAGCTCCTCGCACGCGCCGCCGAGGTCGAGGCCCCAGCGCATCGTCGCGCACTCCTCGACGAGCGTCGCGTGGACGCCCGGCGCGTTCGCCACCGGCGCGAGGATGGGCTTGTCCTGGTGGATCATCACCAATTCCGCCCGGGGCAGCTCCACGCGCGGCACGCCGAGGTAATCGAAGACGCGGTCCCAACTCTCGTTGTACGCGGGGCTGCTTTCGATGAGGTCCTCGTAGTAGACCGTCAGCGCGTCGACGCCGGAGTAGTAGGACCGCGTCGTCGCGCGGTCCGCCAGCGTCTTGTTGACGCGCTGCAATAACAAGCCCCCCTCGGCCAGCGACACTTTGGACGACGCGTTCACGAACTCGCCGACCTTCGGGTGCGGCGTGTTGCCCGGGTCCTTGGACCGGATGCCCACGCGGGAGATGATCTGGCGCACGACGTTGCGCCGCCACATGTACAAGATCTTCGTCTTGCTGTGGCGCTGGAGGTACTCCAAGATCTTGCCGTGGTGTTCCGCGTGGCCCTGCGTCGTCATCCACTTGAACCCGACGAGCGCGCCGCGGTCGCCCTTGGTCCGCGCGCAGAGGTCGTGCATGACACTATTCATCTTCCGCATCAAAGCGCTGAACTTGACGTCGCGCCCGCGCTGCACGTCCGCCTCGCCTAAGATCTCGTTGGCGCACTGCAGGGACGGGTGGCCCTTGAGCTTGCGCACGACGTAGCCCGTGCCGCTGCGCGTCTGCGAGATGAGGATGAAGCGCTTGCAGCGCGTGTTCGAGCTGCGCGGCAGCCCGACGGCGGCGGCGGCCAGCGCTGCCGTCGCGCAGGCGACGAGCAGCCGAGCCATATTTTTTCACGCAGCCCCGATCGCTTTTTAAGTGAGAGGGTCAAGAATCATGTTTACCCTTGCTCTTGCACGATGATGCTGCCCATCACGGCTTCCTGATGGTCCTGATGCGACGCGTCGTTTGCATGGCCGCGCTGGCGGCCGCGCGCCTCGCGCGCGACCCGCGGCGCAGCGCTCGCTGCGTCAACTTCTACGGCCCCTTCGAGCAGCGCCGCCAGCTCCGGCGGCGCGAGCCCGTGCACCAGGCGTCCACGGGCGAGCCCTGCGACGCGTCGGCGCCGCGGTTGGCGCCGCTGCGCAGCGTCGAGGACGTCGTCGCGAACCGGACGCGCGCGACGGAGCCCCCGAAGTTCCTGGGCCGCTACGGCGCTGCGCTGCCCGACGGGTCCCGCTGGGTCGAGATCCCGAAGACGGGCTCCTGGGGCTTCAAGGCCGGCCTGGGCCGCTGGCTCGAGCGCGAGTACCCCTACGCGGTCCGCCGCGTCGCGCGATGCGAGAACAAGTCCTTCGCCGTCGTCCGCGAGCCGCTGCAGCGGCTCGTCTCGGCGTTCGGGACCGTGTCGCACCGGTCCCAACTGCTCGAGGCCGGCGACGCGTCGTCCTTCGGCCGCTTCGTGGACCTGCTGCTCGCGCACGGCGACCGCGCGCACGTCGAGCTCGACCGCGAGTGGTTCCACGCGCTGAGCCAGGTCTACTTCATCAAGCTCTTCCCCCGCGAGATCGACTTCGTCGTCCACCTCGAGCGCGTCGACGAGGAGTGGGCGGCGCTCGCGGCGCGCGTCGCGCTGCCGCCGGCGAACGCCGTGCGGTACAACGCCGTCGAGGGCTTCGCCGACCGCGCCGACCGCGAGCGGGCCGTCCGCGCGTCCCTCGAGGAGGACCCGGCGCTGCCGGCGAAAATCTGGCGGTGGCTCGCGCACGACTACGCGTGCCTCGGGTACCCCGTGCCGCCGGTGCTCAGAGAGGCGGCAAGGTCGTGACACATAAATCGTTATCGCTCGGCCCGGAGCTTGTCGTAGATGATCGCGACCATGACGGCGTCGAGCGCGGCGTAGATCCGCTGCCCGCGGGACAGGGGCCGGAGCTCCCAGCGCGAGCATTGGAGGGCCTTGTCCAGGGGCTTGCCGAGGAACTCCGCCGCGTAGGCCGAGAGCCCCACGAGCCGCGACGCCGGCGCGCGAACCTTCAATAGAGATTGGAGCTCGACGGCGGGGTACTCCGCGGGAAGCCACGCCTCGGAGCCGCGCCGCGGCGTCGCGCGGAGGCGGCTCAGGTCCTGCGCGGCGCCGAAGCCGACGAGGCGGCCGCGGAGCGCGCCGTCGAAGGCGCTCCGCAACGCGTCCGCGCCCGCGGCCGTCGCCGAGAGCGCCGCGACGTCGACGAGGATGGCGACGTCCGTCGTCGCCAGTTGCAGCAGCGCGGCGCCCGGGCCGTCGGCCCATTCCACGTCGAAGCCCACAAACCCCTCGAGCGACGCCACGGCGTCCGTAAACGCGCCGGGGCTCGCGAGGGGCTCGGGCGGTTCGCATGGAAACAGCTCGTCCCACTGCACGTACGCGTCGCGCCGCGCGGCGGCGTCGAGCGCCGCGAGGTCCGCGGAGTCGTCGAAGCCCAAGGGCGTCTCCACGCCGTCGCGGACCGTCCACGCGTCGTTCAGGTCGCGCGCGAGCGCCCGCTCGCCGCCGGCCGCCAGCGCCGCGATGGCGTGCGCGCGGACGTCGCGCCGCGCGTCGTGTTCCGAGTCGCCGCCGCACGCGTCGTCGACGCCGCGGACGACCTTCTCCACCAAAGCGAGCTGCCGCTTCGCGACGACCTTCGTGATCGTCGCGCGGCCGTGGGCCAAGCGCGCGGCGACCCGCCGCTCCGGCCCGCAGTGGCGCGCGAATCGCGTCGCGAACGCGTCGGCCTGGCGGAACAGCGACCGCGCCGTGGCCGCGTCGACCAACGTCTCGGCCGCCGTCCCGCCCTCGCCCCGTTCGATCGCCGCCGCCGCGATATCCTCGGCCGCGGCCCACAGGCCCAGATCCGCGGCGACGTCCACGAGCGCCGCGGGCCCGCCGGGCCCGCCCCAGGCGCCGAGCGCCGCGGCCAACGCGAGCGCGCCGCCCGCGTCCTCGCGCGCCGGCGGCGCCGCGACGCCGAGGTTGAGCGCGGCCGCGACGGCAGAGTCCGCCGCCGGGACGGCGTCCGCGACGGCGAAGCATTTCGCGAGCGCCGTCGCGATCTTGAGGTCGGCGCGGTCCGCGCGCAGCACGGCCTCGAGGCACTCCGCGCCGGCGGCCGACGCGGCGCCGAAGTCCGCCGTCCCGAGGAGCGCAGACGCCGCGGACCGCGCGTCGCCCGCCGCGTCGGCGTCGTCGCCGTCGCCGCGCCAGAGCGCGAGCGCCGCGCCCGCCGCGCCCGCGGCCGCCGGCGACCGCGCCGCGGGCGCCGCGGCCGCGACGAGCTCGCGCCAGCCGCGCTTGCCGCCGCGGCGCGCGAGCGCGCGGAGCTCGCGCGCGGCGCCCGCCGCCGCCGCCTCGAGGTCGCCGGCGTCTCCGCCGGCGATGGACCTGAGCGCCTCGGTCGCTTCGGCCTCCGGCGCGCAGGGCGCCACGGCGCGCACGGCGGCGCGGAAAGCCGAGGCGCGCGACAGCTGGAGAGACGTGCCGACCTGCGCGCTCATGCCGAGCACGCAGAGCGATGTCGTGCGCATGCAGCGCTCGACGCGCGCCGCTCGACGGCGCGACGCGGCTGCCGCCTCTTTCGCAGAAGTGCAACAAGCACTTCAACATGCGATCCTGGACGTCTAGACACGCTCTTCCAGCCGCCAAAACTACCGACAAAACAAGAACCAGAAGCGTGCTTAATAACGACCGCGCGGCTCCGGCGACGCCGCTCCGCGCTCAGGAGGCGAAGTCCTTGAGGAACTCCTCCGCGACGATGCGCGCGCGCGAGTTGAGGGCGATGCGCATGGCCGAGATCTCCTTGTTGATGTCCTCCATGAAGGTGATGATGAAGTCGACGAGCTTGCCCTTCCACATCTTCTCGAGGTGCGTGTGCGTGATGAGGAACGAGATGCTGTAGCCCTCCGCGGGCTTCCGACGCATGATCACGAACTGCTCGGAGCGCTGCATGAGGAAGCGCGTGAACTTGTGCGTGAGGATGCGCTCGATCTCGTCGGCCTGCTTGATGGCGAAGGACACGCGGACCGAGTTCACGGAGCCCTCGATGAGGCACTTCTCCTGCTCGGTACGGGAGATCGTGATCGGGTTCAGCAGGAGCTCCTTGGAGCCGCGCACCTCGACCTGCGGGGTAATCGTGTGTCGACGGGCGGTCGCCGCGGCCGCTGGGGGGGGGACGCGGGGGCGCGCCTCGGGTTTGTTGTGTCGCTCGACGATCTGCGAAGGAAAATTCCTCAAGCAGAGCGCCGCCTTGAGCGTCGACCGCACGCAGTTCAAATACCTGCGGTGTCGGTTGTCGTGCGGGGCCCGCGGAGCGCCGAGTCGCCCGCCCGCGCCGCCCGCCTCGGCGCGCGCGCCGCCGCGCCCCGCCGCGCGATCTCCGGAGAGAAACCACTCGAGCGCGCGGCGCGGCCGCGTCCCGCCGGCCCCCGGCGCCCCCATTTCGCGCGCGCGGCTACGACGGACGCCGGCAAACCGCACGGCTTGTAGGTGGCCGCCATGGCGCCGCCCCGCGCCCGCTACGCGAGGGCTTTGCGACTGTCTCGGCACAGCCACTCGGGCGCCTCGAGCTTTTGTGAACTTGCTGCTCGACCGGCTCAGATGTAAATTTGACTGCTCCTCCCTCAATTTTACCCCCTCGAAACTCCAGCTCTCGTCGACGCCATCGTCTTCCAGCCCAGCCAGCCATCGTCGGCGCCGCTCCCGATGGCGACCCTGGCGGACTTTAACGCGAAGCTGACGCTCCTGGGGCTCCCGACGAACGAGACCATGGGCGAGGGCAGCCCCTTCACCGCCGAGGAGTCGGACGTGCTGGCGACGTGCCGCCGGGAGTGCGGCGCCCCGGCCATCGACGCCTTCAGCTCCATCTGGGTCGACCGCATGGTCCGGGGCATGTACACGAACAACAAGGGCTCGCCCAAACAGCGCCTCGCCGAGACCGTCGAGTCGTTCTCGGTCATCTCCAAGTGGCGCGCGCAAGTCGGCGCCGACGACCTCGTGAAGCGGCGGCTCGAGGGCGCGGAGCTCGTCAACGCGAAAGCTCGCGCCACGGTGGGCGGCACGGACTACTACGGCCACAGCGTCGTCGTCGAGCAGCTCGACGGCATCGCGGACCTCTGCGGCTGCGGGCTCACGACCGATCAGATGCTCCTCGTCCGCGCGCAGCAGGCGGAGGCGCTGGACGCGGAGAAGCGGCGCCAGTCGGAGGCGCTGGGTCTGGTGCGCTACAAGCAGGTCTACGTGTTGGATCTCGCCCCCCTGTCGCTGGGCACGCTCGCGCGGCGGAGCGACGTGCGGAGCCTGACGCTCAAGGTCATCGAGGTCGGCCAGAAGTACTACCCCGAGGGCATGTGGAAGATCTTCATCGTCAACGCGCCCTGGATCTTTCGAAGTGTCTACAGCATCATCTCGCCCTTCATCCACCCCGTGACGCGCGACAAGATCAAGATCCTGGGCGGGCCGAGGGAGTTTCTGAAGGCCGTCGAGAAGGCGGGCTGCCCGCGGTCCGCGGTGCCGAAATGCGTCGGCGGCGACCACCCGGGCACGGACATCGCGACGATCCTCGGCCGCTACCAGGAAAGCGAGGAGACGAAGGAGGAGCCCAAGTCGAACCGGTCGCCGTCGCTCGTCGCCGTCCTCGGCGAGGAGACGAACGAGGTCTCGCACGCGGCGTCGGGCGCGCAGACGACGCACGAGGAGCTCCTGCCCCCCATCCCGGAGCAGGCCGCGAGCCCCGAGGCGACGGAAGAGGCGTCGTCCTGGAGCTTCTTCCTCTGCGGCTGCGAGAACGCGGAGAAGAAGAGCGGCGCGCCGTCCGCCGACGTGCCCGCGACGCCCCCGAAGCCCGTGAAGAAGACCGTCGACGTGAAGCTCGAGATCGAGGAGCGCGCCGAGCCGGCGAAGCTCTTCAAGGAGCTCGACGAGGGGGCCGCCGAGCCGCCCTGCCGGCCCGTCGACCGCGAGCGGCTCCGGACGCTGAGCGGCGAGGACGTCGGGCCGCCGAAGCCGGGCGCGAAGCCCGTCGGCGACGACGCCATCGACGCCATGATCGCCCGGGCCGCGGCGAGCCCGGGAAACGCCGTCGCGCGGCCCAAGCCCGTCGGCCTCGGCGAGGCGCTCGTCCTCGCGCTCGCCGTGGGCGCCGCGCTGGCCTTCGTCGTCTTCTTCAACTGGATCAACCGCAAGGTCAAGTTCTAGCGTGTATAAACCGCCCCGTGTTTTGAAAAAAAGATTACCGCCGCGCGTCGTCGAGGATGCCGTCGATGTGGTCGCCGTTGAGCGTGAACGCGCCCTCGTCGATCTCGTCCGGCGCGGGGTCCGGGCCGATCTTGAGCAGGCGGTGGATGTTGTCCCGCTCGCGGTCGAGGCCCGCCTCCTCGAGCAAACCCTGCACTTTGAGCGCCTCGGAGAGCCGCGCGCGGCTGAGCGCGCCGTCGTCGCCGCCAAAGATCGACGCGAGGAAGCCGTGGACCTTGCCCTCGTCCTTGAGCAGCGACACGGACAGGCGCGAGACGCCGAGGCCCAGGTCCCGCAGCGCCGCCAGCGCCTCGCGCGTCGCGGCGATGGATTTTCGCGCGAGCCGCCGCACGTCCTCGACCTGCTCGGCCGTCTGGAGCCGGCAGGACAGCGCGGACGATCTGCAGTACCAGAGCTCGCCCCGGCCGGCCGTCGCGCGCGCGACGCGGAGCGCGTCGCCGGCGGCCGCGGCGGCCTTTAGCGCCCAGTCGAAGGCCGCCTCGCCCTCGTCGAAGACCGCGCGCCAGTCCTCGCGGAGGCGCGACGCGCCGAGCGCCGCGTGCTGCGCGCACAGCGCGGCCGCGCGGCCGCGCGCGAGCGCCGCCTCGACGCGCTGCGCCGCGAGGCTCTCGAGCGCCGCGGCCCGCGGCCGCGCGGGGTCGGATTCTACGGCGGCGTCATTGTCATCACCATCGTCCTCGGCGGCCTCGAGCGCCGCGACGGCGCGCCGCGCGTACGCGAGCGCGTCCGAGACGTCGCGGCCGTCGGCCTCGTGCGCGAAGACGTAGGTCGACGCGTAGAGCCGATCCACGAGGAACGTCGACGCGACGACGAGGAGCCGCGCGGTCCAGCGCGCGGGCCGCGGCGCGGCCGCGGAGGACGCCGCGTCCTCCGCGGGCGACACGGGCTCGGCGCCGAGGCCCAGGAGGCCGGAGAGTCGCCGCGATAGCGCCCGCAGGAGGCCGCCGCGGCGCGGCGCCTCCGGCGAGTCCGGCGGGGCCTCCGGCGCGTCCCCGGGCTCGCCGAGCGCCGCGCGGACGAGCGCCGTGCCGGCCTCCCAGCGGCCGAGGCCCCCGAGGCGCCGCGCGGCCTCCGCGAGCCGCTGGCGCGACGCGGCGCGGCGCCGCCGCGCGAGCGCCGCGCCGCCGCGGTCCAGGGCCTCGACGCCGCCGCGGTGCTCGCCGCCGACGAGCACGAAGCGCGCGGCCGCCTCGGCGTCGGCCGGCGGCACGTGCGCGGCGACGTCGCGCGCGACCGCGCCGTAGAGCGCGTAGAGCGAGCGCCAGCTCTCCTCGCCCGCGTAGAGCGCCGCGCAGCAGCCGCCGTCGCCGCGCAGCGCGACCCAGCAGGCGAGGTCCGCGACGCCCGCGCCCGCGCGCAACGCCAGCTGCGCGTCGCCGATGGTCCGCGGTGCCAGGTAGGAGAAGACGCTCGCTTGCAGCGCTTCCGGCAGCGCGGCGAACATGGTGCTGCCTTTCCGACGAGCCGCGGCCGCGACGCGCTGGCGCTCGGTTGCGTGTCGTCTCCGCCACCCGACGCGCTAGCGCTCAGTTGCGCCGCGCCTGCTCCCACGCACTGCCGCTCTTCGACGCCAAGCGTGGCAGAGCAGAGGCCTCGCACAAAAAAAGGCAAAGGTCAAGATGTCGTCAAGTTGCCGCTGCTACAGGTCGCCCTTAGCGGCCTTCTCGGCCTTGGCGCGGTGTTCGGCGGGCGTGAGCATGGTCGTCTCGAACGTCTTCTCGACGTAGACGGTCTTGCTGTTCGTGAAGTGCTGCCAGTGGCCCGGGTGGTTGCAGGAGATCGAGATGCGCGGCTGCGTGCCGTGGGTCGGCAGGACGCCGTGGGGCAGCGTCGCCGGGAAGAGGACCATGTTGCCCTCGCGGGGCTTGACGCGGTAGGTCACGTCGAAGGGCGGCATGGGCCCGCGCGGGTCGTTGAGGCTGAGCGCGCCGCCGTCGCCGGGCACGCTCAGGTACAGCGTCCCCGCGAGGCTCGCGCCGGCGTGCGTGTGGACGTCGTGGTGCGTCGCGTTGCCCTGGACGGCGCCCCAGCAGTAGCCCGCGCCGCGCGCGATCTGCGGGTGGAGCGCCGTCGTCGTCCACTCGATGGCGGTCCCCGCGTCGTTGGGCCGCTGGTACTTGAGCGGCGCCATGTCGGCCTCGCGGACGTACATCTGGGCCGCGTGCACGAAGGCGGCCCAGACCGTGTCGAGCGTGCGGCTCGGCACGGGCGACGCCTGCTGCCACGCGAAGAACTTCTCGTTGTAGCGGTCCGTGTCGGTGTCCGTCCACGCGGTCTCCGTCGCCGACGTGACGCGGTCGACCTCGCCGGCCTCGAGGAACGTCTGCCAGGACAGGAGCACGTCCTGGGCGAACATGCAGAGCTGCTCCTCGTTGAAGAGGTCCGCGTACTCCATGACGGGCGTCGCCCAGAGGTAGCGCATCGTGCCCTTGGCCGTCCACTCCGTCGTCGCCATCGGCGCGGCGACCGCGAGGGCGACGGCGCGGAGCGCTGCGCGCATGGTTGCTCGCGTGTGTCTGCTGGCTACGGTCGTCGCACGCGATAATTGCAAGCCTTGCCCTCGATCATCGTCGCTCCGACGTCAAGGTCAAGGTCAACAAGGAGCTTGTTGATCCTTGACGAATCTTGAGGAGTTATTTTGTGAACTCTGGCAGCCCAACAAAGACGTGCTCTTCTCCTGTTGTCGGCGTTCACGACTCGGGACGCGGCGGCGGCGGCGGCGGCGGCCGGGGGGCGCGCGTCTTTCGAGCGGGCGCCGGCCGTGACCGCGCACCATGGCGGCGGCGACGCCGGCGAAGCGCGGCGAGGAGAAGGAGGAGCTCAAGGAGGAGCTGCGGACGCCGCGGCCCGGCGGCGGCGCGCGGTCGCCGCGGAGCGGCGGGTCGTCCCCGCGGACGCCGGCGTCGGGGTCGCCGAAGGAGCGGCGGCGGTCCTACGAGGTGAGCTTCTTCAAGGCCAAGGGCGCGTCCAAGGCCGACATCAAGCGGCGCCACGAGATGTTCGGCTACGACCCGCTCGACAAGGCCATCTACGAGGAGCGGGAGCACCTCGCGCGGAGCCTGGGCCTCCTGAACGGGCCGTCGTCGCCGGGCGCGCCGAGCCCGCCGCGGGGCTCCGCGGCCCACGAGGAGCGGCAGACGCGGCTGCTGAGGGAGTACGACGCGAACGTCCGCGAGCTTTTAAGGGACCACCTCATGACCATGGCGGCGAGCGGCATCGTCTTCAACCACGTCTTCACGACGCCCAAGCTCGGCTTCAGCATCCTCATCGCGCGCTACGGCGCCATGG